GAAGATAAAGATTAAAGTGCCAAAACTTTACAGTAATTGTAATTTCCTTTGTTTCTCTTTTACATAGATAATATTGATCGTTATTGTGAAACAAAAACTTTGGTTTATGGTACTATGCAATTTCTCTTACCCCATGTGGTTTCATGTCAATGTTTTAATTTCCAAGTGTAATTTATATTGAAGTAATCGTACAAGTCTTAGTATTTCGTAAGTTCGGACACCTCATGTTAACTATTTGTTAGCATTCGTTTAACTACGTACATACTGACTTAATGGATTGCGAAAGAGAGTCCAATACACAACGGAAAGTTGGCCAGCCTAGTGCAGTAGGAGCTATAGAAAGTGGCGGCGAAATCGGACGCCCCGCCGTCGCCAGATAAATACAAGCGTCGATGCACTTTCGATCTCTTAATATTTGACTTTCTCGAGGATTTCGCAGCTTTCGTGTCGCCCTGTTATGGCGATAAAGCCTTTCGTTAACCGCCTGTTTACAAGGCTGCCGTTAATTGGATTATAAGCTTTCCTTTTGCGCGCTGTTAGCGGCGAAAACGTGACGAAGCGATATGTGGTTGATGTTTACTGTGTATGTGTGGTACGCCCGTACCTGTCATCGACGAGTAGTCTGAGGTGTAAATGGTATTTTATATAGAGTCGTGAAGGGGCAAGCGGTTGAATTGATTATCGTCGAAATTTTTTTATTTTACTTTAATTTACTCATCGCACGTAATACTAAAGAATGTTCATAGTTCTGTTTCACTGTAATATTTCAATCATGTGACCACGTCAATCAGGAGAGCGGATTTATGGAAAATACCGGCCTTTACGTTCCGCAGCTACTCAGCTACTCCTCCATAAAGGGCTCCTCTGTACATATTATATATATTAGGGTATAATCCACCACGCAAACCCACAGTGGATTGGCAGACAGCACATAATTATCTTCGAAATATTCTTTTAAATAATTTCTCGGAAAAATGCAGGTTTCCTCACGATTTTCGTTAAATAAACCTCAACTTCAAGTGCTGGCTTACTAAGCGTTGCAAGAACGTCGAAAAACTAGAATCGGTTAACTAGTTCAGACCAGCCCAGAGAAACGAAAAGAAACTCGTTAATTCTTGCTTCTTTTTTGTCATGATGTATACAATCTTTTAAAGTATAAAATCAGCAGCAGCCAGGAGACTTGTCAGTGTATAGCAAGAATCATTTCACACATCCTTGTTCTCTTCGACACTATAATAGGACCATTCCATTGGAATACCTTTTAAAATGTTTTAAACTGTTTACTGTTAGCTGTTTGGGGATGACTAATTTTATTATACATACGCCTACATAGAACTGATTTTCTGATTTAAGTCAGTCTAAAACTCGAAACACCATGCCCCGATGCGATGTGTTATATTTTTTTGTAAAAAGATGGATATTATTACGTACATACATGATGTTATCAAATATGTACAGCGACGGTGCTTAAAAAGATGCCATAGTGACTCACGTGGACCCAACCCATAGACAGCCGGTATCGCTTGCTTTTGCAATGCAAATATTATGTCTAGACCGGATGCGGATCCCCAAAATAATAACATAATACTATGAAAATAAGCATAAGTAATAAACTAATTTATTATGCTTCACTACATAGTATAAAACAAAGTCGTCCCGCTGTCTGTCTGTCCCTATGTATGCTTAGATCTTTAAAACTACGCAACGGATCTTGATGCAGTTTTTTTTACTAGATATGTATAATAATACATATAAACCTTCCTCTTGCACCCGTTGGAAGCCGGGGCAGGTCGCTAGTATAATATATATAAATATTTGGCCTGATCTTGCGCATGGCAAAGTTTCTTTAAGATCTTTAACTCTAATGGACAGATAGCCTGATGTCCTCGTTCTTTCGAAGTTTCATTCCCCAAACTTGACAGAGAGATCTTGTAGAAAATCGTTGTTGACTTAATCTTTTTACCACCGACATAGGTATACCAATTTTATGATTTGTAATGACTCCTTTAAAGCGCCTGCCACAATTGTATTGAACTGCATGATTATATCACTAATTGAAACTAAAGAAGGATTGCTATTACGATGACATGTTCGGCGCAGATACTGTGTGATTTTTGATTAAAACTTCGAAGTTCAGATTTAGTATCCATTAAATTAATAACAATGAATAATACAGTTATTTCATAAATATAACAACAAGTTTACCACACCAATATGAAATGGCGAATCTGACATTGATGAAAGAATTGAATTCATGTTACTTGTACAAATGAATGAATAAAATGAAGGAATAAAAATATTTACTCATCAGTTACTAATAAAAAATAATTTTCCTTGTGTATGAAGATTAATAAGAATCTGTGAATAGTTTTGCAAGGTTTCACTGCACAGGTGTAATATTTTATGTTAATTTAGGATCCGAATGAAACTTGTTTTTATAGTGCACATAACGTAATGAAGGTGGTTTGCAGCAAGTATTTTAAGCTTACTGCATCTGAAACGTAGACGCATTGACGTGCCGGACTAGGAATCTAGACGTAGATGTAACCAAAGGTTTTAATATTGTAGTTGTAAAATTTCTTATGACCCTATGTTGAACTGTTTATATGCGCTTGTGAGCTGGTCGACTGTCCAGTCACTTCTTTTCTTCTATTCTCTGAGGGTCCAGGCTTATTTCCTCGTGGGCACCGTTGAAATTTATAGAGATCCTTTCTGGTTAATTATGTCCGAAGGCAGAAAATTTAATTTTCGTATCTGTCGTAACCAGCTCCATATTGCGTTTTGTCATTTGGCGTTTGAATCGAAGTTATGAAGTTTGTTGTAACAATGAATACATATTAAGGATTTATACAAGTTATTTCTAGGAAAAGTTTATGTTTGCCTTTTGGATATGAATTTCAATTTTTTCGCTCCTTACATACCTCTCGCATAAACCTGTTGGCTGCGAGTCTAACCGCCCTGACAAGTATGTAAGTCGCCTTTCCTCATAAATTAAATTGTTACCGTTACGTTATAGCCCCTATGAACATTCAAATATCGAACGCTTTGCGAACATAGATGTTCGCAGTGTTTTGATATTTGTCACTTATGTCATTTTTGTTTACGAAGTATTCTTATGTAAAATATGACGTTTCATAAGAACGCGCATTCGTCTATTTGAATAAAGATATTTTGAATTTGAATCAGATTTTTGTATTTGGCGCAATTTTGCCACACTATCGGATCTCCACGGCAATACAAAGAAATGATGGATTCCCACCTTTTAATAAAAGTGTCGTTACTCGTTAGAAGGCGATACGCAGAAGTATAACACTTTCACTTCACGCCGGCCGTGTGGACGTGGTACTTTCCCGGATGGACCTGCCCCAATGGGCAGATCTATCCAAGCAAAAGGGCCAAACCACTTTTGTGTTCAACTTTTGTGTACAAGTTCACTTTTGGACATTCGTCCAATAGTGAACTTACCAATACCACTAGTGGCCACAAATTAACATTCATTGGCTGTCAAAGAACATACTACATGAACGCCAAACATTGCTTAAAAGTGTGATACAAAATAAAGTTGATAAAATACCTTGAGATTTTCATCGGCGTGAAGATAAGCCGTTTAGTTCAGTGGCTAAAGCATCAGGCAGGATAGCTTGGGGGATGCAGGCTTGAATCCTCGCAGAGATAGAAAACTTTCGTTAATTTTTTTCACAAATTTTACATACAATGAGGCAATTCAGAGAAACAACAAGTATAATTATTAACAAAAAAAAACCGTCTTCAATCAGAAAATTAAAAACATTGTTAATACCTATAGCATTAAATGATGGCCCCCGATTTCTCTGGGATGTCATCATCAGATCCGGGTTTCTTTATCATGATACCACCCTTGGGACATCTCCTTTCCGATAAAAAGAGAATTATCAAAATCGGCGACGAAGTTATCATAGACGACGAAGTTATCCGCGAACACACATAAAAAGAATAAAAATATAATATACGGTCGAATTGATAAATCTCCTCCCTTTTTGAAGTCGGCTAAAAATTGAATTAGCACGTTGCAGTACATTTTATCCAACTCTCCAAAGCAACACATCGTACATGGTTTAAATCTTTGGAGTAAAGTAACATTTTAATTTTGATCAAACAAACTTCTCTGCGTGATAGAGTTCGCAACGAAGACATCCGCAGTAGAACAAAGCTAACCGACATAGCGCAGAAGGTTAGTAAGATGAAGTGGCGATGGGCGGCCATATAGCTCGTAGAACTGAAACTGTTGAGGAAGAAAGGTTCTCGAGGCTGCCAGCCACGTACTGGGCATCGCAGTGTGGGACGACCTCCCACTAGATGAGTGACGACCTGTGCAAGTGTGCGGGAAGTCGATGGATGCAGGTGGTTCAGGATCGTGCTTCGTGGCAGTTTGTGGGGGAGGCCTACATTCAGCAGTGGACTCAAACAGGCTGAAGTGATGATGATGATGAAACCTGTGTAGTTTAAGCAAAGGCATCGATGATTCTCTTCAGGTCCAACAAACAAAATCCGTAAGTGAGCATATCCGAAATTTCTAGAAGGATCACATTCCAATGTATTCTTTAACAGACCGTTTATGTGTTCTAAAAGCGGATACAATATTTTGTGTGTTTAAAGTAGATGTAAAATATCGGGATAGTTGAGTCTATTTAAATGGATAATAATAAAAATGGATAATTGTTGTTTCAGCAATATTTTCTTAATTTTTTTATTGAACGGCTGGCATGGATGAATAAAGATTTAAACGAAGATTCTTTTAAAATATATGAAATATGTGTATAATAGTAACTTGTCAGTAAATAAGAATCTATTAATATGTATTAGTTTGACAAACTTTAAATTCACTGAACAGTGAATACTGACTTCAATCCTGCATTCACTATTTGTATTTATTCGTATATGTATACGCTTTGAATGATATATCTTTGTTAAACAAGGAATCATTTATTAGAAAAAATTAACATATCTAAGAGATACGGCTATTGTAGATTTTTTACTAGTCTGTTCTTTAGCTTCTTCCAGAACTCTTCGGGCTTGGCGTCGTCCCAAGAGTGATAGATTTTCGTCTTCAGCAGATACTTAAGCGTCGTTGTCATATATTTATTTTCTACTTCGCCCACCCTTATTAGAATTAGTGGATCGTATGTCGTACCATCTTCCAGAAATAAGCGATGATATTCGGCAAGTTGCGTCTCCCACCTGCACCATTGCGACTTAGCGAAGTTATTGCTTATTATCAATATTATGTACCTACTCTCATTAATACTGTTCAAAATTGATTCAGAGATAAAAGAGCCTATTTCAAAGTCCCTCTCATATATGCAAAGTTTCAGGTAAGGGGGCGTGCTCTCCAGCTGGCTGACCATTTCCGAGACAAACTCTCTATCCTCATTACAGTAGGAGACGAACGCGTCAAACCTATAACCCCTAGAGGGGATAGTATCAGCCTTCAAAGGCTTCAGAATTAACTTCCTTCCGACCGCTACCTTCGCCAAAAACAACCAGTACTTTATATATATTCTATATTTGTACACGCCCGCTATTAAACCTGACACCAGGATTATGGTTACTATCGATGGTGCCGTCCATATTAGGAACATGGCGCTAGTTATCTTCTCGTACATGAGACAGCGTAGGCTCTTTATCGACGACAAGTAATCAGCAACCCTCTTGTCTTCCCATATATCAGGACTGCTGCACTGGAACCTCGAGCTCGCGAAGTAAGCCTTAAGTAGACCAGAACCGTTCACTTGCAACCACATGTATGTCTTGTACATATAAGTACAATCGCAGACGAACACGTTGTCCATCAGATTGATTTCAATTGTTGTGTTCGCACCACTTGGGTTCTCCAACAAATAGTTTATATCCTGTATCATGCTAATTGTGAAGTGCGAAATTTTATTGTTCGTCAAGTACAGATTGATCGGGCGGACGCCCGAGGCTAAGAATAGTGTCGTCCACCACGACATCAGCAGATTCTCGCTCAGATCAAGTACTTGCAAGTATTTTAGTGGTTTTAAAGTTTCGGCAGTGATGTAATACAATTGGTTATTTCTTAGAATGAGATGTGTGAGGTTTGGCATCATTTCGAATATATTATCCTCGTCATACAATCGTTTGATTCCGCAGTTTTTGAGAATCAATATTTTCAATTCGTTCAAACCTCTGAACTGACCACTAGACAGATTCATATTGGCTGTAAGTGGGTTGTTTGCAAGATTAAGCATCTCTAAATGCTTCATTGGCTCGAATGTACCATCACCGATATGAAACAATGTACCGTTCTCCATGCTTAATATTTTTAATTGTTCCAAGCCTTGAAATGTGTAGTCAAATATAGACTTAATTCTATTGTATGCAAGGTTCAGTATTCTGAGTTCTTTGCAGTAGGTAAAAGAGTTCCTGTCAATTTCAAAATACACAGGATTCAATAAGCTTCCCTTGTTGAAGGACATGTCCAGAAGTAGGAGCTGCTGAATTGAAATATGTTTTTGATGAATTCCGGGCAGGTTGTTTCCACCGAGAAGTAAGACGCGTAGATTTGGAAACTTTATAGGACTAAATGCGTCGGGCCCTATCGATATTGTCAGAACTCTTCTCAAGTCTAGCACTTCTAAGTTAACCATCACTGGGAACGAGTCATCGACGATTATTTCAAATTGATTGTCAGCCAGGATTAATCTCTGTATGGTTGATTTTGCGATTATATTGAGAAGAGCTCTTGGTGGTTGCTTTCTAAATCCCATTCCGGATAGATCCAGATGGGTCAAATTTATGCCATTATTTATTATATTTGTCAGGAAGTCACCTATTAATGTTGAATTCAAATCGTTTTCACTGATTCTCAATTCCTTTAACATGGTTAGCGGTATAAAACTGTTTGGGTGTATGTACTCCAGCCTGCATAACTTTATATCCAATCTCTTCAACGTGGTTCCTTTCATTGCATTAAATGCGTTATCTGGAATTCTTTCGAAGGAATTCTCTGACAAATCTAATCCTCTAAGCAAAGGTAAAATACTTGGTTTAAACGCTACAGTTAACTCTAATATGTTTGTGAATCCATTGTTGACTAGAGTCAAGTTGTGAAGGCTCTTTAGGCCTTCGAATGTGCCTTTGTGGATTGTATGGAGCCCAGTGTTGTATGATATAGACAACTGTTGTAGTTTCGATAGGTTTTGAAACAGCCCCGGCTCCAAATAATTAAGCCTATGGTTTGCTTCAATTTGCAGCACTTTCAAATGCTGAAGGGAGTTTAGTTCTCCAACTCGGATTTCGGTCATAACGGTTGTTCTTACTCGAAGCAGGTCGCTTTTTACTCTTACCTGAAAATAATGAAAATAATTGAATCGAAAGTAATAAAATATTTGTGTTAAACCGTTTTTGCAATAGATTCTACCAAGCTTAACATTGCATTAGTCCGCCCTCCTCGGCATACGAGGAGGGCGGACTAATGAGTTATGTGTTCTAATTCTATGGGTTTGTATAGTATAGTGGCGCAATAGCACCTGCGAGGCCGGAACATCATAATGTCTATGGGTTTGAAATAAAGATTTAGTCATTAGATTAGAGAAGATATGTCTAATGAAATAAAGATTTAGTTTGTCTACTAATCTAATCATATTTCGTGTTGTGTGATCTTTAAGTAATGACGCAAGATAATGATCATGCCATTTGAATTATATTGCCTATATGATAAAAAATATGAATAATACGACGTCCTGGGAAGATCTGTTGACTTACGGCTTGTTGTTATGTGTATAAATAATATTTCGTTGATAGGAAAATTCTCTTTGAAATTTCGTAATACTTCTAATTAATTTGTTTAATACTGTTAACAGGACATATTTACATTTTATGATAAGCAGTAAATGATTTTTAAATTAATAAATCTGTTTAATTTCCTCTCCTGTCTTACGCTTATCTTTATTGGATTAATTATTATTTGATATGTGCATGTCTCTAATTGAGTCCGTTATTCTAGTATCTGTACTTTATTTCCAAGTTTTTTCACTCAATAATTTCCCATCTCAAGCATCTTTAATAGCAATATCATTTCTAAATTTAATAAATTAATTCAAGAAAAGGTTGGCGATATGAGACAACTTTTAGAAATAAATTCATTTGTTGGCAAGAAGTTATTAACATGAAAAATTTAAAAAGTTGACAAACTGAGTAAGATGGCAGAATGGTAACAACTAGTATGAATACAAGAAAAATTACCCAAAAGGGGAATGAGTTGATGAGTTAGTACAAACTCTTCGAAAGGTAGGCAAACTGAGAAAGTTGGCAAAGCGTCCGCAGATCAGTCAATTATCAGGGCTAAGTCTTATCCTTTAAACGAGCAATTCTTGTATATATATATAATCGGAATCTCAGAAACGGCTCCAGCGATTTTCATGAAATTTAGTATGTGCGTAGATTCGGGGGCGAAAAATCAATCTAGCTAGGTTTCATTTTTAGAAAATGTCCTTTTATCCCTGTTTTCAGGGAATGAAAAATATAATTCGAATATGACGGTAAATTTCGCCGCAAGAGAAAATGTGATAATAGCTCAGTCGGTAATCGGGCGGCCCCAAAACAGACGGCCGTGGTTCGCGTCACGATCATTTACACATTTATTTTTTTTCGATTCCAGATCATAGCTTTGTTTATTTTTAATTTTTTGTCGATTTGTTTTTTTGTTATTTTTTTCCTTTTTTTTAAAGTTCTTTCTTTTGAGAAAAACATCAGTTAATATTTTCTTATTATTAAGTCGGTAAGATCGAAAAATATTATGCATATTTCATTACTCAGTAATTAGTATCTAAATTAAATTTCCAAAATACACGATTTACCAAAAAAAAAAAAACAAACAAAGCTCGGTCCTCCGGGTACTTTAATTTAATTACGCAAAAAGAAACAAGAAGCAACAAAGTCTTAAGAATAAGGATAAAAAACTATTTTTGAATTATACAGACTCCTTTAATTTATTGAACATAAAGTTTTCCTCGGGTCTAACATACTGTGGCATTGTTTTACACAGGATCAGCTTACATATCCAGGCAAATATATACATTTGCTGGTTTAGGAAAATGCTATCTTGCTGAGAGGAGGCTAGCTAGCTTGCAGGGGAGGAGGGAGAACTTAATCCAGAGAGATTAACTTCTTCTCACTCCTCCCCCTAACCCGCTTTTAGTACAACACGTAAATCATGTTGTTAATGATATTGTCTAGGTTTTTTTTACGATTGGCCACCTGCCTGCCGGCTATCCGTCTTTAATAATAATCAGCCATAACGGGAAAAATATCTGCGGGTCGCATACATACTGGTACCGTGTCGGAATCGAACCCAATGTCCCCCGTGACGTAGACAGTAGCTTAGTGATTGCCACCGAATCAAATTCTGGACTAAAGAGATTAGTCTTTTTAGTCCAGAATCTGATTCGTCGATCTAGTTGTGAACAATATGCACATATTTAAGTGCAGGCGGAACTCTACAATCACAACCGCGGCGCCGGAGATGTTAATTCAGCAACAACAACAATATAGAAATTATATGACAAACGAGGCTTTTGATGGATGAACTGACAAACAAACATGCAGTACACCTGATGTTAAGTAATCACTGCAGCCTATGCTCTATCTCATCATCAGTGGAGCTGTTGAAAAGTTTACGGCCTTTAAAATAAGAATAGGCACTCCTTGATGGCCCCTTAACCTACAGCTCAACTTTAAGTAGATAAGGGAATCAAGGATTGGCGTCTAAAAAAGTAGGCTCTTTTTCAGACATATTTTTTAATTTAAATTTGCATATTGATTACTATCAGCATTAAATATTAGTTCAAGTAGAAAACCATGAATGTGTGTCGAATTTCGAAGTGGTGTCATAATGGTGAAATAGTTATCTCGGCAGTTCTGGTTCTATGCCTACTACGAGTGACGTCTTATGTTTAAACTGCGATAGTTGAGCCTTGCTTGTTGCTTTTGTTAATGATTAGATACCGCGTAGTTGAGTTTAACAAGCAAATGCATTTAGTAAAGAACAAACTTTGAATTATAACTCTACTGTTTAATTGTTATTTTTGTCCACGCTTAGTTCAATTTAAGGTTAGCTTGTATTCTAGCTTCTTCTTCGGCACTTTGTATCTACTTTTGCAGTTTAATAGTAGCAACTGCCAACAACCTATTTATCCGAGGAAATATAAACACATTCTCATAAATAGTTTATGTAAATAGGCTTACATATTTTTTTATTGTTTTGACCATTTGCTTACTTTAGATATCTTGTTGTCTTCATTACCTATCCCACTTAATGTTATAAACGACTTTATTGTGGAGGTTATAAAAAGGGAGACATCTTTGTATTGAGCAGATTATCCCACTTAATATAATCCGCAACAGAACTTGACTTTTAAGTTTAAACCTCGTGGACTCTCGTACCTTTAGTACTTAGTATTTAGCACCATTCTCACACATATTACTATTGAAATGTGTAACTATCTCTACATAAATCATACTGAGAAAACGAAAACCTGTGTACGTGTTTCTTCATTGGTTTTAATTTAATCACCGCCAACAAATTGTTTAACATTTTCATAAACGACCAATCAAAGATAAATATCAATTTGCATAATTCGTATTGGGACAGCCTTCGGAAGGCCGAATCCTTCGCTAATATTGACATGGTTTTATGTGTCGGTCGACATTTAAAATGTACTTTGAAATACTCGTAATATATTTTCATAAATGTGTTTATTTCTTCAATAATTGATGTTATAAATATGAAATATCTTGAAGCATATAAAAAAATCTGTGTCTTACATTTAGCTTGTAAATGTATCAGTTAATTTCAACCTGGATCAATCCAAAATTCTTTAAAAATGATTGATCATAAATGTATCTCGACTAATTATATGTGATGATACTTTTAGCATCTGAAACGGAGTAACATTTATACTCCCATATTGCTGGATGGATGCAGCCGGCTCAGGATTGTGCTTTATGGTAGCTTCTGGAGGAGGCCTATATTCAGCAGTGTACTATGAAATGAAGACTTAGAAATCGATCTTTACTGTGGTTACGAACTTCTGCTGTTGCACGAATAGGCAGACTCATCCAGGGGAGTACCAACACCGTCATAGAAGAACGACATGAAGTGGAAGTGTTATAAATTCATGACTCCTCTGGTGAGTGAGACGGGGCTCACTTTTAATTGTTGACAAGGCATCTGCAACCCGTCAAGTGTTGCAAATGCCTTTGGGTAGAGGTAATGACCAAAATTCAGGTGAACGGTCTGCTCGCTTGCTAACTTTTCACATTAAAAAGAAGCCTAACCTTTGGGAACCGTTCGCACGCGTAGTTGCCGAAGCAAACGACGACCTTGTGATCCTTGCTGCTCCTGCAGATGCATCCGGAGCTCTTGTCGACCCCCAACTGGATCGGCAGCGAGACGGTCCCGCCGTCGGCCGGCGACAGCACCTTGTTGGTGATGTCCTCGTAGTCGTCCAGCAGATTGCTGCGCGCGTATTGGGCGTAGCACAACAGTAGCCATAGGTAGCGCGCAACGAACATTGCTCGACGGGCGACCTGAAATGATGCGCAGCTGTGAGTTTACAAGCGAGCCTTTTACCTAATAGTAAACTGACTCGTAACCCGTCATGAGGCTCTTCAGTAATTTCACAATGTTATTGCAAATATTTATTGATGTGTGGTGCGATAAAACTGTTTCAGGGATTTTGTCGCGTCTTATTTTGCTAAGCTTCGATGTTTCGACCACTTTACGGAGTTCATGGTTCATTATTTTGGATTATTTATTTTTGTACGAATAAATGTCACAAAAAATTGACAGTTGTTCGGGTAAACTTTGACATGAGAACTTAATTCTATTCAGTTTCTAATTGTACTTCAGGATTTTGAAACAAAATATAACGCGAAGAAATAACTGCAACAGTTTTATCTAACCGTGTTTAGTATTCGCGTTAATACGGAAAAACATCTTTATAGGTAAATACTTTAAATCAGAGAAAGTTCCTGGATTCCAATCCCTTTCCGACGTCTAAGGAAAAGAAAACTAGCAAAAGCTAATAAAATTTTGTAGTAACGAAATACTTACTGTTTGTTCATTTCTCGAAGACGGTCCTCTAATTTCTGATCGATCAATTAATTAAAAAGCACGTGACCGTTTTACGTCTACTTATGGTCATCTGTCTGGTAAAGACGTTTTTGATTTTAAAGAAATAGTACCAAATCAAGCTCTACTGATGTAGTTATTCCTGGATAAAAAAGCTGGCAGCTTGTAGTAAAGCAAGTAGCTTCACGAGGGTAGCTTTTTTATGGTTTTCACTCATGATTCGCCCTTTGTCAGGACTTGGTGACTTCCCTCTAGCCTGCCAACTCATACAACAGCTAATGCATGGCTCTATCACAGAAACTAAAGAGTGCTCTCCAGAAAACTTTACGACGTTTCACCGTTATTTGACCATCTAAATCGTATAATTCGTGGTTACATGAAACTATTTCAGTACGTGGAATAAGTTCGTATTAAATTTATTCAATATATCTCTTATAAAAGTGCAGTTATACTGCATTGATATTAAAAACGCAACAATTTGTCTGCTTTTTCTCGTACGTTTTTCCTTGACACATCGTAACAGTAGAACGGACGGACCTGGTCGTCGACTATTCGAGCAGCTCTTCTTTGGACGCGGTCAAAGAGAAGAAGCTGTTATGGGGGTGCCCTAGCCCAGAGCTGAGAACAGTATTCTGTCAAGCCGAATCCGCGCTGTATGCAATGGGCCTGCAGAAAATACTATCTTCCTCTACCTGGACACCTTTTTATAAGTTATCTTGGCTTTCCCTTTCAAATTACCGTGAAATTTAATGCAGCTCGATACGTTAATGCTAAAAATTCCGATCGATTCAGTGGCAACAAGGGTGGTGCCTTCAAAAGAAGGGGACATGACGGTGGAGATTTGGAATATAACTTATATGGTAGATTAATGTTTGATATTTTTCAGTTATTAAAAGTTGTAGAAAATAATGAAACGTCTTTCTCCGCGGCGGGAATCTAACCCGGATTAGCGTCCAGACGCTTTAAATACTGGTTAGGTTAGCTAAACTTGCCCGATGAACTTTACGATTTTTCAATTCCTAAATATTATAAATAAGTAAAAAAAAAGTAGTTATTGTGAATTTTTATAGGGCGTAGGGGAAAGACTACTGGGCTATTAGGCGTAGGAGAATGCCCAGTGGGACGGCCTAACCTACAAAATTCTACAAGCCCAAAAACGGCCCTGTGACGTGGCGAGCCAATGCCGCCACATGCATAACCATTCCCCCGATACTGGGCAGCAGCACTGTCAGTATTTACAGAAGGCCAAAGATTAATTCTTGGAGGGCTCCTGACCAAACTCCCAAGGCGGGATGGAACTGGACGGAAAGGAAGACTGCACTATTCAGTTCCTCAAAACGGCAGCAACCGATGATGTACACAACTTCAAAGAGCCTACACCGTCAGGAGCCTAGCTCTTAAATTAAAGAAGAGTATTATTTTGCGAATGATTCGTACAGAGTAAGAAAACTGGTGAAAACTTAGTACTTGCAGACATTAAAGTGTAAATATTTTTCGTTACCTCTTATCTAACGAATCCCAAGTTTAAACCGAAACGTCTATGTGTTTAGCGATTTAAAAATTGTGCTAATTTGTATAATAACGAAGGTGTGACAGTTTGTTGTTTCTTGACGTGTGTCTTGTCTGTTTATCTCCTCGTAATTCTCTCACGCGAAAAGAACTACTTAGTGAAATTGTATCCGTTTCGTTACTATAGTCTAAAAAGATTCATCGGATACCAGCAAAAAGTAGTTTATCCCGCATTTTTCTCGTATTGAAATGGTACATTTCCAAGAAATAATACGTAACTCCAAATTTCATTTAAATCTGTTAAGTTCAAACATATGCAAACCTTCGCAATTTATGATGTAAGTGCGAATTAATGCTTACTCAGTGAACAATCCTTTGTTTATCGTAATATTTCCATGTTTTAACACAATACATATTTTGTCTTACCTACGTTATATATCATTATTATAATACTATTTAATGTTGCACATACCCACGAAAATTTTGTTTATATCAAGTAAAATTCCGTGTCGACTACAACACGTTCACGCTTTTTAAGTTTTCTTTTAAAACTCTATATCGATCCATTGCTCGTTACATCAAAACATAACATAAAACCATAGTGTTCCCAAATTAATATCACTTGTAATAATGCTTATTAATAATTTGGAAACTACCGTCAGGGAGAAGCTGCGATCAATTTACATCACACTATCGAAATCTCTGAAACATTAGAGTGATCACAAAAAATTGCCGCTCAGGATAAAGGACATGTAAGCTAGTTACCTTAAAATTATATCCAGTTCTAAGACGTAGAGAGTTTTTATCAATCACCAGTCGTATATGCCACCAGTGAGGCACACATCATGCACGTGCAAGCTCAGTTAACACGTAAGGCGATTGTACAATCCATTAGCGTACGAATATCTCGTAACCTCAAGAGATCCAATGAAATCTCAATTTAATATCACTTGCCCCGGAAAAATCTTCCCGTTTAACGAAACTGGCATCAGAGAATCGAAATCTGTCTCTAGCACCACAATTGCCATTTATGAACACACAAAGCTGTCTAGCCACATATCAACCGGACTTTGTTAACACTTTAACCCATCTCTGGGCGTTAGCACCGGCCTCTCTTGAATTCTGCAAATCGTTGTGCGGTGAACGTCGCACGTGTTTGGCTGCAACGCCGGTCTGCTCCGGACTCGCGGTGTTTGGTCTAAGCTTCTCTTCCTCCGCCATTGGCCCGCCTTATTTGCATGTGATAATTAGCGATAGTGACGCGTCGAGGTGTCGCCGTATTTCGGCGACGCGTCCCAAGCGCTAACACGAATTACATCGAAGATTTCTTCTGTACTTTTACGTTTCTGATACAGTAGAGGGATACGGTACGTTTTGAATCCCACTGAATGTAACTGTTGTTAGGATTTTGAAATACGAACCTTATGAATTCTAGATATCGCATTTAATAATAATATATAAGCGCATAAGTTTGCTTGTCGGTGTTTTTTTTTCAAAGGTTTTTAAGTGAATTAGAAGGAAGATTAAGTAGAAGATTAATTAGCAAGATTGCATATTGTAGACTTTAGACAAATTAGATATTTTTAATCTTTGAAAATAATCTTTTACCTTACAAATAGAAAGATGCTAAGCGCCATAGCGGGCTAGTTATACAAATGTAGAAACGTTTCTCACAACACCCAGTTTCCGTAAAAACGATGTTCAAAATTAATGTTTCTCTTTTTTGCTGAGTCAATGATCAGTTTCCAAATAACAGGTTAGTTTATTTTTTAAATGATAGTTCTCAAATTTTTAAATAGAGCTGAAACAAAATGTGCGAACATTCCATCAATTGGGTTTCTTAGGAAAATATACAAAATTTACATTTTTTTAGAGTCTAAATGATTTTTCTAACCTTTTCTTCTTTACAGAAAGTTTAGTAATCCTTTATAAAGTATTTTAGAACACAAACATTTGCAGAAAAACATCACATGTTGAACAAACACCGTTATATAATAACAGATAACAAATAACGTTTACATTAACATACGTATCTATGGACATATTTATGGATTACTACTACGTATAATTTTTTTATGTGAGAAAGTGACAAACGAGCTGACGGTTAAGTTCAACTGATGTTAAGTGATAACCGCCGCCCACGGACATTTGCAACACCGATTACAGATGTATTGCTACCTTTTAATATTGTAGGCCCCGGCTACCTTACTCACCAGACGAAACGCAGAAGTGTAACTTCTACTTTACTACGGTATTCTGTGAAGGTCTTCGTACTAACCCGGACGGACCTGCCCATTCGTGCAATACCGAATACGGTTGCGTGGTCCCACCACAGTTATTTATTCATTATAAATATTCTTTTTTCAGAATTGACAGAAAAAAAGAGTGTTAAATATTGTGCATGTTTGGCAAAGAGAATCCTTTTTTTGTTTTGTACTCGAAACTTTGTTTTGAAGCAAGTAAACCTTTTATTATTCACCTTATATTTAGAAATATCATAATAAATCACATTCATTATAAATTATAAAGTAAATATTCATAAATATTTCGAAATTATTCTTCTTCTTAAGATGCCTCTCCAACTAGTGAAGGAAGTAGGCTCCCATACAACACCCATGATTTTTTTTGCCGTTGTTGTAGATAAGCGTATGGAACCCTTCGTGCACGAGTCCGACTCTACCGACCCAGAAAATCGGTTGTAGTCTTCCCTTCGAAATCATTGTCCCTTACTGTAGGATAATATCATCACGTTTTTGTAAGGACGTTTTAACAAACATAAATTTCGCGCGGATAAACACCCATATCCGAAACAATTATCTGTGGGTCACTCAAGTAGTTGTCTCGTGTAGGAATTAAACCCAAGACTCCCGGAGCCGATGCCAATACCTTGGCAACTGCGCCACGGAGTCATCTCACGTCTTTGTTATCTTAGTACAAACAAACATTTCTTCAAATATTGATACATGTATTAAGATTTAAACATTGCAATCTCTTAGGGCGTAAATTCAATACAATTGGGACAAACAATATACACACATTTAAGATAAAGAGCTCGACAAGTGGATCGTATCGAAAAGACGATCCAATTTACAAGCAGGCACAATTTTTGTTTTAATTATTATCTTCTTCAGTACTTGAATTACAATTATGGGACATACATATAAATGTATTCCTCGGGAATCTAAACCAGGACCAGCGCTGCTGAGTCCAATTGTTTAGTTACTGCTAAACGTACATATTTACAGTGCTTGCCGATAAATATTACACACCAAACTTAGGAAAGAGACAATTGGCCAATTTCGGCTTCGTAAAGCGTTATCTCTATCGCACGAAGCGCTAGCAGTCCGACGTATCCCTACTAATATTATAAAGGCGAAAGTTTGTCCGTATGGATGTTTGTTACTCTTTCACGCAAAAAATACTGAATAGATCTTAATGAAACTTTACAATAATTTAGCTTATACACCAGAATAAGACATAGGGTATAATTTATATACATATTTAGTGTACATCTGTCTTTCTGTCTGAATGTTACGCCTTCAGCCTATTCTACGCAGACGTAGTCGCGGGCAGCAGCTTGTATATAATAAGAGCAAGCGCCAAACGTCATATAGGTACGCGACGAAGCCAACCGAAATTAGCCGATTGTCTCTAATACATATAATAAACGTCGAAGTGGAATATTTATCGCCGAGAACTATCCTTATCCTTACTTCCCTACTAATATTATAAACTTGAAAGTTTGTATGTATGAATGTATGGATGTTTGTTACTCTTTCACGTAAAAACAACTGAATGGATTTTGATGAAACTATACAATAGTATAGCTTATACATCAGAATAACACGTCGCCTACAATTTGTAAAGATACAAGCTTCTCTCAAAGTAACTCTGTTCGTCGGTTACGCCTGCATGAATAAACCGCAGGACCAATTTTGATGATTTGGTATGATGATAGGATCTAGGACGAGAAAATAAGGTATTCGAAGTACTAATCCTGCGCAGACGAAGTCGCGGGCATTAGCTTGTACCATCATAATAACGTCCTTAAAACACAGGATAATGTTATCCTAACGTAACTCCAATGTTTTTAAAAATTAAAAACAAAAATCAAAGATTAAAATGATTATTAAATGCAGTTACTTTATATCTATAATTCATATATTGTAGAAACGTGTGCTACTCTTGAAATTACTTCAGTTTAAATAGGAGAGGGCAATGCTAAGGACAGGCGGCTGATGAGCTCGTCCATCTGCACCAGGTTGAGGGCGGCCTGGCGACGTAACTGGCCCTCGGGCAGTTCCAGGGGCTCGTGTCGCAGCAGGGCAGCCGACTCCTGCAGTATCTTCCGTGACTCCTAAAGTATGATGTACGCGTTGTTAGGTTGTACAAAACTTGTACAACTCATAGCGCTTTAATATCAGATAAATAATACACGATAGGTGTCTCTGAACATCTTGGGTTGGCTGATATCACGGATACACTTTCCACGTTTCACGATCCTTTCACCTCTGTTCCGCCACTATCAAGCTATATGCTTTTATCGATCTGCATCAGTAACGGATACTTATTATCCCTTATTATATCACCGATACAGTTATAGATAATTTACCACTCACTTTTCAAAATTTTAGTTTTTGATGGGGAGTAGATATTATTTCACTATTGTCACCAACTGTTGTTAACATGAGGTACAGACAACCTGTTACCGTATATCAGGCGTAACGCAAGACGGACACAGAGCAACATTCCAGAAACGGGGAAGGATTTAAATTTTTTCATGATGACACTAAACTCTTACTAGTAAAATAATAACTCACGGAGACGTATCCTAGCATTACATTAGGGCCTTCGGTGAGAGACTTCCTCCTGCCAGTCTCCGCCACCGCGGCGTGCAGCTCGAACAGTAGAGAGCCCCGCACGCGTGTCTCCGCTAAACACGAGCCAAATAAGGTAACGTTAGAGTTTAGACAGATCTACGATCAAATGGGATCGCTTTATTAATCGGACAACCTTTACATATCCTTAACAGTTGTGATATATGATGTCTTTAGCGTCCTCAATCTTCTTAGGGGCAACAAACATTAGTGGCCTTGAAATGATCCTCAATGGTGACAAGGCTACCAAGAGCAGTCTTAGTAGCATCACAACCATATTTTATTTGATGCGCATCCTAATGCCGTGTGAGCAAATTAAGACCAAAAAGAGACTCACGATCCTTTTAAGATCTTTGGGCAGTTGGCTAGATGCATACATTATAGGAGAAATAATCATTTGACACGAAATGTTTAACCAGCCGAGAACGATATACGTTATCAAAAATTCAAATGTTTTAATAATTTTATTTAATGCTTCTATAAGTTCCAAATGCTCCGTGACAGTGATAATTGCTATTTATGATTATTCATCCATTTTTATATAATATTATCACGTGCTCAGCGGTGAAGGAAAACATTGTGAGGAAAACTTCATATTTACGAAATAATAACAAAAAATGCAGTGGGGTCGCGTGATGGACTATGCCCTGATACCCTCTGTGGCTTTTACCCAGCAGCGGGACATGTATAGACTAACACTTTACTTTTATATAATAATAGCATACGTTGTTGGACTCATATCTTACCTGGGGCCAGGGTCTCCAGTAAGTCCGCGAGCTTCTTGCACAGCTGTGTTTTGAGCAGCAGCCGGTCGTCACTAACCGCAGCTAAGCCCAGGTTGTGCTCTTGTCCAATCATCTGGGCCATTGCCAGGCTGACGTCGGTCATATAATGATGCGACGCGTGCAAGTAGCTGGAGCAGTGGCTCACGAACCTAAGCGAATTAATGATCGATTAGGCTCGTATTATTCATGCCAAATCTACCGCAAGGTTACTAATATAAAAATAATAATAAACAAATCTAGATTCAAACTATATAATTTGGAGACTGTCTTCCATGGAGAAGGAATCGGAGAAGCGTACCTTACACGATTATCTTTCTCAAATTTTCTGGAAACCATCATCACAATCTGTATTTTCAGGACGGTGTTACAACAATTAAAAAAACTCAACAAAATCTCTTATTTAGAAAAGCATCGCTCTAATAAAGTTTTCAGTGCTAACAATGCTCTTTTTATTAGAAGATATGTATTGCTGCCTACTGGGATATTCTATTTATTAAAGAGTAATCATGCGTAAAAAATCCGAACCAAATAATTGTCAAACACACTTGCAAAAATGGAAGTTCAATAACTAGGCCTATTAGAGCGCTAACGCTCAGATATCCAGAGGACCACGATCCCTCAAAAATACCTTCGCAATGGATCAGAATTTCATTTGCTTGATCATATTATTTTATAAGAGTCTTCAATTGAACGACCTCAGGCAACAATGTTACCTGAAAAACACAACCAGTCACAATAACATGAGCGGAATATTATCATCAAAATATATTTACTGTGGATTATCATATGGTTGAGGCATATTATGTAAGGCATAAACAGTCAGTACACTAATCGAATGAACATCAAAATATCTTTATTCATGAAATATCCTCCTTATATAGGTTCCATACCAAAGTTAATAATTAGTAGTTCTTCTTCTTTCTCCTTTCTTATGCTTTCCCACGTAGGTGGGGTTGGGAGAACATGTGAATCCTGTTGTTAATGGATTCGGCTATGTATTTTACGATTGGCTGCATGCCTAACATCAATCCTCTTTGGTAACAAACGCCGGTGACAAACACTCTCCATGGGGATAGAATAAGCTCCCGTTGTTGAAGCTAGACAAGTTATCAAACGGGTTATCTATGATATACATTCAGTATGTAATGTAAAGCTGGTTGGTTCTGGTGGTTTGCACAACACAACGCTTTAATTGTTCAATTCTCACATATGGTATCACTTAAGCAATACTTTTCCATGTTTTGGAACTCTAAATAAGAAGGCTAAAGTAGCCTCCATATAAGCAAATATTAATAGTACTCGAAAATAATTTCAAAGAACTTTAATTTCAAAAGAAACTTTATTCCCCCCAGTTGTCAACGAGTAACGTGAAACCCTTTACGTTATCACTCGGTGGTAAGCATAATGTTAATTGAGGTTTCCTTAGCCAGAACTCGCCAGGATTGAGAGTATTACTTGCCAATAGTTACAGTTTGCATTTTTGTGAAGTCTATGAGCACACTTTAAATCGCCCTAGCCACTACATCAGGATTGATAACCCAAACCTACCTCTCACAGGCGTCAACGTCGCCCTTAGGCATCACGCTCAGTTCTCTGCCGATGTCCTGCAGAAGCTGCTGTATGATCGCATCAGAGACGGCGTCCCCACAGCTGTTGCAATTCCAGAACTTGTGATCCAAGCCCCTACTCTCGGGAACTGGCGATGTGGTCTTGTGTAGAATCGGCAGGATGAAAGTGTCTGGCAGCAAGTACCCCTTGCAGTCTCTGGCGGGAGTGAGAAATTGGTAATTTAATAGCTTATTGGTAATTATTGTAGCTCATATAGTGCATGTTTTATCTAACATGTTTCTTTCTAAATGTCGTAAACTGTTATTTAATTTAGTATATCTACGTTTTGGAAAACTTTATGCTTGTTCTCCGCAAATTAACAACGCACCATAACATCGAAATTGACGGAATTCTACGAAATTTAACGATAACAGTCAGAGTAAACAGACGCGTTTACAAAGTAGTTGCTCCGTCGCGAACCGTTGGTACAATCTTTAAACAGTTTATGAAGACTCGTGTTATTAATATTATTAGATGTAATATCTTGTAAATTTGCTGAAAAATGCAATGAAAGCGGATAAACGTAAGAGTTATAAGAAATTTCAGTCTGGTTTTAATTTCATTCACAGTTTAAGTTAGAAATAAATACAGAAATAATTACATTTTTTGCAATTACAATGCGGTAAATTGTAAAAGTTCTCGAATGGCGACCACGAACCGAAAGACGGTGCGTTGGACATCATAAGAGTCGCGGGCAACCGGTAGATTCAAATGGCAAAGTGTCGTTCGTTGGGAGTTCTAAGATGGATTTTTTTTTATTTTGAACTGGCCAGCACTTGGTAAGTGGCGATGCAGCCTTAGATGGTAAGCGCGCTAGCTCAGTAAAAACCTATGCACTCTTCCCTTGAAGACGCCTACGCTGTAATCGGACGGAAAGACGGATGCCGGCAGGTTGTTCCAATCCTGAGATGTACGGGTGGTAAATGACGAAGCAAATCGCTTTGTTCTTGTTCTGGTAACGTCGACAGCATAAGGGTGGAGCCTCGCCGAAAGCCTAGTTGTCCGATGATGGAAAGGGGCGGGAGGAATCAAATCATACTACTCCAACATCTCCAAAATGCTTCCTGTAGAAGACCGAGAGGCTGGCTACTCTGCGCCTGCGCTCAAGGCTAGTGCTTAAGGAGGCCTATGTTCATGATGATGATGATGATGAAATTGATAGATTAGGTGATTTCCGGATACATGCTTGGGTAACCAGGTAATTACGAGTATAAGACATTAATAAATGTCCAAAGTGCAATTGAAATCCTATGAAGTATGATGAGTGCAAAAGTTAAAGGGGACCTTTTTCCACTTAACCTAAACTATAGCTTTCGATCTACCTGATAATAAAACACTGCATAGCGTCAGCGATACCTACTTCTTCTTGCACTTGACTGCGCTGTACATAGTGCCGAATTCGGTGACGTCACTGCACCGCCGACAGGCGCACTCGAAGAACTTGGAGTCGGCGAGGTGGTGGCGCCGCGCCTCGGTGCCCCACAGGGGGTCCGTGTAGCAGACGGAGATATGCGCACCGGCGTGTATGTTCACGCCAGCGCAGAGTATCTGAGGAACAGTATGCAGTGATCATTAGACCATACGAGGTCATACGTGTACAGACAGAGCTACTGTAATGATCGTGAAAACAACAAAAGAATAATTTTTTAAGGGATCTCTTTAAGTGATATCAAGTGCGACCGATTCGAGCTTTTGTAATGTTGAAAATTGTTTGTAGTGTATTTTTAAAGCTGAGAACATTTTCTTAACTTTTTTCTTGCGATAATTTTCTGTACAGATTATATACAGTTTTGAAATAATTGTTGGATTGAATCACTGGTTTACAGCAATAGAGTATTGTAAACCATGTCATAAGTAAAACGTCTTTATTTTATAGTCTTTTTGTTGTCTGTATCTTGCTAATCATACCAAGAACCAGATAATTACCAAGAAAACAAAAGGAATGTATCGAAAAAGGGATCAAACACGACAATGAACATTCTCACAATCTCCCCGGCGGAAGTGAAGCTCTTGTTACAGTTGGCGCTGCAGTCGTGCTCCGCCATCGACACTTTGTCGAACACGGCCACGTACTCGGGCTCCAATAGCGGTACTTCGTGTCCATTGATCTGCGAACGCGTAATTTTCTAACTCCAGTTCTGGTCTGACGAACTCACACAGAAAGAGCAGTCGTTTATTTGTAGAAGAAAAAAGTGATTTGGTGAGACCAAAGGATAGTTAACACTACTTCTCGCAGCTTTGCAATTGTTATAATCAGCCCACATCAGTTCACTGCTGATTATGGAGCTTGTGCAAGAAACGTTACATCGCCGTGGCTACCCACATAAAGTCACCGTCGACTACGTAAAAAAAGTTTCATCCGGGGAAGTACCACAGTCTCCCAGCAGAGCGGAGTGTAGTGGAATATAATATATGGTACAGTAGAGTAGAATAGTGTATAAACTAATTGAATTCGTTAAAAATTATTATAAAGAGAAATAGGATTTAAAAGAAGGAAGAAATAGAAAGGGAAAAGAAGAAAAAAAATACCTGGATGATACCGCAGCATTTCATAATCTCTTGCTCGGTAAATTTCCCTTCTAGCTTGAAGAACTTGGGGATGAAGTCTGCGATCATCTTCTTGTCGTTGTTCCATTTTTCGGTGCCCTTGCGTTGCTCACAGTGGGACTCTAGTGCTTGCAGCTTGCACCACAATTTCTCGTCGTGGTCCCGCTGGTACAGGCAACGGAGAACTGTGATGCATTGGTAGTTCGGGTGTGGAACGCCGAAAGTGGAAACTGTCACCTGAAATCATGAATGAATACAAATCCTTGTGATGTGATGCAGACCGAACTGAAATACTGCGATAAACAGACAAGATTGATAGGATCAGTGCTATCAAAGTTTAAGGAGTTCGAAAAGGTCCGGAACGAGTGGTGGTGGTGATGCCCTAAGGAGCAAATGCATAATAAATTTTATGAATTATTGTAAACTTTAGCTGTGATAATTCAGTATCTGGACGCACACTTTTAATTCAATATATTCGAGCAACCTGATTTCAAATTCCGGTTGCCGACACCGGCAAAGATTTTATTAATTTTAAGTTCTCAGTTCTCAGCGTTTAGGGGAATCATCGTAATCATCGGAAATCTGCATATTTTCAAAATAATGGACAAAATTATTTCGAAGATATGTGAAGTCTGCTAATCCGCAGCGGGACTGTGTGGTGTACTCTGACCTAATACTCTCTGAGGCCTTCGCCTTACGGTGTGAAAGGTATACGCAGGATTCCAGGTTTAAGTGTCCTAGCGTGTTCCCGATTGGTCTAAAATAACTTACTTCCCGTTCACTTCCAGTCAATTCCTCTTTTTTTTAATCCATATTTAATTCAAAAAGAGGTAAATATAAAAGTATAACAAAATGATAAATCTAATAAAATTAACTCAGGGCAAGGTGCCAAGCTGCATTTCCACGATGAATAGTTATGCTTAACATTTTAGGAGGAAAGAAGGAGCCCTCTTGTTACCAACTGCGGTTATAATTCTTGGATGAAAATCTTTCAAACATTTCTATTTCCGAGAGACTCACGGATCTAAGGTTTCGGAACAAATGGAACAAATATATGACCTAAAGTGGAATATATCATGAATTACAGATTTATATATTCCACTTATTTAATTCAGCTGCCTCTAATGCCGCGTTGGCCGTGGCTAAAGTACCCTTTACATGAGAGGCATCCAAAGTATTTACACAGGGCTCAAAGTCAAGCTGTTGGATATCTCGCTGTCGTGAGAGAAAATGCCACAAGGCTCTAAAAAAGACGGAACGTTGATGGATGCTGTCATTCAGGGAATCGTAGCGGAACAAGCGACCAGCGCTTTTTTGAAAGCCCATGGAGACCATATTTATCTACATTGACACCACAAGGACTTTGGTGTGGGTGACAGTCGAAGACCTTGACGAAATCCTACAGCAATACGTGCTTATTACTAGACGATTTAAGCTATACTTCGTTTAGCAATTTGCCCAGGTTACTTGTTGGTCAAGCGTGAAAGAATAACTGGATTCATTAGATGAGGACCCTAAAAACGGGCACGCTCGAAATCACTGTCTAAAGATTGAAATAGAGAGCCAAAACAATTGTTCTGATCTTGTTAAGCACGGAGGCAAGGAAAGTAGGTAGTAATTCAAATTGGTTGGTAGTATAAACATCAGTGCAGATCATACCTTCTCGCCTCTGTTCTGAGTGTAATGACACTCAGGTTTGTGCACCTCCTTCTTGGTGCAGGCCTCCGAGCAAAAGGGCCAGCCGCAATCTGCGCAGGGCACTGCGGAGCCCTGTTCTAGCAGCTGGTAGCAGCCTAGGCATACCGGTGGAGTAACCTTGAGGGAAATCACAATTCGTAGATCGTGCAATTTCTTTTGCAGTACAATAAAAAGTTAAAGCTATGGTGAGACTACTTTGCCAGTTGCTATTTCATTCATATGTAATAGACGATTTATATTTATTTAATTATTTAAATTATTGAGCATGCGAACCAATAACCAAATTAACTTCTTATCATCTTATGATAAGAAGTTAATAACTTAGGGCTTAGGAAAAATATACAAAAAAATAATTTTTTGTATATTTTTCCTAAGCCCTAAGTTCCTAAGGAGGAACATCGCTAAATGCACGGGTGCGGCTGTCTTGAACACGCAACCCTGTCCATCGACAGCCACGGCCCCTCTGCCAAGAGTGTCCGACTAAGAAGAAATTTATTTTTTCTAAAATAAGCTTTCTTTTAACGTAGATTTATGCTATCCTTTATCTTATGCATGTTACATTGAAAACAGATTTTGAACCTCACATAAACGCTTTGCATAATCTAATCCATACTAATATTATTAAGGCGAAAGTTTGTACGTATGGATGGATGTTTGTTACTCTTTCACGCAAATACTTCTGAATAGGTTCTAATGAAACTTTACAATAATATAGCTTATACATCAGATTAACACATAGGCTATAATAATAATTTTTATACATAAAAAAAGATAGATATAAAAAATTAAATAATTAATATACATATTTTTATGTATATATCTATCTGTCTTTTTGTCCGAATGTTATGCCTTCAGCCTATTCTACGCAGAGGTAGTCGCGGGCAGCAGTTAGTAAAGTCATATTATTGACTTACAATTAAATATCTATAATGACTTTTGTTTTTGAAAATGAAATGAAAGGGAAAATAACTTATAATTTACTTTAATTTCTCACATCATTCCTATGAATGTGATAAATGAAATACTTAATTTTACCTGCGCCGGTCCGGTTATAAGCGGAGATTCCTTCATAATAACATCGCCAGCCTTGATGTCTCTCGTGGCCTCGAGATATCTCCCGACGTTCGCATCTCGCTTTACCCTGGCCGGGGAACATTGGAACTTGTGCAGCTTCCAGTCCTTCTTCTGATGTTCCCTCGAGCAATAATGCACGCTCTGGCAGCCGGAGCACTTCTGTATTGCCGGGCCCGAACAGACAACGCACTCGCTTTGCTCAACCATGGTCTATAAAATCATCGTAATACTAGCTTGAAGTCTAAGAAACATGCACATAACCTAATGTGTTTATGAAGGTATTAATATCGTTTGTAGTTTATTCAAAACTGTTTTGCTGGTCCAGCTTATGATTCAAATACAGGCCATGCGTGTAATAAGCTTTTGAAGACAATATTGTGATTTTTCGTTTGAATGTAGCAATATTTCCAAGCTATGCCCAGAGTCAAACAGTGGACTATGCAGACCATCAGCATAAATAATAAAGATAAATACGTAACCAAATGATAGTCTCTCACTTCCAATAAGGTATTTAAATTGTCTACGACTTTTTATTGAGTAAGACTCTACACGTCTTGGCTTAATATTTTTGATTCGGATCTAATAATAAAAGTATCTAAAAAAGAGCAAAAAATTTTAAAATCATATGTATAAATCTTTTGTTATTGTTGAATGAATGCACCTATCTATTCCAAGTTGTATACTGAGTACTTACTTTAATTTGTAATTTAATGAAATTTAGTGCGGTTTTTTCAAATCTATATTCATCAAGTGTGGATACGTATGTTAACTTAAATTACAAACTTAAATTTTGAATTGTTCTATACATTAATGGTTTAACTTGATAAGAAAATCGATACTCACCGTTCCGATAACCTATATTCGGCAATGTTTATTTTAAACAGTAACGCGTTTAATTCAGAGAGAAGCTATCCGACATCCCGGCCGGTCGCCACTGAAATGGCGTTGGCCAAGGTAAAAATAGACAGCGAAGGAACGTCACTAATACGTTAGTGTTGTGTACGACGTATTCTGCGTGCATCTTAGTCTTCAAATCTATCAAACGTAGTATAGTACATTTTCAGTCGTTGTTTCGAGTTAAAAAGCATGTCGGTCTCAGGAGAATACACACTTAAAAATACACACTTAGATCTCAATCGGCAGTATACCTAAATTAAGGATATTATATTAAAACGCATGCTATCCTCTAGACAACTCTCTGTGGGTCACACAAATACTTGGGAACCAACGAGCGCCGAAGCCAATAATTTAGAAACTGCCCCACCGTGTTATCTTTATTACATTTGTTACAAATGAATTTTATACATAGTTTCTGGAAGCTGCTGGTTCACCTGATGTTAAGTGATAAACGCCGCCCATTGACATTTGTAACACCCGTGTGGTTGCAGTTGCGTTGCATTCTTTTCACAAAGTGGGCCCCGGCTACCTTATTAATTAAGTGCGTGTACAGAGATTTCAAACAGGGAAAAAAGCTTAACAATATTCACTTGATTAAGTGGCCCTTGAAGAGGCCGTGAGTTAATAACGTTCTTATATTTGTGAAAATTAATTAAAATTTAAAATATCGTTTCATGATGTAATATCTACGTATTAATAATTATTACTGTATAAATAAATTATAAATTAGTTGATGTTTATAAATCAAAACGGCATACCTGCACGAAACTTATACTCGGAGAAGCATAACTCCATACGTAAAAATTGACCCTTAACATTATACTACTAGGGCCGCAGTAGTATAGCACTAGCACACTAGTACTATATAGTACTATTCCTCAACACTGAGTTTCTAATATCTAGGCGGGATTATAATTATTTTGAATGTATTTTTGTTCATTATTGCTAAATGCAGTACTTTGATCATCACAAGTTCCTTAATTTCAATTATTAATTTCTTGTATTTACGCGATCGCACATTACTAAACGAAAATATGTTTACCGATTTATGTTTGTTTCAATTTCCGACATTTCGAACCCTTTAAAGTGTTCATTATCACAGTTCAACATGTTCAACATCACAGATTAATAGAATAACATTATGTTCTAGTAATGGGGATCAAACGCACACAGCAAATGATAGGTTCACTATACATTGCGCCAAACAGGTGATAGCGCATATACTCGTATATTCAGAGCCAGAAACGAAGCCCCAGGTTCTGGTTTAACTGGATCAAAAGGGACCAACGCCTAACAAATTGCAGACATCGAGAAACGCAGGGAAGATTTTGATCCTTAGAATCCCCCGTTATAAACCAAAACACTTTGACGAAGTATCGCATATGAGTTAATTTATAGAATTAAGTTGCGTTGGTCTCGAATGACCACCAAAATTAATGTATTTTGTAATGTGATTATTGTATGCTGTAAAGTTTCCGAATAAAAAAAAATGAAAATAAAAATGAAAAAAAGATAAAAACGCTTGCTGGGTCTCCACCGCCCAGAACTACAAATTAAAGACACAGCGCTCATTACTTAAAGCAAGGACATTATTTGAAGCATGCTTATTTCTGAAGAACAAAGGTAATGTTCTTAGCTCAGAGTACAGAAATAAGTTCTGTATTCTATAGTTTTTACATACTAGGCTATTCAGGAAAACATAAATAAAATTGACTTGTTTATTGAATTTTTTATTAATCAATAATATGTCGATTAAATATTTAATATGTTGTACGCATAAAATATTCAAAACAAACCTTTATGTAATGTTATTAATTTGTAAAAAGTTAAAACAATCGTCAAAAAATAACGCGAGCAACTGTTACGAATCAATTGTCTTTTAGTAAAAGGAATGATCGATGAGAAAGAAGAATATTAAAGGGACTTGTATCAGGAAATATAAAAACAAACTAGCTCATTGTATCTTAAAACAAGAGTAAATTTTATGAATATTAACATAAATAAAACAGAAAAAACCTTTGCCTCCTTTGCCCTGATCAGGCAGCTGGGTTTTACACAATGATTGACTGTTATATGATTATTGCAAAAAACAATATGATCAGCAGATCTAAATTAATACGAAACCATTTGAAAGATTAGTTTAAATGTTTTAGTAATAATTAATATTCAAAATTCAAATAGCAACAAGAAATATAAATATCTGAACACGTTTAACAACACAACTCTAAATGGGGCATAGAAATTTCATTTTAAAAATATAACACAGACTTAATAATAATAAATATAAGTTGGAGAGTGATAAGTATTTATACCCGTACTTTTTTGAAAACATTTTCAACTCGTATACCGTACATTTTTTAATTAGTTGAACACGTAAAATTCATTTGCTTTTCGTTCTATTTATTATCACGAGATTTTCCCGATGATTTGTTCCCAGGTCTTGATCTTCTTGAGAGCATCTCTGGCGGCAGAAGCCATCAGGCCTTCTGAAGACTGCGAGGGCTCAAAGCCCAGTATCAACGCGGATTCCGTCAGGTACCTTACTATCTGTAAAATCGTCAAAGGTAAAAACATTATGAACATTTAAATAGTAATCATACACTGACCGAACTCGTAAATTAAATAACGTCCACATATTTTTTTTTACTAAATGCATATCTTGTATCTTGTATTAACTGATGTTTTTGCTTTCAGTCCCGAGACTATTAAAGCTTCATCTGACGCAGAACCGGTGGGCCAGAACCCACGGGTTTGGGCCCTCCGCTATGGGTAGGGCCGCGCATGTGCTCATGCGTGCGTTTAACTACGACATGTCATCTAAGGGCCATCGAAGTTGCGGTGCGGACCGAGACCCCGATGGCCGTCGACTGTGTTTTTAGCTAATCGGTGGCTGGGGGCGGTGAGAACCGCCCCGGAACGCGGGTGTACCTTGTGTACGCGTTGTGTTGGTCTTGCCGTGCTTGGAGGCGAGGGCGAACTAGTGTGTTTGTTGTTGCACTAACTGTGGGTGTAGTGTTATCCGGCGGGACCCCCGGCGGTGGGTCCGGCGTATCTAAGTCAGTAAATGCATATGGCACATCCATACATGACCAAAATAACATTTTTTACAATTTTTGTCTGTCTTTCTGTTTCTTCCGGCTATTGACGGAACTTTCACTAATAGATAGCTGATGTAATAAGGAGTAACTTGGCTACTTTTATTTTAGAATTTTTTTTAAAATGTCACGCAGACGAAAGCGCGGGCACAGCTAGTTAGTAAATATGTTTTACACAACAAAATCTAATAGCATTGTTGCCATTTTCTCACATATCTTATCCTTTAAACGAGCAATTCTTGTATATATATATATATATATATATATATATATATATATATATATATATATATATATATATATATATATATATATATATATATATATATAATCGGAATCTCGGAAACGGCTCCAGCGATTTTCATGAAATTTAGTATGTGCATTGATTCGGGGGCGAAAAATCGATCTAGCTAGGTTTCATTTTTAGAAAATGTCCTTTTATCCCTGTTTTCCGGGAATGAAAAATATAATTCGAATATGACGGTAAATTTCGCCGCAAGACAAAATGTCATAATAGCTAGGTCGGTAATCGGGCGGAAAACAGACGGCCGTGGTTTGCGTCACGATCATTTACACATTTATTTTTTTACTTTTTTTTCGATTCCAGATCATTGCTTTCTTTATTTTTAATTTTTTGTCGATTTGTTATTTTGTTATTTTTCCCCCTTTTTTTTTAAAGTTCTTTCTTTTGTGAAAAACATCAGTTCATATTTTCTTATTATTACGTCGGTAAGATCGAAAAATATTATGCATATTTCATTACTCAGTAATTTGTATCTAAATGTAATTTCCAAAATACACGATTTACCAAAAAAAAACAAACCGAGCAAAGCTCGGTCCTCCGGGTACTGTTTACTAAATTGAGACAAGAGTAGTGAAAGCAAGTGCTTGTTTCTTTCTATTTAAAATGTATTATGTGAAATTGAGTCATATTCTTGTAATATCTATCATTCGTATTCCCAAAAGTTCATTGTTAGTGAAACGCAAAAACATTCTTAAAAAAGGTCAAGTCAAATTGAAAGGAAACTGCAGTTTCCAAATAAAACCACCTTTGGAGGTTGGCTGTCGTGCATCCATAAACTAAAAACCGTAGTTTATTTATCCTAAATCCAGCTAAACTAAATCTAACGATGTAGACGAAGATAGATCTAGTTTACAAAATTGAAAAAGTATAGTACCACTCACCTCTTTTAAACGTTCCCGTAAATTGTCTTTAGAAATGGCTTTTTTCTCGAAATCCCTCGTAGTCAATACCATGAGTGGAGCGTGCAGTTCATACAGCGTTATTCCTAGAATGAATTTTTTACATTAATGTTATAAAAACGTTTAACTTACACATTTATTCGCATAAATTTAAACAAACACATTGTTTATCGTCATAAATATAAAGTTTATTAAGCAATCATTCTCGTGCTCATTTACCACTGATTTTAAGAAAACATCTATGAACTGAGCATAGTATCATACTATACTTATTCATATTCTATAGAGAAGTTTTCAATATACAGCCAAAAAGGCCTACCTATTTCTACTCTGAAATTCAAAGCCTAAAGAATTGATAGAAATAAGTATTGCTTAAGGGCTTCGTAACGTGGTGGATAAACAATGTCTTTTACGACGTTTGCAGTATATAATTAATACCGTGATTTGCATAAATTAGAATATCCTAACCCAGTTATATAATATTCAAATTACATGTCAGCACGATTCCAATGAATACAATTTTCAGTAATGCTTAAATGATCCTTTTCGTAAATTATCCATTCAGATATTCTATTTAAATTTTTATCCCAGTCTAAACAATCAAACGATTTTTTCGCTTGTAATATGAGAACCAGAGAACGAACAGCAGACCTCTACTAAATACGATATAATACTTCATCATATTGTTAACTAAAACTGTATATTTGTAGTATTAGCGTAAACTCAAGAAATAATTACTTCATCAAATGCGATACTAAGTATACGAATGAAATATCTTCTAATATCACACAATTTATAACTGAGATCTAATTAAAAGCGGTAAAAACCCTGTCCATAAAGACAGTTAATATAGTTTTTAAGACTAAAAACAAAAATATGATCCAACAAAGGCACGGAGCAGAATTCAATCAATTTCTTTTACAAACGTGTTCTAACATTTTTATTATACTCAAACGCAATATCTCCAAGTAAACCTTTTTTTAATGTGAAAAGTTGCCAAACGAGCAGACGGTTCATCTGATGTTAAGTGAATACTGCCGCCCATGGACATCTGCTACAGCCGAGAGTATGCAGTTACGTTGACAACCTTTTTGGAAATTGGGCTCCGGCTACCTCACTGACCAGAAGAAACGCGAAAGTATTATACTTCCACTTGACGCCGGTCTTCTGTGAGGTCGTGGTACTTACCCGGACGAGCCTGCCCATTCGTGCAACAGCCGAGGCTGCTGCGTGGTCCTACCATCGTTAATATAATAAACCTTCTCCTTACCTCTGAGTCTGGAGTACCCGGGCTCGATGTGGTCGAACGTTTTCATCAGCTCCCTGCACACCTCGATCTTCCTGCTCAACTGCTGGTCGGGCATCTCGTGGATCATGTAGTCACTGACTTTGCCGTAGAGCTGACTCAGCGAATGCAGGGCCGATAGGCAGAGGTAATGCGTGTCGTGCAGAACGTTCCTGTACTTGTGCAGGAAGCCCTCGAAGCCAGCGACGTCATTCGCGTCTATTTGCTCGAACTCATCTGTCAACCTGACATAGACATGAATTGAATGGTCTTAAACAGAAGAGATATAAATATATAAGATCGTCAGGAAAAAGAAAGCAAAAAAGAAGTTGCAAGGTAAGTGAAACGAAGTTTTATGCGAGAAGGTGGCAAGCAAGCTTGCGGTTCACCTAATTTTAAGTGATAACTTTCGGTTTGCACTGGCTGCGATGCTTTTGGTGGTATCGCAGAAAGTTCTTGTGCACACACTAACACTTCACACTGTGAGGACGTGGTACATCCCCGGCAAGCCTGCCCATTCGTGCAAAAGCAAAGCCTGCTGCCCTACCACAATAAAGGTCAGGGTCCTGGGTCAGGTTTGAGAGCACCCCACCACTGACCTACCCGGAATCAGCCTAACCACAAATTACTGACGATGTAAGTGCGTTAGGGAATCTTAGACAATACTGTTTCTAAAATGGCTGCCCATACAGACATTGATGAGGCTTCCTGAAAATTGCAACTTCACCTCTTGAGCAGCATTTGGACTGCCACAGCCGGCATGGCATAGCTGCAGCCGGCCTCCGTGCACTGCCACGAGGCGTGGGGCTCCAGTGGCGCAGCGGAGAGCACCCTGCCGCCGCACTTGGGGCAACGGAACGCGCTGCAATAGGTTCCCAACTCGGTCGGGTCGGAGCAACGCTTGCACGCGCAGTCGAAGAACTTGCTCAGTTTTATGTGCTCCCGGCGTTTTAACGTGCCCTGGGAACAAATGTAGTCATGATAGCGCAGTTGCCAAGATATAGGCGTCGATGCCAAGGTCTGTGGCGTGATTTATTTCGTATACATATTACAAGGGGCGGACTAAATGTAGCAGGTGCATAGGTTCAAAGCGTTGCGCGCAAGGGCGCCAGTTTTTCCTTTTTATACCCAAGTGTTTTTGTCCGAGCGCTCGCTTTTAATTCAATATACTCGAGCAACCTGAGTTCAACCCTGGTGTCGGCACCGATGATTTTAATTGCTGACTCATCATGTGCTCCCACTGAGCAGGGAAAATATTGTTAGGAAACCTGCATGTTTTCCAAATAATAACAAAAAATATTTCGAAGATATGTGAAGTCTGCCAATCTCCAGTTTGGCTCCGTGGTGGGCCATGCCCCAACACCCGCAAAAAAAATTTCTAACTCAAATAAGCAATATATAAAATACCACATCCGATTCCCATATCTATAAATACATACATAAAAAATTAAACCCTTAAATGCATCTGAGGGAACTGGAGGTACGATAATAATTTTTAGTGACATTAATGTTGAACACATTACACAAAAGATTTAATAAAACAGTTTACAGAAAGTTGATTAATTCAGCCAGTGTTCTTGGCACCATGCCACGTAGATATGGTTCGTTAGATATTTTTTTTATATATGTGAAATTATAACTAACGTGTAAATATTATAAGAAAATTTTTATTTAATGTTTGATCTAAATGAAGATAAATAATAAATTATAAACAATATAAAAATAGCACCGCAAAGTCTCTGAGTTTTGACGTCCAAACAAATCGGAGCGACTATTGAAACTTTTAATTTCAATCTATTTTCTTATCCCAGTATAAGTACATTTTGAAATCATTGGAGAAGGAATCTTAATCTATCTAGAAAATCGATCCAGCTAGGTTTCTTTTTTAGAAAATATCGTTTTATCCCAGTTTTCAGGGAATGAAAAATATCATTTGAATACGACGGTACATTTTACCGAAAAAAAAAAGTGTTATAACAGCTCGGTCGGTAATCGGGCGGCCCCGAAACAGAAAGCCTTGGTTCGTGTCACGATCATTTACACACTTGTTTTTTTACTTTTTTTTCGATTCCAGATCATTGCTTTATTTATTTTTAATTTTTTGTTGATTTGTTATTTCGTTATATTTTCCCTTTTTTTTAAAGTTCTTTCTTTTGTGAAAAACACCAGTTCATATTTACTTATTATATTACGTCGGTAAGATCGAAAAATGTTATGCATATTTCATTACTCAGTTATTTGTATCTAAATGTAATTTCCAAAATACACGATTTACCAAAAAAAAAAACAAACCGAGCAAAGCTCGGTCCACCAGGTAGATACTTCTTCTTAATAAGAGGCAATCTTGGACGTTCAGTAAAGTCGAACGAACAAATTTCGTTATCTAGGTACCAATCAATATTTAGTTTTATTGTTTAGTAGGTAATAGACAAGATTTCATCAAATAGATCGTACGTTAGCGTTCACGATTGGGTTTTATTTGGTCGTAAAGTTTTACATCCAGTAACTATAACGACGATTTATCGGCAACTAAAATACTGATTTACGGGTTTGATTAAGATATCGAAATCGATTGAGGAAATATAAAACTATATTACATCATCGATAGAAGCCAATTTCGATTGTTTTCAATTAATAAAATTTAATTTTAACTTGTTAAGTAACAGTTTCTTTATAACTGTTAAACGTGTTAACTAGCTGTTATAAATTCGTTATATTATGTTAAAATATATTATGTTTCCATACGCAGCTCAAATAACATCCGTAAATGGAAAACTTCTATGAAAAATCTTTTTATGTGAAAAGTTGCCAAGTGAGCAGATGATTCACCTGATGTTATGTGAATACCGCCGCCCATGGACATCTGCTACACCGGAGGGTTCCAGATGCGTTTACAACCTTTTGAAAATTGGGCTCCGGCCACCTCACTCACCGGACGAAACGCGAAAGTATTATACTTCCACTTTACGCCGGCCTTCTATGAGGTCGTGGTACTTACCCGGACGAGCGTGCTCATTCGTGCAACAGCCGAGGCTGCTGCGTGGCCCTCCCACCGTAAACTACCACCGCTGTTGACAGTATGGTAACTGGGCTCGTTTTCGTTAGTTTCTCTGTCGTTGATCCCCTCACCTGCAGCGTGTAAGCGTAGCACAGGGTGATGAGTTCGCCGGCCTTGTGGGGCACGGAGGCGCGGACGGTGATCGGTCGGCCCGCCCTCCTCTCGGAGTCCGTGTGCGTTGTCGTTGGGGTGCAATCGTGGGCCAGGAGGTACGCCTTGTCGTAGAGGGCGCGCGCGTTCGCCCCGCTGCCCCCCACTTCGAAGGCGTTCACCTGCAATAAGGGCAATCAAAGTCAGTCTATGTCAAGTATGCATAGTATCTTGTATCTTGTATTAACTGATGTTTGTGCTCTCAGTCCCGAGACTATTAAAGCTTCATCTGACGCAGAACCGGTGGGCAAGCCAGAACCCACGGGTTTGGGCCCTCCGCTGTGGGTTGGGCCACGCATGTGCTCATGCGTGCATTTAACTATGGTGTGTCATCTAAGGGCCACCAAGGTCGCGGTTCAGACCGAAACCCCGATGGCCGTCGACTGTGGAATTACCTAATCGGTGGCTGGGAGAGAACCGCCCCGGAACGCGGGTGTACCTTGTGTACGCGTTGTGTTGGTCTCGCCGTGCTCGGAGGCGAGGGCGAACTAGTATGTTTGTTGTTGCACTAATTCAGGGTGTAATGTTATCCGGCGGGACCCCCGGCGAGTATGCATAGTGCGGTAGGCCACGCACGACTTGTTCGTAACTTAACCTTTAAAGTAACATGCCCTCACAGCACACCGACTTTAAACAGAGATATTTACATATGTTATGCATTAGAAAAATACAAGTCCCTTCTTTAGTTCCTGAAGGTTTTTTTTCGAGCAAACACCTGACAAATACATAAAGGTAAGAGAATATCGTTGACTGGCGTCTTTATATTCATGGACACGAACTTTCTAAATATATTCTGCACTTTTCACTGCGCCTAGCGACTTTGAAGGTAGTTGCTTCATTGTTTCCTTTTTTATTTTAATCTACAGCTCACATACCTCGAGTATACCGCACACCGTATGTATTTCTTCGTTCTCAAACTTCAGGCCCCAGCTCTTCAACCTCTGAACCACGTGTTTCTCGTTTGTAGGCCATATGTCACCCCTCGCTAGTCGCAGCTCGTTGTGTGCTTCCATCGTCGATATGGCTTTCCACTTTGACGGGTCCTCCTTTTTTAGTAGTAAACATCTGGGAACAACGTTAGTTAAGATAATAAGTAATTTTGACGTTCTACCACGGTCTTATTTATTCAAGAGAGGAACAAGAGAGGAACAATTAATTACAACTTCAAAACTCCACTACGTTAAATGAGCTAAAAACTACTTATATAGTATTACTCACCGCAAGGGCGTAATAGCTTGATAGCAATCCTTGAGGTCTTCCAGCTTGCTGTAGTCTGGTGGGACGGTCTTCAACAGATCGCATTCGTACGTGGCATGCCCCGTGTATTTGCCTTGACCTGGACAGGATTCGCTGCACGTCGGCCATTTGCAACCTTTGCACCTGAGAGCATTTTACATAAACTCTCGTTTCGTTGGGCTTTTTAAGGTAGGAGTAGGTTCTCTTCTTAAAGGCCCTATCGGTACGGAAATACCGCTGGCGACACCGAAAAACGCACAGTGGCGGACCGCCAACCATCAAGGTAGTGTTGGTGGTAATTAGCGGTTTGACGAGTTGTACGATGGTGAAATATAGTTATCGGCATTTCAAAACCCAGCTAACCACCCAACCAGGCCAACAGCTATTGCTCGATCAGTGCGATGACTATTTATTCCGATGAATATTTTTTTTATGTGAAAAGCTGCCAAACGAGCAGACGGTTCACCTGATGTTAAGTGAATACCGCCGCTCATGGACATCTGCTACCCGTGGGTTACAGATGCGTTGAGAACCTTTTGAAAATTGGGCTCCGGCTACATCACTCACTTCACGCTGGTCTTCTGTGAGGTCGTGGTACTTACCCGGACGGGCCTGCCCTTTCGTGCAACAGCCGAGGTGGCTGCGTGGCCCTACCACCGTAAAAAATGTTCGACGAAGTTTTAATACTCTATGAACTAAAAGTAAAAAATCAGTTGAAAATGAAGTATGAACTAAAAGTGAAAAAAATATTGTTATGAAAGAAAGACTGAGTTTAAAGAGCCGTGGTCAGATTTATTACCACTGTGATTTAATTTAATTAAAGCATGTGCGTTTAAAGTTGCGTGCGATTCGGACAGATCCGAATATCAGTAGATCACATCTGCAATATTTGCGTCATTCGCTATTTCCAATTTAGACTAGAACGAACTAAATCTGTACTGGAATTGCAATGTTGCCCTGATATTTGGTATTATTTTGGTTTTTAGGTAAAAGCATGTGGAACCGTGATAGCTCAGTGTCCGGGCGCTCACTTCACTAATTCAATATACTCGAGTAATCTAAGTTAAAATAGGGGTGCCAGTAAAATTATTAATTCTAAGTGCTGACGTCACACACGCTCAGGTGATAGAAAACATCGCAAAGAAAGTGGCATATATTCGAAATAACAAAAAAAATATTTCGAAGATAAGTAAAGTTCCGCCAATCTGCAGTGCAGCGTTCAAAGAGTCGGAACTCAGTTAAAAGATAGCAAATCCCTCAAATTGTTGTCGTGTATAATATGTGGCATTCGCTAAAATATGATAAACCTTAAATTTCACCCGCCAACATAATCGTAAGGTTTCTTTGCATAGTAGGAGCGGAAGACGCGAGTGCTTACGTCACTCACTTGACAACGGCTCCTTCTTCCAGCTCTCGGTAGCAGCCGAGGCAGATGAGCCCGCAGCCGCTGCAGGGCCCCACCACCAGCGCCGGCTCTTCGATAATCACCTCGCCAGCGCGTATATCTCGATTCGCCACGACGTACCTGAGAGAAGAACATGACACCGTTAGTTAGTCAGCCCTGAAATATCTTTTATATCTTTTAGGCTAGGCTATCTTTTAGGCTATCTTTTAGGGTTGACTAACTAACGGTGGCTACGTAAATATTATTATATTAATGTTAACTAACAGAGCTTTAACAAAATCTGGAGCCAGTCAATGTTTATTCATTGCCAAGTTCTCTTAAGTTATAATTCTAACGTATATGTACTAAGTACTAAATCCTAAATAACTAAATTACATTTTTACCAATTAATTATCTCAAAAACGAATTTAGTGATGATGATAATGATGTTTTTGACCCTAACAGCTGGGCGGCATGTCCTGCAAAGGAACTTATGTGAAAACTGTAACTAAGTTTTATAGCCAGGTGTTCAAACCGAAAAGCTGCCGCGCGTAGTGATAACGAGTACGTCCACAATCGAACATGTGCGTTGTTGACAAGACGCATGTAACAGGCTGGCTGTCAGCTGTCACGCTTTGTGTGTTCTCCACCGAGTTGTGCTCAATATTATTGGACATGACGCGCTTAATCCCTTGCGGGACACACCCGTCGCACGCTTGGCTCCCGTCCACCGCATCTGCCTCTCTATCGCCCCTTACTTCACTTCTAATCTTAACAAACTTGGCCTAGTGAGATTCTAAGCCGAAAAGGTGTCAAACTATGATCGTCTGCTTTGAGTTTCGTACACCACCTCTTAAATGATCACCATGTCATTGTGTTTCATCAGATGTTCATATTTTTATGCGTGTAACGATAAAGTTATCATTCCATGTATAGAATAACGCAATGTCTTCACGAGACACGACGTTGACTCGGGAACATTAAACGTTAAATATAAGCATAGTTAAAAGGACTACATTACAAAAATCTCCACACTAAACTCTAATTATTATTAGATGAAGTACCGGGCTTTAATTTCGGCTTTTAATGGTCCTTTATGCGACTTTTTCGCATGGACTCGAAACTTAGTAATAGCAAAGAATAGTCGATTGCAATCTGAATGCTATATCAGTTTGTGTTACAGACTTTAAATAAAATGACATAAAACATAAATAAGGTAAAAACGTAATCCCAGTATGTGGGTCAACAACCCATTTATGTTGAAGCAATAACAGGCACTCCATTAATATTATTTCAAACAATCAAACACGTTAAAAGCAAAACCACCAAACCGTGAAAAACACGAAACACGCGGATCGGACGGACGCTTGCCAGACCCGAGGTCGCCATAGAAATATTTTCATTTCGAAATTCAAACGATATCCTCGTGCTGGACATGAAATAAAATTGAACTTTTTGTCTATGCCACCGTTTTCTTGTAACATTTGAAGTGGCACTAACTATTACATCGTAACATTGGACACCACAAATTGGCACAATATTTACGACCGGCTTGCCCGACCTCAACTCTTCGTGGAAACTAACACCCAAATTTGGAGCAGTTATCTGTGGACCGCACATATACTTGTCCAGTGTGGGAATGGAACCCATGAACCCCGACGCCGAGGCCAATGCTTTGGCAACTGCACCACGGAGTCGTCTATATGTGAACTATAAATTTACTTTTGATAGCTTAATTAGCGCAGAAACTAAGTTGTACAGCACGGATACAACGAAACCGTGTTCTCTTTTTTGTGGGGCCACGCAGCAGCTTCTGCTGTAGACAATACCACCGAAACTTCATCTGCCATATTCGTACAGGCTCATCCAGGGTAGTACTGCGGCCTCACAGAGCACTGGGGTGAAGAGGAATAATCGTGGATTTGCGGGTCTTCTGGGGATTGAGATAACCTTGGATAACTTTTAAACGTTGACAGCGTATCTGTTGCCCCTGAGTGTTGTAAAGGTAATCATCGTGTGAATCGTCTACTTACTTGCATTTTGGAGAAACCCTTTATGGTTATAGTCCAGAAAGATGTCGCCGAACACAATAGGGAAAGAAGCTAGATTGGAACGGAGATACCACCTCGTCAGATGCGGGCGTAGAGAGTAACGCTAAAGGATCCCCTTTATTAAAAACAATATTAATAATACGAAATCAGAGAGACAATTACGTAACGTATTTACCCAAATACAACACATAGCAACAATGTTTGTTTTGCCAAATTTTTAAATGAAACCAGAAGTATAGCAAGAAATGGGAAACTTCGAAGCGTTTGCTTACATTAGGGCTATAAATCGAACAAAGAACGGGTAATATAAAGCCTTGAGATATGTGTCGTTAATCGCTCAAATGAACCATCCAACAAGATCAATCGCGCGGCGTCGACTTGTTGATAATATTTTTAACAATTTCATTGATTCTTAGCAACCGGACGTTTATGACGGAATGAGGAGCAATAAACTTGCTAGATTTATATTCATTGGCAAAGATTATAGAATATAAGAGTGCGGAGGCCGTACAAACCACTTGATCTTCGCAGATCCCGTAGGGGTTTGTCAGAGTAATAACGGACGACTAAAGTTACTCCTATTTCCAAAATCAAGTGGTAATGTTCTTAACGAACATATGGAATTTATAACAAATCCTTTCTTGATTGACAAGCAAAACTAAATCATAGTGTCACTAATAGGTTTTGCTGAGGGTAAGGTTATGTAGGACGATGGTACATAGTTGGAAATATGTACTTATTGCCAATTTAATAATCTCACATAATATATTTTTTGAGATCATTAAATTATAATATATATTAATAATCTCAAGGTGGCAAGCGAGCTGCGGTTCACCTGATGTTAAGTGATAACCGCCACCCATTGACATTTGCAACACCTATAGAGTTGTCGATGCGTTGCCACCTTTTAGTAAAGTGCACCCCAGCTACCTCACTAACCACACGAAACGCAGAAATTTAACACTTCCACTTCACGTCGGTCATTTGTGAATTTTATTTGATTTGCCTTGTCCAAATATGTATGTAATTGGAAATGCAAGGTACTTTGCTAATAGATAAAAATCACATTGAGAACTTAAAAAGTATCCATGCATTTATACGTCCGTATTTTTTGAATACGTTTTTTTCAATGACATCAGAGCATCGTCATCAACCTTGTTGGTAAGTAATAACAACCATTGTCAATAAAAAATTTAATAATGCGTAAACGAAATAACGACATGTTGGCTACGACTTCTGTAGCTGTAGTATAGGTTAGTATAAGTTATTCGTAATGTCAATCTGTAATTTTTATTGCAAATTAGTGTAATTCGTAAAGTTTGTCAAATATTAAGTAGTTGACAAAGACGTTGTAAACGTTCAAATAATTGCGTTAAGTTATATACTTTGTGGGAGAGCGCTCATTAAACATCGTTTGGAGTAACATGTTTGACAAACAAGCTTTTCCGCATGTTGCTGCTATTAGTGCTGACGAGAATTTCCACGCAAATCCTGTCAAAAATATTCAAGCCGCTGTCAAAGGTACATATTGTTTGACAAACTAGTAAAATTTGTGAAACGAATATGTCAACTGTTTACCAAGTAGTCTGCAGCTCAAAGTCAAAACAGAACTCACCTGCCCATGACGTCAGAATGTCTTACGTCGTAGCACGGCTTGTCGCCTGTCTGCAAAGGGGGCTGCGAGCCCTCCTGCTCCGCCACCTTCACATCTTGAACGTTCTCCTTATTCTTGCCTTCAGCCTTCCCGCGTTTCTTTTGCTGGAACAGGTCAGTTCGTGAGTCGACTCGCCAACGGCAACGGCCTCGGACCCACACCGAGTAGCACCCTGAGTTAACTCACGCAGGATATGCATCCTAGCATTTGGGCGGAGTGGTTTATCCGGCGGTGGGTGCGGTGTCTTATTTATTCCCGTATCGCTGCCGCCGCGACGTGTCTACAGTGACGTATGGGGTTGATGAATGAGCGTTTTCGGCCGGTACGCGTGGTCTAGTTGTATTTCCGTACGCCACTTGAATCCCCGTGCCAATGGCACGGTATAAAAGCTCGTTTCACGGCCCCGCGGACGCGCCGGCAGCCGCGATCGCTTAAGGCGTGGGCGCATGCTTCGCCGATCTTTCTTTTGTGTACTAAGCAGCAAGCGAGCAGGCGTTTCACATGATGTTAAACTATTGCCGCCGCCCATGGACATCTGCAACACCCGACGGTTTGCAGGCATGTTGCTGACTTATTATAAAATTAGGCCCCGGTTATCTCACTCGCAGACGAAACGCAGAATTATAAAACTGACACCTCACGAAAGTTCTCTGAGAGATTGTGGCACTTTCCCGGATGGATCTGCCCATTCGTGCAACAGTGAAGGCCGTTGCTCGAATGGGCTGCACTTTAAACAACGGCTTCCTTTATCACGAACCGGAAAGCCCCTAACTTAGCCGGATGATACAATCCTGAGTCAGTTTCTACTCAAGAACTTGGGATTGTTCTTAGCTCGGATTATTAGAATCTTTAGCAAACATGTCTCGGTTGCATTCGTACGTACAAAGTAGATAGTAAGCGGCGCAGCCGTAGAAGTTGAACCCTTAAACCCACTTTGAATTCAGTATGGAGTGTATTGGAGTGGGTAGAAGCGCAGAAACAAATACACTACCAGGAAAGATATTTAGTTATTATTATTATATTTAGGTCATATTTAAATATCATATTTAAATATCATAATTAAATGGCAAATCTAAATATGCATAAAGCAATATGTCAAAAAATTTACTTGAAAACTACGTTCAACAGAAATATCGTTGGTGCAACAGATAGGAATTTTAATATACGACCTCAGATGGTCACAACCAAATTCTGTTACCGACATTTTAAAGTTAAAAATTTAAAATTAATATTTTTAAAAAGGTTTTGAAATTCCATAATACCTAGTTAGACCAACGTCATTTTGGAAAATATTGTTAAGATAGCAAACTGAAGAGAACAGAAACAGAATTAGGCACTTAATTCGTAATTAGGTACTATTAATGAATATAAAACAATAGATCAGAATCAAGATAAAGGTAAAAGTGAGGAAGAAAAATAAAAAGTTTAAGACGTACAGTATTGTACGATGTGCATTCCCCTTAACATTAACTCGTAACTATAAACTCGAAAACTGATAGTCGATCAATACAAAGTAATGTAAATCTTGCACCGCTTTCAATCGCCGTGTAGATACTGCTATAAATAGCAAATAAATATAAATAGTCTAGTGATTAATGTACTTAACACCTTAGAAATAAGTGTTGGGTTCATTCCTAGATAAATAATATATTCCTAAATAAATATCACATGTATACAGGCGGATTCCACTATGAAGTGACTCTTAAACAATAATCGTAAATCGCACAGTGACTTAATTAAAAATTCGTTTTACACAATCTCTACGACTGAGACGTGATAGCTCATTGTGTTTTAATTTTAAATATATTCGTGCAACCTGAGTTCAAACGTTTTACGGTGGTAGGGCCACGCAACAGCGTTCGCTGTTGCACGAATGGGCAGGTCCGTCCGGGTTAGTACCACGACCTCACAGAAGACCGACGTAAAGTAGAAGTGTTGCACTTCCGCGTTTCGTCTGGTGAGTGAGTTAGCCGGGGCCCACATTATTAAGGGGTGGCAAGGCAACTGCAACCCTACTGGTGTTGCAAATGTCCATGGGCAGGCGATTATCACTTAACATCAGGTGAACCGCCAGCTCGTTTGCCACTTTCTCACATAAAAAAAACCGGAGCGGAACCATTGAAGTTGTTAATTGCAATTTTAAGAGTTAAATTATCACGTACTTGGCGGTGAAAGAAATAACCGTGAGTAAACCAGCACATTTTCGAAATCGTGATTGAAGAGATTGTGATTACAAATGGAGATTGATCCCGAGAGACCTTTTTCAACCTTTCATGCCTACAAAACATCCGTTTGAAAAATAGTCCTAAGACCTATTATATAATTTAGACCATTGCATATAATTTCGAGTTGTATTCAAAATAAATGAAAATAAGTTAACCCAGTCAGTCCATTTCAATAACTTGTTTATTTTTTTTTAATTTTACAGTATCAAAAACATCTTCAAGTAATGCTGGCTTTAATATCGTACTTTATGTAACTGCTCAGATACATATGCATATTATTAACTTATCACGAAGAATGTCTTTTGTAATCGCGAAGAAGCTAACAAGAATAACTAAATAATTTAGGAACTAACTATTCGACAATCCTCAGCTCGAATTCGGAGAACGAGTCATTCCGACTTGAATGAATGACGAAAGAGCCGAATGAATGAATGTAAAGCTCTTAAAAACAAAGATGTCGCGAGACAGACATTCTTATCCGAGATGACATCAGGCGACGTCGAGCATTAACCTTGGCGAGTGCGAACTGTCAAAACACAGCCGATAGTAAATCATGCTAAATCAGTTGACAGTCGCCCGGCGGAAGCCATTGCCATTGGTTTTTCTGGCACTCGGTACCATTAGCTGGAGCTCCCACCACTTGATTTATGACCGCAATCAGTCTGCGATATCTCTCGTTCATGTTTGAAATGTTTCGATATTATCCACGCGAACGACCAGAGCAAGCGGTTACTATTGTCAGCGATGTAGTGCGCGTTAAATGTTAGACGTTTTTTAAATCATCTCGCAAAGTCATTGACGCCTAACGGTTGGAATGCGACTACGTAGAGAGGCCAACCCAAACCTCAGTCCGGCACCCACAAAATAAATATTTACTGACTAGTGTACAAACGACAGCCGTTCACCATATGTCTAACTAGAGACATGTATCGCAATTAGGTTTACATAAACATGTATCATAGATATAACAGAAATAAGGAAAATTGTATATTAATCAAATATCTATCAACTCACTTATAAAACTAAAAAAGCGTTTTTTCTTTCCATTTCCGATGTCCAATTCTTCTATCTATTCTATCAAAAACTTCCCTTTTTTTTTTCAATTAATATGTTGCTGATGAGGTACCTTTGCTATTCACATACAAAGAAAGAAAAAATATTTGATATATTGCTACGCCAATTATCAGAATCTGGAGTTGGCCCCTGAATTGAGCTAAAATTTTATTGGTTAAAATACCAACAAATTTTAATGAGAGTGTACATCAGGCGTTAAAGCTTAGCAACACGTTCGCCAATAATTCGCTCTTCTTTCTTCGCGAATAATGAATATCGACAACGGCCAAGCCGCTATTAATACGAAGAATTCGTCTCTTGGCAGTCAGGCGCCTTGAGTTTTCAAGACGGTATATTGTTCTTAAATATATTGGAACATGCTCAAATTTATATTGGTTTCGGCACGGACAAGGATTTTCTTTTATCTTAACAGAATCTCATGCATTTTGACCGACGAATGAGATCAATGGTCTAGACTCACAGTGGATAGCAAGAATAATAATCCATGGATGCTTGAAATCACCACTTGCTGAACAGTTGCCATTCGTGTAAAAATAGGAGCGGTTCGAGCTTGATATTCTTTGGACTAAGCTGTAAGACCTTTTCACTGACGTATAGTTTATTTTGTTCTTCCCACTAACATTTTTGCCACTTTCCTCACATAAATGTATACAATTTCTTAAAACTTTGTCCTGTGAGTATGAATGCATTGCTCCTCCCCCACCTAGTGAAATGTAGTTATTAAACGTTTTAAATCTTTTAGGAGTATAAAATGTCTAATTTAGAGCTACTATTACCATTGGTCGGACTAAATAAATCGCGTCCGTTGCAATCACGTTTTGGTATCGAAACGATCCGTTATTAGCCAATATGGCTCAAGGAGGCACTATATTCTGGATTTGCGCCGCTAACTGCCCGTTAGTGCCGTTTTACACTTTACTGCTGCCTCTGTGAATAATGTCTCATTAGTGAGTTATACATTTTAGTGATTCAATTATTTCGTTTTTGATAATATAGAATTTAATGAGAACCACAATAAAATTACAACTTGTATCGTGACGATAATAAGCCGATATTGGAGCGTCAACTTGGTTCGCATTTATTTATTGATCTTTTATTTACACGAATACTGCAAGTGGTGTAATATAAGTATTTTATGAATGTTATAGTGCCTTATTTTGATTAAAAATACCCGAAGTTTTGAACACTTTACAGCTTTCATGATCACGGGATAGACTGAGTTATTTTAATTTCTAATGTCAGAGTTAATCCGGGGTATCGTCAGTTATTTTATTTATTTATTTTTTAACAGGGTATTTCGGAACAGAATTGAGAGTTTAAAGAATTGCAAGTATTCAAATTCAAGTTGTTGTTCAATTGTACCTGTATCGGTGGTAGAGCCGCGCAACAGTCTTCTCTGTTGCACGAATGGGAAGGTCCATCCAGGGAAGTACCACGACCGCATTGAAGATCGGCGTGTAGAAGAATTACACTTCTCCGTTTCGTCTGGAGAATGAGGTAATTTTTTTTTGGGCTGGATGAGCCACTGTTGGCCTTAGGGGCCTTTACAGATCAATGAGGCAACCGGGGCCCACTCATCTAACATCAGGTGATACTGTAGCTCACTTGCCATCTTCTTAAATGCATAAAAAGTTGTTATTGTGCTTCGATTTCAATTATTAAATTATAGGATCTCGATCTGATGATAACACCAACCACCTTCGTTATTGAAATTAAGCAGTTTCTTTATTTCAATCGCCTCGCGGTTTATTCTCGGGAGGAATCGGTATTCCTTAGCGAGTTACTATTTTCAAAAATCTGCTTCTAGATGGATGACCTATAAAGTATAACGAATTTATCAAAACTAACGATTGTTGAAGAATTTGCATTAATTTAGAAAAAATGTGTCAGTCTTACAAACAAGAACGATCAACGGCAGAACTAATATAAACAAAGGTAGAACAATCAAATTGGATACGATACTTAGTTCTCTGACCATCCAACATTGCTCCACAGTACCAATAAATTATCATTAGCACAGTTTGTACTATTGCGTTATTAACAACCGTGTCGAATCCAATATTTATTAACGTGACTTATCGCATTTGCAGCGGGCGCTTTAGCAAGTAGCCCCTGTTATGTGCCAAGACGATTTGAAACGCGCGACTTGGGAAAGTTAAAAATAATTTATTGGATATCGTTAATGTACCGTGAAATGAAGCCGTCGGGTGGACGGGTTCTGGTGACAGCTGACGGATGGCGACAGGCCGTCACCGACAGCGAAACTCTTTCATACGTCACCCGGCTTTTAAACATTTGGTGCGGGAAACGTGTCAGTTTCCAATTTTCAACGTAATTTTTTATGTATCCGTACCCAAGGGGCAAAATGGGACCCTATTACCAAGACTCCGCGGTCTGTCTCTCTGTCCGTCTGTCACCAGGCTGTATCCCATGAACCTTGATAGTTAGACAGTTGAAAATTTCACAGATGTATTTCTTTTGCCGCTATAACAATAAATACTAAACAACAGATATTATAACTTATTCTAACTACAAATGCTTCACAATTTAATTACAAATCAATGATACAAGCAAATGAATCAACTTGTTATTAATGAAGGCCCGCACAAAAATCGATGAGCACAGCTCGAGGGCATTAATGGTCCGCCTTAATGAACTTTCAGCTGTTCGCGAATCGTTTGTGTCATTCATATTTCAATTAAAAAAATTATTGTTACGAAAATCGACCGGTAATTACCGACGATCGGTACACGCATCAGATAAATATTTTGTATAGTAAACGTTTAGAGAATTGATCCCGTCTCGTGTAATAAATTCATTCGCATATATTTATAGCGTGTGCATGGGAATTACTAGGCAGTCAGTTGCGGGACCAATGTTTTCCAGTCGTTTACTTTTATTAACGCGTTCAATGTCGTTAAACGCGAATTACGCTATGAAACTCCGTTGTTTTGCCGTTTAAATAGAGTAATAGCCCATTTGTTCTGAAATACCGCGATTATAAATAAATATAATTGTGTGTACAATTTTCAGATGATTTGTAATATGAAACATTTGAGCAACGTTTTTGTTGTTTCATTGCGAATAATATACACAAGCACCATCGTCATTATCCTCCTGCCTTTATTCCACCTATTCGGGGTCAGCAATACACGTGAATTATTTTGTAAGCGGTTTTGGCTATGTTTTTTTTATTTCCGGCCGTCTGCATAAAGTCAACCCTCCTTGGGAAACAAACACTCAGATCCGGAATCTACTAATCTGTGAGTCACACAAATACTTGACCCGTGTAGGAAACGAACCAACGACCCCCGACGCCGAACCCAATAGATTAGCAACGGCGACACCGAGTCACAATCACATATGGGTAGATTTTCATTTTATTTTTAAACAACTTTAGCAGTGATGAACATCACCTGAGTTTATGTAATATCGAAACTTCGAAGATGGAAACTTACTTTGTTTTCCGAAAATCATTTATTTAATTATCAGTATACGATACTTTTTTCTGAAACAAAAAAAAACTTCCATTATATCTATCACGTGGTTCTTACGGTAATTATTTTTTCTAACATTAATTTTGCTCGTTTCTTGTATGTAAATTATGAAAAATTTAACGGACTTATCAATGTCATCGACTGGTCATAAAGGCAACACTATCGTGTGATGGAAACAAAACTGGCACTATGACACGCCCTGCGGGACCCTGTATTCGAATGAACATGTCTTCGTGATGGATCGCTAGGGGCCGCGCGCACGCCACTGTTTGACGTTGAGATGACTGTTACTAACGTATTACAGTTGGCTCGTTGCGAATGTGCGTCCAGTCAGTTGTTTATCTGTGCTCGGTTTCATTGCCGCCGTCAAAGACAATTTCGCCGTCGAAACATTTTTTTTTGTCTACGGTGGCAACATGCGGTTTAATGACGACCACCATTATTTACTGCTGAGGAGTTGAGCTTCTACCCCTTTTACTTGATAAAGTGTTAATACTTTTAATACATCCCCGTCTTTTGTGAGGTCGACAGCCCTGCCCTACCTACTGCGGAAGGTTGTACAATACTAGTGGAATATATATTCCAAGAGCACTTGGTTGTATTTTCTTATATCGATTAATAAATGATTTTGATTTGGATTTTGACAGAATTTTATACTTGTGGAGTAACAACTCTAAAAATATAAAAATTGAAAAAAGATTATTTAAACCTCGAAAGAAGTTTCTGCACGCATATGGCACTCAAATAAAGCTCCTCGAAAATGGCTTGAAAACCCATCCAGCGCTGGGCAAAGCCCCCGTCTGTACGGACAGTATTAGCGCATGGTCAACCGCGCGGCCATCGCGCAATGGGCGGACTTCAAATGTCTTTATTTTTTCATTACTACTATATTGAACATATGGGGGTAACTTACGATGTTTTCCTTCAACGCTAAATCATAATAAGTCAGCACTTGAAATTGCAAGTAACAATTTCATTGGTGTCGGCACCGAGATATGAACTCAGGTTGCTCAAGAAATATGAATGTAACATTAAATTCCATCACGGCATAGAATCCGGAAAGTAAAATGAAAAACGATAAGATAAATAATAAAAAGTTGTTTGTGTAGTCTTAAGACCTGAACCTCAAATAAAAATTATAAAATTGATAGAAGGCTCCTCATTATAAGAGAAGAACTAATATTTAGTGTACGCCACTTGAGAGTGCAACACTTTTTAGTTCTAAAGGCTTAAAAAAATTCGTAACCTGCGTTGCTTTGCTAGGTAGAGAAAAAGTTTATAACATTTATTTTCTGTAACTGAACGCGAATGAGACAAACGTACAAATATTACTTTTTATTTATAGGAAGATTACCTAATTTATTGCGTGTATGTGCGTTTTTGGAAAACCTCTAAAAAGATACTAGATAACAAATAGCACTAAAAGCAAATCATAAATATCACACTAACCTTTTTCTTATGGGACTTCTTATTCATGGCCTTCGGTAACGTTTCTGAAAAAAAAAACGACCACTTTTAATGTGCGACTTCAAAGTATCCGTGAAACGAGCAGCGCCTGTCCACAGATGTTCCGTACGCGTGTTCGTTCTCTTCTCTCTTTGATACCGTCATAATTTTAATTGGATCGTCCGAACACCGCGAAAATTTGATGGTTTTAGAGCTATTTCTAAAAGCTTTTATCTCGCTTCCATTTTGTTGGTGAAAATTAATTGCCTTTATTAGAAAAAACATTGACGCTTTCCCCACACAGTTCTTTTTTATTTTATCTCTACGAATTTTCAGAGACCATTTTCTATTCAACACATAACAATCGCGTCGTGGTGTCGGGTCCGATTTTCATACAGTTCCAATTTTACATTAATCTGTCATATTTGTACCTGCATTTATTTGTATTTTATGCGGTGCAGGTTAAGCGATAAGGACGATTTAAACATTTCAATATCAAGATTTCTTTTATGTGAGAAAGTTTTTTTTGTTTGTGCTTTCAGTCCTTTGACTATTAAAGCTTTATCTGACGCAGAACCGTTGGATTAGCCAGAACCCACGGGTTTGGGCCCTCCGCTGGGGGTAGGGCCGCGCATGTGCTCATGCGTGCGTTCAACTACGGTATGTCATCTAAGGGGCATCGAGGTTGCGATGCGGCCTGCGACCCCGATGGCCGCGACTGTGTTTTTAGCTAATCGGTGGCTTGGGGTGGTGAGAACCGCCCTGGATCGCAGGTGTACCTTGTTGTGTTGGTCTCGCCGTGCTCGGAGGTGAGGGCGAACTAATGTGTTTGTTGCTATACTAACTGTGTGTGTAGTGTTATCCGACGGGACCCCTGACGGTGGGTCCGACGTACCTAAGTCCCCTTCTTCAACCGGGTCGATGAGGACGTTTCGCGGGCGACGTTTGTTGACGTTCGCGTTTGGATCGGGTTGGTAATTTGCTGCACTGACCACCAGAGTGTTGGGATGATGTTTGGCTCTATCGAAGAACCGTTTGGTCAGGTCTTTGAAAAATTCGCGAATCGTCGGGCGTCTCCAATGGCTGTGCAGGTCGACGTTGCTGTGAGAACGTGGCGAGCGGGCTGTTCATCTGTTCGTAAGTGATAACCGCCGCCCGTAGGATTGCAGATGCGTTGCCACCTTTAAATAAAGTGGGCCCCGGCTACCTCAATCACCAGATGAAACGCAGAAATGTAACAATTCTACTTCACGCCGGTTCTCTGAAATCTGAGGCTGTGGTACTGACCCGGACGGAACCTGCCCTACCACCCACAGTAAAGTACCGCAATGACAAGAGCTTCGAGTGAAACTAGACCTAAAATACCACATACTAGTATATTAATTCATTGCCAAAAGTATTACAAAGCAACTAACATCAAATTCGAAATAAGTGTTACATACAAAAGTATTTATTCAATATTTTTTCGAACTCTTGGCTATTTCGCCGAAGCAAGGAATTAACAGATACTTTTTGAACTTTTCAAACCTATTTCAATCCATATGATGCAAGACAAGCAACACTAAAGTGCATGCTTCAAAGCGTGACGTGTGTAAACTTTACAAATACAGGACGAGAATTTTACTTTTAATTCATAATCACAATAGAATCATTAATCACATTAGAAGTTGCGAAAATTGCTCCGCTTTACATTAAATGACATAACTGAATGTGACAGATGATATAGAAAGTATGATACGGAAAGAAAGTCTACATAGTTGCGATCTAATTACACCAATTGATGTAATTTGTGGAGTTCAGTTTCACTTGAATGACCCTACCTTCTTTAATTGAGGTCTCCTTTACAAGAAGCGCAGCGTGTTTTTACTTTCAACTTTGAATTAATGAATGGTCGTTCAAGGAAGAAGTCATGGGTTTTCCCCGGTAAATTCACAATCAAAAATAAGTGCGTAAGAAAACGAAAAAAAGAATTCAATAGGATATCGGATAGGTAGGATTCGTTACATACATATCAAAGTATAAGAAGAGATTCAGATTTTTTCTTTGACTTTAATCATCTCAGGTACTTTTATTTTGTATGAGCTTTTAGGGTTAAAACAATACTAATCCTACTGTTCGATAAGATTCACAAACATAAAGTAAACCTTGTTATAACCAACTAGACCTAGAAGAACTATTTATTGGTCATACAAATACTTGTCCCTGGTGCGAATCCAAAATCCAAAAACCCTGCAACTCACGGCCCGGACACTGAGCCGTGATAGCTCAGTGTCCGGGCGCTCGCCTTTAATTCAATATACTCGAGCAACCTGAGTTCGATCCCCGGTGCCGGCACCAATGAAGTTTTTAACTTTAAGTGCTGACTTATCACGTGCTCCGCGGTGAAGGAAAAACATCGTGAGGAAACCTGCATATTTTCGAAATAATAACAAAAAAATATTTCGAAGATATGTGAAGTCCGCCAATCCGCAGTGGGGCCGCGTGGTGGACTATGCCCTGATACCCTCTGTATAGAGGAGGCCTTTGCCCAGCAGTGGGACATGTATAGGCTGTTACTTTACTTTACTTTACACGGCGCCGAAGTCAATCGTTATTACAATAAAGAGTTACGTTGTTCCCCTTGACTTATATTACCTTTGTCAATACTGACTAATAGGGTTATTAGTAGGTAAGCATCGAAATGTGGTTATTAAAGAAGCCATGCGACTGTTATGAAATCTTGACGCTGCTCGACCGTGCACATTACGTATGGCTTCTGCCAGCTTTGCAGATGTGGGTCGTGTCTATTTTAAACGTAAAAACAAAGCGATCATTTGAACGAAGGACGCGTGCGAACGTATTATGTGATAGACAGCGATAACAAGTGACAGAGGTAACCAAAGAGAGGACGATTTGATGCAAACATGCGTTTGCACAAGATTGTCCGCCATTTGAAATATCACTGATATCCATTTATATATTCTTTAACTATTGCCAAAGCCGTAACATTCTGTGTAAGGGGCAACCCATCTCAGTTCGGAAGTTCTGTTTAATCCCCACAACTCCGCTTGTTCTAACTAAGTAAAATTACATTAATTTACTGTTCGCTTAAAACTTGTCCGTTACGATTCGATACCACGTCGTTGGATGCAAATTTCTAATGGACGTTTTAGAAAAGATATTCTTAAGAAATATTTACGGTGTGACGATTTCGGACGCTAATGCATTTCTTCTTCAAAATTTTTATATTCAAAAATAGTACTCATAACTATATGCTGGAGCATGAGTCATGTCGACATTGATAAAGGCATCTCCCTCCGTAATAGTAATATAGTAACTCACCATAAGTTTCCTGCAGATTTTAGACTACTGTTACTAAGAAGGAATTTATGCTTTTGTTCGTGATTAAACCATCTTGACCTAGATAGATATATGTCACGGCTACACGGAATACCGGAGTTATTTGGAAGTATTTATTGTAAGTTTTCGTCCTCTGTGTGCGTTAATTAAACGCTTCTCTGTTGTGGATGTCTATTCGTAGTGACAAGCTATCAGGATAAATGCTTGTTCATTCGCCACCTGCTCATTAAAAAGTGTAATATATATGAGCTTGAATATTGCTTTATCATTATCAGCAACACAATTAGTGTGACCCAATTGGGACCGGCCGTCGGGAGTAAATCACAACTGAGCGACGTACACTTGGCTTGTAAGCGCTCTGTCTCCCGCATGTATTTCAGTGCTTGCATTTAACAATAGAATTTAGAATGCGTATCCGTCTAGTGTTAAACCATTACAGGCTGACGGATTGACCAAGACTGAAAAATATTAGATCGAACCTTTATAAAATAGTTAATTGTGTTACAAGCTACAGCCCCCTTGTGATCATTCATGCTTCAACATATCTAAAACTACAGCGAGAATAAAGTTAAGATGACAAATTTAATATGACTTTCAACCTAAAATGACAAATCATTAAACTATCTGATGCGGTACATAAAGCTGAGTCGAGCAAAGGAATTGTTTGTTCCTATTTTGAATAGTCCAAATTTCAAACTGTAATCGATGCTTGTAATAACTTCACTCTTTTATTCCATTTTCTAAATTTATTTCTGATTGATTTGAACCCCAACGTGACTACCCGATGTTTTGTCATCATCATCAGCTTTTGGTTATCCACTGTTGGACGTTGGCTTCTCCTAGAGACATCATGTTTTTCGATGTCTTGTGTGAAAGCATAATTATTTCATCACAAATTTCTTAACGCATAAAATCACAGTCAAACGTGACCAACAATTGTTTTATTTGCTGTAAATGGATTATTCATCGTCATCATTTTAGCCTGTAAGCGTCCACTGCTGAATATAGGCCTTCTCTATGAAATTCCACTTCAACCGATCAGAAGCGGCCTGCATCCAGCGAAGTCCCGCCACCTTAGACAGTTCGTCAGTCCATCTCATCGTCGATTTGCTGACGACATTGCGGTCATGGCTGAGACGATGCAAGAACTCGGCATAACGGAAGATACGGTGGTGGTGCCACGCAGCAGCCTCGGGTGTTGCACGAATGGGCAGGCTGGTCCGGTTAAGTACCACGATCTCACAGAAGACCGGCGTAAAGTGGAGTGGTATTCACTTAACATCAGGTGAACCACCTGCTCGCTTGGTAACTTTTCATATAAAAAAAAAAACTTGGCACAATGCTAGAAAGCCTCAATCATGTTTCACAACAGATCAGTTTAATTCCCTGTTGGTAAACTATAATTAAAAAACTACTAAAATTGAGGTGTTTACAGCGGTGTTTTATTGCAATAAAGGAATCAAACCCATTTAAAACAAAAAGATTGAATCTACTCACACTAATGCAAGCGACGCGCGCTCAGTCGGCGAAATAATCAACATATAGTCGATATGTTAAAGTAATATGATCGCCTCGGAGCCCAAAATAATTCATTTCTCGATTAATGGCGACCATTAAAAAGTACAAGACCCAGAAGATGTTTTGACAACGTCAAGATGGCGGCTGTTTGAATGTTTCACCGCGACACGATTTCAAGAGCAACTTAAAATTCAATTAATTATTATTTCAAACGTAATTTTAAAATAATCATGACATAAAATTAATTCAAAATATTATTCTTATAAAATATAAACATACTTCAATATACAATTTCAATGCGGTCAAAGCTTATTTTTTGTTCATTTTCATTATTAATCAGATGCTTAAGAGATTTGGGGTGCATCTAGTAGCAAAATAATAAATGCTCACGATCTAGCATTACTTTAATTTTTTGTCACTTCACGTCTAGTGTAAACAAGCTTTGTAACCAGGAGCGTGGCAGACGTGGCGTAAATCACAACAGGGAGCTCGTGACATTCGTTTGGCACTTCCTCGGGCGCTGAGCTCCAACTTGGCATCTGAACGCCGTCTGCCTCCCGTCCCGATATGCACTAAGGGAGCCAAACGGCCAAGCGATGGTAAACAGTCCTACAGATCTTTTCTCTGAGAGACAAAAAAATCGTTACTCGATAGCAAATTCCACATCCAATCCCGTTAGATATTCCTGTCAGCTGTTTCGTGAGCACAACATTTTTGTAAGTTTAAAATAATTCTTCTGTTCGTGTGTTTGTGACTGAATTCCCGGACCGATTTTGATAAAATTTTTTGTTTGTTCAATTGGATTCGAGAATGGTTTCCATTGATAATTCGATAAGTGAGTACCTTAGTACGTTATCTTGATTATATCTATTATAGTACATGTGGTCAGATAATAAGAGAGATGCTGCCGAAAATTTGCATAAAGCCAAGAATAGTCTCCCACAAAGAAAATATCGAAAACCATAGATAGAATACCAAGGACAGAATACAAATAATTGATTCTGTTTGGTTGTGACGTCGACTAGACATTAGTTCTGTCATGAATGGATGGAATCCACATTTAAATTATTAACAAGTCATGTAGTAAAGGCTTGGGCCGTTTTACTAGAACACAAGTAAAATTTGTGTTCTATTAAACCGACTTAAGCGATTAATTATTGATCTCAATTACAAGTAGAGACATATATCCATTTGGCGTTCGATAATTAGTTATCAGCCACCACGTCACAAAAAAAAACGTCCCTTTCCGTTGCGTCGCTGGCAAGTCTCCCGCGCGTCCAATTAATACTAAATCACTGGCAACGTGGCGTTTAGGAAAAATTGTCGGCCATGTTTTCATTAGTGACGTACAGTGACCATTCGACGCATTCGTAACGATTAACGGTCGGTTTCAATATTTTATCTATTTGTAGATTTGGTTACTAGAGATAGCATTCTGACATAAGTATTATGGAGCTAATGACAAATATCAATGGCTAGTAACCAAGTTTTCAATATTCTTTCTATCTAGATATAATATTGAAACCGGCTGTGAGAGAGAAACAGTTTTTCTTACGTGGTCGTGGAGTTTTTTTTTGTTATTGAAACGATATGTTGGTCAAAAGCGAAAGTTTTAAATTATCGTGGAAGCTGTAAAGTTTTCCATATTTAAAAATAATGATAACGCTACAAAACCCGTACATACGATATTTTTATTCGCAATTATTAACAATATTTTTTATAAAAAAAAGACAATCATCAACTAATGGACACCGTCTAATAGCAACTACGTTGACGTGTCATCAATCAATAATCAATCGTAAACTTCGTTGCAGCCAGTACTTGGCAAGTGAGCGTCGCCCCAACGGCTCGTGGAATGCTCGTACCGAATACCAGTTCGACTTTTCAGACTCTAAAAGTTCATCTTGCGTCTGACGTCTAGCCCACTGGAATATACATGTCCCACTGCTGGGCAAAGGCCTCCTCTATATAGAGGGTATCAGGGCATAGTCCACCACGCGGCCCCACTGCGGATTGGCGGACTTCACATATCTTCGAAATATTTTTTTTTTTTTGTTATTATTTCGAAAATATGCAGGTTTCCTCACGATGTTTTCCTTCACCGCGGAGCACGTGATAAGTAAGCACTTAAAGTTAAAAACTTCATTGGTGCCGGCACCGGGGATCGAACTCAGGTTGCTCGAGTATATTGGATTAAAGGCGAGCGCCCGGACACTGAGCTATCACGGCTCATTCTGTCATTCTGTCATTCTGATGTATAAGCTATATTATTGTAAAGTTTCATTAAAGTCCATTCAGTAGTATTTACGTCAAAGAGTAACAAACATCCATCCATACATACAAACTTTCACCTTTATATCATTCATAATAAATATTATGTTCTTTTCGTTCGCTCTCTCTCTTTCTCCCTCTTCCGCCCAGGCCTCGACCATTCAATATTATTTCTATCATTGTTAACGATAGAAATAATTGATGTGTTGAAGTTGGTAAAAAATTGTGAGAAAGGTCCTACAAATAAGAATGATAGTTCATTGAAGTCAGAACGATGAGCAGAAAAATGTATTTTAGAGATTTTACAGCACATTATAAATTGCAATCATTCTTAAAACATTAAGATGAAAAAAAGGCATCTCCTTAGTTAATAACTCTAAAACTGTTAATCAATAAGAAATGAAAAAAATATATAAAAAAAAGACCCAATAAAGTCTCATTTCCCGGAACTCTATTTCCATCATTTATAAATTTAATTTAACGCCGAAAATAGGGTTCCGCGCGCCCATTACGCCACGGACGTATCAACCCTGGAGACAGAATATCACATCAAATTGTCTTATAGTGGTAACGATTAATTTTACCGGAATTAAATCGGAATGAAGTATGCTGTTATCTGAAGACTTAAAACAATAAGGTCCCTTTGGAAAACAATCATTAATTAACAAATTACTTTCTTATCTCCGTTTTCACAAATGGTGAACATAAAAGTATAAGTAATAGACTTAAAAATAATTTTTGCGCTTGCTGTCACGTGGTCTCCAATTTTATTTTGATAAGCATTAATTTTTAGTAATGAAAACAGCGGTAAACAGCAGCAATGGTAATAGAAATAGCAAATAACCTGATTAAATCTTAAAATATTTTTTATTGTATTTTCGTTAATGTTTCTTCTTTTCCTTTGACGTTGACGATGGTTAGATAAAATCTATATCTGAATCGGCCTATGTAAAAAAGAGTCACGAGCTCGTGACTTTAACTAGTTTCAACAAGAGCTGCCGACTTCAAAAATGAGGAGGTTCTAAATCAACTGTATTTTTTTTAATGTTTGTTACCTCAGAACTTTTTGAGTGAACCGATATTGAAGATTCTTTTTTTATGTGAAAGCTGGTGCTTCCCACGTGGTCCCACATTCATTTCATTGGTATTGGATCTTGGACTCAGGAGATACTTACGGAAATCTAATTAGTTATAACATTATTACAGAGCGAGATATTTGAAATCGGTTTTGTTTTTCGTTGGTATTAAATGGACTTGTTATCCATGACTTCGAGCCTAACACTAACGAAGCTATTTACTCCAGTTCTTTGCGCATTACCTAATTATCGACTCTGAGTACGGACGATTTGTATTTCGTTAATTAAGCTTGGCACTAGATGCTACTTCCAAGGAGACGTGAATCAATCAAATTATGTGGTGAAGGCAACCAGTTGACGACAAGCCTAAGCAAGACCGTTCAAAAGTTAACCACGAATACATATATTGACATGGCAACAGTCTCGGAACTAAGCATACACCTAGTAAAATACCTCATTTAGATACATCACTCCAGACTGCATTAAACACTGGTTACATTAGGTACGCATGGGTTTGTTTAAGGTTGCCTTAAATGGTTTTAGAGAAACCTAGTGAGAGTTGAATAAGTGTACATTGAGCAAAATCGCCATCGAAAACGCATTATTCAGGTAATGTTTCACATGCTCTTCGTGACTGATATATGATCCCATAGAAGTCGTGAAATATTTCATCATGTACATTTTAGATAACTTTTACAGAAATATTTTAACGTATGGTTTTGCCCAACGTACCAAAAGTACTTGCTTCGGTAGTTCATATACTACAATTGGAACGATACACAGAAGATTATGGCATGGCCCCTGCGGGTGGTGGTGCATTAAATGTTATCTTTTGTTTTAGATTGTGCAGCATTGCACAAAATTGCTAAAAATATTATTTTTCTCTTATCTACAAAAAATATTCTCTTGTCACTCCCATGACTGACTTGACATTGGCAGAATTATTTAATGAGTAGCCATAAAGAAAGAAAGAAGAAGAACCTACCTAAAAGAAGGGACCAACAAGGGTTATTGCAGCGAAGAAAAGAACATTCTTTTCATTATCTAATTTAGTAAGCAAATTAATAATTAAAATTAGTGCCTCAAATCTAAATACAAATTGCGATTCTCATTTTCCTACTTACAAGCTTTCTGTTAAGCATTTTAAATTTCCGTTAAAGAAATTATTTTTTTTACTTCATATACCTACTGTAACACTTGAAATGTTACTGTACTACATGTTAAGACTGGAACTGATACAATTAAAAATGGACTACAAACTAAAAAAAAACAACTTAAGACAATACAAAAAATTATTCCCCTCTTTTAAATTTGAATTAACTGATAAAGAGCATTGAATTTTTAAATAACAAAATAATTATTCTAATAATTAATTATGATATTAAGTAATTAATGCATACCTAAAACATTTTATTTTAATTTATTGATTTTTACAAACAGGTTAAATTTTGGCCATTTCGCACAGAAAAAAAAAACTATTAACAATATCATAAACAAACCTACCAGCGTCCTCCTGCACAGTGATCAAACCCCTACAATGCACTTTCAACACAAATCCGAAAATAATATCGCGTTTTATAATTAACGATGATTATTATAAGCTGCATGAAATCCCCGCGAACATCAAAGGCGGGAAAATTTTTAATGATGGCGAACGCGAGCGTTTCCCGCGCTCATCGGGTGACCGCGCTGCACTGGGCCTGACACAATAAAGTTAAGCGTCGAAAGGCTGAACGAGTCGCGCGGGAATTTCGTAATAACCATATTACACTCGGGCCTGAAATTTGCGAGACATCTTGTAACACAGCTGGCACAGGCCTTGCCGCGGCTTTGAACGTTCGCTTTTCGCGTTGAAGTGGTTTCCTCGCGAGAATTGCCAACCATTTAAATTCGGTCCGAATGTTTGTTTAGGTGATAAATCAAACAATTCCCAAATATTTGAATGTTTAACGCGAACCAAACGAAAACCACATGTGGATGTTTTTAAAGTTTGAAAGAGGCAAGCTTAAGGCAATGTTATTATTAGTCTATAATTAGAAAAATCCTTAAAATATTATAAATCGACTCAATGACTATATAGTCAAAGTCAAAGGTTTATTTTAAACTCTTATCGAACTTCAGAAAACTGCCACTGGTTTATATATATATAATCTAAACCTGTCCAGAGAAGAACCGACAAGAAACTCTGCGGTCTTGTTATATTTTTTTAAATGATACAAGTACACAATATTATGTAGGTTTCGGTTAAATAATCAGCAGCCAGGGGACTTGCAAATGCAGATCAAAAGACAATACCACACATCCTGGTTCTCAGTGTATTCTTCGACATTATAATGGGCCCTCGTCATTACATTTTTTGCTTTTACAAAATGTTTTGAAACTTTTTACACTTAACTGTTTGTGGATGTCACATATTTCATTACATATATTAATATTTATTAAGATGTATTTACATTTACCAAGAAACTATTTTTTGTATTAGTCAGTCTAAACCTCGGTATTTCCAGCGACAGGAACGACAAGTTTATTCAAAGGGGTATAATGAACTAAACTCGTGTCGTTTGTCCACAGACAACGTGTTAAACCATTGAATTGATTCTCATGAGATACGCAGCCGCTTTCTTCTTCCACTGAATGAACCATACACAATAGATGAATTTGGTATCATTGATTCAGTTTTTCCAATATGGGACATTACATAAATATGCTTGTGTGTAAACTAATTTAATTACACTGCCTTTACCGCGATGATTGTTGGTTAGATGATGCATATCAAGACTGGCACGAAATCTCCGGCGGATCAGACGAGGTCCCGGTTGACCTATAATAAGCGTCCCCATCGACGGACGAGCGGGAAGAATAATAAACAAAGGAGGGTCATTAAAATGGCTATTTCGGAACGTCTGCCCCGCACTACATAACTTCAGCACGGTGTCACAAGCGGAAGCGTTGGTAAATTATTTACTTTTTAATTCTCTTAAAGCGGCCTTTTTTTTCTGGCGGCCAAGTTATGATGTGCGTTGGGATTTTTTTTTATTTTTACTTCATTCAAAGCAGAAGTTTTTTTCTAACAGCCATCTTATTGTGTCGTTGAGTGCACTTTATTCATAAACTTAACACTATCCGAATGACCAGATTTGCAGTTTGTTATTCATAGAGAATGTGACATTTGCGACATAACCAGAGCTCTGTGCCAACTTGTGTTTACCCGCACATTTTAATAAATTTAATAGTACGTACAAAATTCCACACGAGTTTTGGCATAGTAATTCGGGATATCGCTGAAAATCTGCAACAAGTGTCAATTTTATCGCCCATTAAATACGTTTACTAACGACACGTTACTGCACTTAAAGCACTGCATTTCACAGGATCGTTGTTTGCCAAAACATGCCATTAAACCAGCGCCCGTGCTTTAAGATTACTTCGCGAATCCGATTTTAGGCCAGCGACATTAAATCTTCAACTATATTTGTTCTTTACACCAGGGTTTATCAAACATATTCCAGAGCTTTGGCAATCCAGTTATTTTTGGATTGAGAATTTACTTGTTTTTTTTTTTGTGATCGACATTGGGATTTAGAGAAACAATGGACTGCGGAGCAGACCTTGTTGTTAGGAAAAAAGAAAGTTTTGTCTGTGTCTCTTTAGACATGTACATTTGAAATTTAATAGAAATCACAACATCTGCCATTTTTACCAAAACCGAGGTAATGTCCTTACGGTTTGTGAGCATCCTCTAATGTCAATTTATTCGTAAGGAGTTAACGTCATTTGCAATAGGACATGGCATCCGCCTTGCAGTAGTTATAATTTTAGTTAGTTATAGTTACTGCGTTCGCTAAACAACCCGGCGTTTGCTAAAATCAAAATCAAAAATATGTTTATTGAAATATTCAAACATTCTTATGAATCGTCAAATTTTACATCAAAAATTATGTATAGGTTCGTAAGGTACCACCGGTTCGGAAGCAGTTTCCCTTACTAGTCACTTGCTAGTCACTTACACCGGCGCATTCCTGGCACGACGGCGAGATCAATCCGCTCTACGTCGGTATTTCTATTACAAAAAGAAAACGCGCGTACTCTGTGCAAATCCCTCTCGTCCACTCTATTGTTGTCACGCGGCGAAACGGGTTATTGGAGCGGTCATCCGTTCTGGTACCGCTGAGCAAAGCCTCATTGCAAATTACCACGCGGCGCTAGCTCTGATATATTCGGGAAACTTTTCGGTAGCGGATGAAATCTATTCTTATTCGTGGTCTGTATTACTGAAAGTTGTGCCTGTCGTTTTGAGGGAGTCAGTGACGAGCTTCGCAAGAAGTGTTCGCAAGAAACAGAGTACATTTACAGCTCCGCAGGGTAGCGACCAAATGAAAAGCCTGGGCTACACTAACTAGCATTGAAGGAGCAGATGATTTTACTGAAAATTATTGAATTGTTTGAATATTCTTTTAGAAATCTTAGTAGTAATTTCAGTATTTTATTGTTTACTTTTCACTGTAATTTCAGTCGACCTTTTCAGAAATCCTAAATAGTAGTCTTGGTTAGTCTTTAATAAAAATATTAAGCTATTTTTATAACCTATTTTTTTATTCTTAGAATAAATCCGATGCATTTACGAGATACGTGCATTTTGAACCATTTAAATTTCACGAGAGATTGGCGTTTGGGGAGAGGTGGTTGAGCCAAATCTCACGATATCTCACCAGGGAGTCGAACGTGAATTAATGAACGCCCACTCAATATACTTTAAAGCTATTTAGAATTTAAACGAAATCAAAGAAAATATACCGTTGCCCAATCGAAATAAGTGTTACAAATTGTTTCCGGGCGCTTTATTAATCAATTATGTTTACATTGTCGAAATCATTGTAGCCTCGTTCGCAATACGCCTCACAAATTTCACGTGCAAATACCATAATATAAACCAATTTGTTGTATTCTGACAATATCAGCATCAGTAGGTACTAAGAAAGTAGTCTAGCGCCCGGTTTCTGAAACACTGATCATTGTAGAAATGAAATAATCAGCTGCCAAATAGCTTTTCCAATGTCATTTTAGTTGCCAAAAGGTTGGTTAAACTCTCTGATTTGGTCAGAAAGATCTTCTTTATGACCAGAATACGTTTCAGAAGCTGGGCTTAAGACCCGTAGAGATATCGTCTTTAACTCGTCTGCTTAACAAATGAAAAGTATTTAATTTATATTTTATTGAATATCCTTGATTAAAAATATTTTTTATATGGTTGATTCAATAACATTACGCTGTATCGCTAACCAAACAATTTTGTCTATTAGAAAGAAGAAATTTAAGAAAGTGTTCATAAAATTTTGCGATATTTAAGCAAACATTTTTCAGTTTCATCCTTATTGCAGAAAATGAAAACTGGCCAGGTGCGAGTCGGACGCGCACGCAGGATTCCGTTCCATTTTAAACGCTCTATTTATAAACAACTTTATTATTTTTTAATTTTCTTTCTTTGTATTTGTTGTTATAGGGGATAAAACGAAATACATCATCTTTGAAAATTTCAACTGTCTAACTATTAAGGATTATGAAATCCAGCTTGATGACAGATGGAACGGCAGACAGACAGACAGACAGCGGAGTCTTAGTAATAAGGTCCCCTTTTACCCTTCGGTTACGGAACTCTAAAAACAATAATTTGAGCATCAAAGTCGACTCTAGTTTTCAAATATTTATTGTTAAAATGTTATTTTATAAAGTGAGTCAGTTGTGAACGTTTTATTACAGGAAGAACATTAGGGAATCCCAAGCATTTCTAAAAATGCAATAGAAACACAGTAAACAAGACGACCGCGATTATAGCGCGGTGAGGACATTGCCACTAATTTAATAAATAATTAACTATAATAAGAAAAAAGCATATCGATGAAGATAACATTTCCTATATATAAGTTATTTAATATACTTCTCATCTTCTATGCAGATGGACAAAGGACAATATTTCTTCGGATCATTTACTACTGATGCAGTAAACATATTACCACATCATATATCTTCATAAGAGTTATCCCGGAAAGCGGCGGAACGTGGGGAAAATTTATTTTGGGGGCAACAACAACAACAACATTTCCACCAAAAATAAATTCCTTAAGCCATCAATTCGAACGGTTCATCGCCATCAACGGTTTAATTAAGAGAGTTTTGTGACGTTGGCTAAAGAATTGATCTGGATTCATGCATTTTCTAAAAATTTTAGTTTGTACGGGAGTTCCGACTCTTAAACGTAGTGGTTATATTCTCTTTGTTCAGAGTAGGTAGTTATATTCTTTCAGTAGTTTGGGGATGCTATGATGAATTGATGCTATTATTAACGCTTAATGGCAAGTGGCCACATACATAATTATCATGTTTATCAACCGACTTCGAAAAAGTTTTTTTTATATTTCTAACCTCAGAACTCTTATGAACCAATCTTTGTGCACTTACGAACCGATTTTAAAAATTCTTTTTGCATTTGTTTCGGTTTCGCTCCTTCGTAGACCCACAATAATTTCATTGATATTGGAGCTTTGATTCCAGTGATAAACTAGGGAATTTCTCAAAATTGAATAGAAAAGTATAGTGAGATATTAAAGATATAAGCTTTACTTATGTAAAAGCAATGTACTTATTTTTACGTATATATGTGGTGTCTACAGAACCAATTTATTTTATTAGTATTTCGCAACCTTTTGTAATTAATTAACGCCTGTGCTTTACTTAATTAAATAGTAAAAAAATATTCTCGATGACGAACCATAACATAAATCCCTCAAACTGTAAAATTGAGAGAGATCTCATATTTTTTGTATTTGATAACGGGCGTTAAGCTTTTGACCGACGCCCGATCCGCGGCGCATGTTTGTTCGCGCCGTAAATCTCTCGTCTATAAACATTTAGTGGTAATAACGCGCATTTTGCGTACAACAATTGGCGCATAGTGCCAATACGTGGGAACCGCAAACGGTTCTTGCTATACAGAGTATAAAAATAAGATTGAATTCGAATAAATTGGAATGGGAAGTGCTTTATCACTACGTTTTTTTTTACACATGTTATGTATTTTTTGACATCGGCTACACCTGAAGGTTCCAGATGCGTTGACAACCTTTTGAAGATTGGGCTCCGGCTACCTCACTCACCCAACGAAACGCGAAAGTATTTTTCATACTTCAACTTAACGCCGGTCTTCTGTGAGGTCTTGGTACTTACCCGGACGAGCCTGCGCATTCGTGCAACAGCCGAGGCTGCTGCGTGGCCCGACTACCGTAGTTTTTTTACAAATAAAGGCACGATATAGCGGTTTTGTATATTACCCATTCCCTTCGGTCCATATATCGGTCGATATTTATATTTTAAATGTTATTATTACCTCAAAGTCTGTCCCGACTCGATGTCGGTTTTTTATTGATATTATAAATTAAACCCGGGATAGACTCAATGATTTTCAGAATGCCACATCTATTTTCTTTTCCCTTGAAAATCGTCGGAGTGGTCGGAAAAACGAACTCTGTTATGTTAAGCTATTAGAATTTCGAATTCAGTTATAAACTATTTTTTATTAGTATTGAAGTATTACTAGTATTACTAGCAACGTTTATATTTTCCTTTTAATCTTAAATTCATATTTTTAGCTCCGTATCCTAAGATTAATTAATAAAATAATTTAACAGTAATAATGGCATAAAGTTTCATGTTTGCATACTTAACGAATTATTTTTTCTTTAGGGTTTGCTTCAAAGAAATCTGTTTTGGACCATTATATTTTATTGTATTACCAAGTAGAAACAAATAAATGAATTGTTGAGTTCGTTTATTTTGTGACATTTCTAGTATCATACTTTGTAAGTTATTTTTAGCCGGTATGTATGTATATTTTTTTTTATTTATTCCCTCTAAACTGCTCTTTATGATTTATCGTTGCAAGCTTACATACCTCCGATTGTAGGGAATAATTTCGAAAATCACTCCTCAGGTGTGAGCCATACTAATACAATATTACCTATATACAAGGAAAACAATAAAAGGTAAACAAAAAAACAATGTAAATCGTTTCTGTAAATATTTTATCATACAAATATGGGAAATTTCATAATCCGCAAAATTTTGGTAAATAGGGTGTACCCCCACAAGTTTTTGCTTCACGCATTCATATAAAGATTCATAGTTATGTTTATGTTCGGAGCATAATTATGTCAGGTGAACCGCCGTGGTCGGTCTTATTCTTATGACACTTTGCCCTAATATAGTTTATGGTCACTTACTACTTTTAAAAGTGTAGTTTCAGTATAGGTATGTTGAACAATAAGAACGTGTAATAAGAACGCATTTAAAAGTAATATGTTGTTATTTTAACAGGATTAAACAATCCATATGCTTACCAATAAATACATAATTTATTATTGTATTAGAATGCCAATAGGCTTTAAGTTCGTCCTTTGATCACTCCCTTTTTAAGGTGTTTCCATAAAGAACAAATAAATAAATATTTATTTAATTAATAATAGTTTTATTAGATCATTAATCCAAATTACGATGGCAGATTTTGTATATGTAACACAGTGTTCAACTCTTTTGTCCTGAGCATACTGGAATTATATTACAGTCTCTTAGGTTAGAACTAGTCAGGAGAGATATCTCTGGCATCTAGCCCATTCTTCTAAAAAATGTAGGAAAAGGTTTTTGTACAAAGATAGACTGAAATATTTTAAATATACTTTCCTAGAAAATCGTAGGACAGTACTTGATCTTATCTTTTTAATTAAAATATTTAACAATAAAATAGATTTTCCTAATATGTTAAGTAAATTTAGATTCAATGCACCGCATAGGTTATTAAGAACCCAAATCCAACCATTAGTCCCATCTTTACGCACAACAGTTTTGGGCTCCTCGTTTGACCGCAGGGCGAGCAGACTTCTGAATAATTATGGAAAATCATCTGATATTCATGGTGTTAGTCTCAATACTTTTCGTAAGCACTTGCAAGTAACCATTGTCGTTGAATATACGATATATTTTTAATTAAGTCGCAAAATTGTTTAAATATTTTTACTACCTTTTAAGCTCTTGCATAGCTTTTATTGCGGGCTTTGAGCGCGGTGACTGTACCAAGTAGTTCGGCTGAGCGTTTGCTTAAAGTGTATGTATTTTTTACGACTCTACGAAGCTCGTACGGATGGATATTATATTATTATATGATAATATGATATTTGAGGATATCAAGTCTCAAACTTATGTTTCTTATTTCAGTTACTATAAACCTATAGTTTCAATGATAAAAATTCCTGAATAACTTATATGTATTGTAAGATAATAAAAATATTTTAAACGATATTAACTTCTCATTTATTAAGTAAAAGAAATAAAATTGTTTTCTTATCAGTGACCACGCTCAAAAAGTGTAACTTGGATTAATATCAAAGAAAAAACTTGAAAGAAAAAAAATACTGCATAAATAAAAAAAAAATTATGATTGCATAAGTTTATAAAAATGCTATGCAATAGCTTTACCGCGGCAGTCCCCGAGTGCCACAGGTTTTTTATACTATATTCTGTGGACATTTCTTATTATTAAGTTATTAGGTACTTACAGAGAGTAGTTTTAATTTTATTTTATTCTTGGCAATATAAATTTTATTCAGATCACTGCATCGTCTTTCACTGGCTATATATTTCCGATTTCGGTTCTCGGTAAGTTCTGACGCAGGCGCAAATGTTTACCTTAAATAAGGTATGACTGGCACAAGACGCATCGGCTTTCGCAGGAATTCGCCTTGCGTATGAGTTTAGCAAGGTCTAGATAAAGAGATTTATTAACTAAATTCCAGTTTAGACCCGCAGCTTCCCGCCATTTCGGAAATGAATTGCGAGTACTAAGTGTTGCGAGTTTTCAAATTACTCTTGCAAATGTGGTAGGGCCACGCAACAGTTCGCTGTTGCATGAATGGGCAGGTCCATCCGGGGAAGTACCAGAAGGCCTCCCAGAAGACCGGCGTGAAGTGGAAGCGTTCTACTTCTGCGTTTCGTATGGTGAGTAGTGGTAGTAGTAGTAGGTAGGCGGGGCGTATTCGTAGTAGAAGTAGGCGGGGCGCACTTTATTAAAAGGTGGCATCTGCAACTTGTAGATATTGCAAATGTCCATGGCGGTTATCACTAAGCATAAGGTGAACCGATAGCTCGCTTGCCACCCTCTTACATAAAAAAAATCTCATTTGTAACCAGCCTATTCGAGTAACAGCGAAGACTGTTGCGTGGCTCTACCTCAGTAGAAAAAGAAAAGGTAAAGTAATCGTAACGAAGGTATTCATTTTGTATGAAAATCACAGCGGCGGTCCCGTATTTGTAAATAAGAACGGGTCAAGTGCGAGTCTAACTCGTAAGCCAAGGGTTCCGTACCTACCCGATTTTATCTGGAACGGGTGTACTTAGCAAGTTGAAATTTATTCAGATAATAAACTAATAAATACTGAGGTTTATAGTCGCTATTAGGTGTATAAAAATCAAGGTCCTGAGTCAACACTATACAAAGATATGCGCAAATTTAGATTTTCGCGAAAACTTCTATTTAAAAAATTACCTTAATTTTCAACTTTTTTATATTTCCGAATTTTTCCTTTATTTGTGCTATATATATATATATATATATAAAATTTCGTGAATCTGGGTGAACGGGAACTACCATATAGGTTTTCGACCCAAAATCTATAGGTTACTTCCGGTTACTTGTCAATTTTGATTAAAAGGTCTTACAGCGCAAGTAAAAGGATTTTTTTTAAACAAAAACAATTAGCACCCGTTGCCGAGAAAATTGGTGACGACACACAGACCTTACAAGGGTTGTAGGGAACGCTAAAAAAACAAGTCAATAATGAAATTTAACAGATCTGCCGCGACAATTAACACCACTCGTGTGCATGTGATGGCTCGCGCACTTCCGAACTCCAGGGTCAGTGCGGAAGTATGACACATCTTGTGTAAATCAAAAGGAAAGATTACAGAAAGGTTGCCCCCCTGAAATCTGCAATAAGTAAGCCAAGTCCTACTTAAAACAATTTTGAATAGAAATTTAAATTAAACACAAAAAGCTTAAACATATATTCATTATTTCTATAGTATTTACGTAAATATTATAGGAATCATTACTATTACTATATCTGTTTAAACAAAAATTATATGCAAGCCATTGCATATTATTGGCTATTAAATACCTAGTAAAAATGTAAAACAATGTAAATGCATAAAAAATATTTGTTAATTAGGCCACATTGAGCATTCAATTGCTAAATAAAGTGTCTATCTTTATATCACATACTTATACATATTACAGAGAGATAAATTTGAATGGACAGTTGAAAAATTAAAAATGTAAATAAGCAAAAAGTATTTTGAATTGCACATACTTCTTGCTTATTTACATTTTTAATTTTTCACATATTATTTTAGGTTAATTGCGATAACTTCTTATTGTGGTCTGTTTTCTGTTTTCTTTGCATAAACTGAAATTGAATATCTTCCAAGAACTTCCGTGTGTACTACAGTCACTCTTTGAGGCAATAAAAGCCTTAAGCAAATTACTTTTGACTAAGTTTAAATGATGGATCAATCTAAATAATTCAGATCTAAGATTATGGACATATAACATGGACCAATAACTTGGAGGAGTATAGACATGATACTCCTTACATGGCAAAATATGCTAATATAAGTATTTATTTAAAACTTTGTAAATAAACTAAGACAAATTTTTATTTGAAAAATGAAGATGTCTTTACTTAAATTTTTGTAAGCTCAGTCATCTGGTTTTGTCAATTCCAATGTATTTTGAGTCATGATCTTTATTGCCATAAGAACATTTAACACTTTTAGTGCATGTTTCACAAAAATTGATTGATGGCTTTCAACATTCTCACAGCAAATTGACTCCCTGTGTCACAAATCATAATTAAAGTCTGCCCTCTCCAAATCTCGTATTTCCACAATGTCCGTCTTGAGTCTTAACTTAAGGATCTCTCTCCATATTGCTTCCCTGTGTTCCTTATTTGTGATTCCCATTCTTAAAAGTGTATTGTCATTGATCCGCACGAGAGCCCGACCTGTTATATCGTGCTGAAACATAAACCATAAAACATTTTATACTACATTCAGTAGAGAAAGTTATATGAGAATACACGAAATAGGAATGCAATATCATAATTAGTACAATACCTCGTGAAACCTTTCCCAGTATAAATTATAATAGTCACTACAATGTCGCCTCAACCATTTCTGTACATCTGCCTCTGTCCATAAATATACTGCTTTTGGCCGGGTAGCTTTAGTCTGAATGAAAAAAATCAGTGCGAAAAGAAATTTAATCAAATAATTTGTAAAATTCTAGAATAAAACTTTATGAAAATCAAATTAACATTTAGAAAATTAATACAAAGCTTATACTGTTAAACAACAAGATAATAAATAGTAATAGGAATATGAATGCTTGAAGTAGATTATGTTGCGAATTTTCCTTGATCCTTACACACCTCATTTGTCTCATAACATCGTATTTACCTACGTAACTTTACTGATTACAATAAATTTAAATATCCTCAAAATATTTATCAATATTACCTTTGGTTTATTAGAGTTTAAAGCAGAGTCTTCAACCATTTTGCGTACCTTGTTCAATTGTTAACATATATAATTGATAAAATTCTATATCGTAAATAAAACAGAAGTAATTTGGGAAGAAAAAACTACTTTGTGGAGAAAAGAGAAAACTGAAAGTGACAAACGACAAAATATGACATTGACAATTTTTTTATTAATTATCTATACAGATAAATAAAATCGGAGTGTCTGTTTGTATAATATTAAAATAACCGCTTTATACTAAATGAATATGGAATGGATGTATACACGGTACATATACCAAAATAACATTTTTTACAATTTTTGTCGGTCTGTCTGTTTGTTCCGGCTAATCTCTAAAACGGCTGGACCGATTTGGACGGGACTTCCACTGAGAGATAGCTGATGTAATAAGGAGTAACTTAGGTTACTTTTATTTTAGATCTTTTTTTTATTTTAATTATTTTAATTGCGGACGAAGTCGCGGGCACAGCTAGTTATACAATATAACAGATCACCAATTACTTTTTACATAACATGGGTAGATGGTATAAGAATTTTGAGTAAATTATTACAGACTTCCACTTTTTGTATTTGTAGTTTGTACATATAAAATATTTTCCTACCAACATATAATCAAATATCTTTTTTTTTGGCCTGATAAGCCACTGTTGGCCTTAGGGGCCTTTACAGATCAGACGGACTTGAGGTGGCCTGATCCTCGGGTTATTATTATTACGCGTTATGGTGACTAAGCTTGATGGTTCCCGAGGTAACCTCGGCTCGGGCCATCACGCTATTATTATCACCGGTTTGGGAGGCCGCCGAGCTCTTAGAGTGCTTTGGTGGATGCTCCATGGAGTGACTAGGCTCAAGGGTCCTCGAGAGTGGACCTCAGCTTTGGCTGTCACTCAATACGCGTTTAGCATTCCGATTCGAGGGTGCCCTAGAGAGCCGGACTTCGGCTCGAACGGTAGCTATTATCTGACTGGGCAACTACCTAGTTTTACAATACATTTATATACCAACAATGGATCGCTAGTTGTTTGATTATAATACGGATCTTTTAGTTTTCATAAGATAATAGTTTTAAATTTGATTACTTTCTTAAATCTTGCATAAGCGGCATTCAAATCAAAATTTCAACCAGATTACTTCCTCTATATAACAGATTACGGTCCTAACTAGCCGAGGTTCAAAGGTCCATTATAATAGGCATTTCTATCGTGTCGTGACTCCCTGTTACTCGATTTTCCCATTGTATCATTGATTTCGTCGTCGTGCTTTATTTTTATATATGTAATTCTTCTGTAAGTGTATGTTTCACTGAAATCCTCCTCAACGGCTTCACCGATTTTAATGTGTGTGTCTTCAGGTCGATCCGAGTATGGTTTAGATTCATAATTCAGTCCACTACAACTCTTTTTTTTTTTTTTTATAAGGTATTTTCGGATTTCAGTCGTGTTTACAGGACAACGTCTGTTGGATTCGCTAGTTATAAATAAAAAACACTCACGCCCGGTTCTGAATCACTGATCATCGTAGACATCAACTTATCAACTGTCAAATGGCTTTTCAAATTTCATTTAATTGCCAAAAGGATGGTAAGACTTTCTGAATTAAGAAGAATGATCTTTGTAATGATAAGAATGATCGGTTCAAAGAGTTTAACCATCCTTTTGGTAACTCAAATGACATTAGATGACATCTACGATGATCAGCATCAGTGTTTCAGAAACCGGGCGTAAGTTGCACTGATTTAGTGTTTTTTATTTACTACTAGCAACACAGGTTGTGTAATGTAAATGATACATTTTAATCTGTGCGTGCTGTGATCTGTCGGTCTATCCAGTTTTATGTCAAAAATGGTAGTTTCGCCGTATTTGTCATTCGCTGCAAAAAAATAAAATAAACCATCTTGAACTGCAACTTCACGCCCAAGCTGTAAAATGCAACTTTAAATCCGGCAAAATGGCACAGAATTTACAGAAAAAGCCCTCCAAGGGCATCTTAAAAACATCCCGAAGCATCGATGGGCAAGACGGAATGCCTTCTACGAGTAAAAGACCGAAAGAACAGAGGTTTGACGAAATGAATATTATTGAAACATTTCACCCGGCTGATAAAGATTACGGCCATATGAAAGTTGATGAGCCTAAAACTCCTTATTCAGAAGCAATCGATGGTGAATTGGAGCCATCCGATGAACTGGACGCAAACATCTTGGCGGCAAAGCTTGCTGCTAGTATGAACAGACCGCCTAAGTGTGTGGAACCGTGCGATAGTGATGAGGAGATGGAAGAACCAGAAGAAGTTCGCCAGCGAAGACTCGAGTTTGAACGAAAGAGGAAAATGCACTACAATGAATTTCAGGTTATATTTAACACATTGTATGGGTTGGGTTTTGAATTTAATTTCCTGTAAGTTTGGGGGGGGGGGGGGGGGGGGATAAGGTTCGTACCAAGCACCCTAATGCTGCCAGACTCGTAAAAATTAAATTAGCTATTTTTTTTAATTTAAGAATCTTACGACACGTGAAGTGGAACGTAATTTTGAAAAATTTCGGTGTTTTCGAAGATGCGAAGAATAAAAATAAAAATTAAACTATAGAGAAAAATCACTAATGAATTAATTAACAAGCATTATTCTGTGGTCGCATTCAGTTTACGAGAAAAAAAAAATTAAACTTGATATTTCACTAAGACAGTACGCACATTTTATTAATTTTAATAAAACTGAATACACAGTACTGCCAACATGATAAATATGTTTTAAACATAATAAGTTGCAGATCCGACATGGAGCAATCCGACTCGGACAGATTAGGTTAGAAGGTTAATTTTTTTTTTCGTTTGTGGTTGTTTTCTAAGGCTGGTTAAGGACAACAGGTGGGAGGGGATTTCTCCCCTGTGACATTCTTATTAGATTCTATTAAATAAATAAAATTAAAAATTGTATAATAAAAAAACTGTCTCCCGCGGCTGGCGGGGATCAAGGGGGCACCCCCCCCCCCCCCTTGATCCTCACCACATCACCTCACTCCCCCCTCGACCCCTTACAAAGGTGACTCGATTCAAAATTTTACCCAATAATTTATATTTAATAAGTTACCTTTTAGTATTTCATATTTTGTTTCTTAAAAACTAGGTCTTTTTATTTATTTATTTATTTATTTATTTACTTCACCAACAAGATACACATCAAAACAAGCTTAAAACATAAATAAGTACATAGTATCTTCAACTAAATGGTATCTCAATTACAGGTGAAACAACATTCAAAAGTTATTATATTGACAACTGCTAAAAAAATAATAATAAAAAAATAATAATTGAAGTATGCTAAATGCTAACAAAGAATTAATACAGTAGCTGACTGACTTTACACTAAAATAAACATATAATCAAAACAAAAAATAACAATTTTTAACAAAATAACAAAAAAAGAAGACTGTAGAGATAAAGAAGAAATTTACTCTAATTAAATAAAAAACTGTAAGTGGACAGATTTCTCTTGAACTTGTCTATACTGTCATTAAAACTGTCTATGGTCATATAAGTACCAGACAATTTATTGTAAGTTTTTGACAATTACAATACAATAATTGTGTCTTAATTTATGTAGTAAAAATATGTTAGTCATGAAAATTTAATTATTATTATTTACTATTGAACTCACTGGAAACTTCATGCTGTTTTGAAACCTAAAAACATCATTGTTCAGTCCTCCAATTTTTTATTTATCTTGGTTTAAACATAAGAGTTCTGACTGGGATTACAGTCTTGTATCTGAAATTGGATGTCCGAATCTTTGTAAAGTGCACAAGAGGAATTTTCGGACTAATTTACTTTTATTACAGTAAAAGTTGTTCCCGGATTTCCCTATGTTTACCAATAGGCTTTTTTGGACCTTATAAAGCTTGGTGGAAAGTGCAAATCAAGCATTCCAGAGAATGACAATTCTTAATAACTGTAAGAATATAAATTTGCAGCCCACTTAAAGTAACATATATAAAAATGACTACTCCCACTTCCAAAAAGCATTTTAGAGGAATATTTAGTGACATCAGTGGATATGTAATGACTGTAATCCTGTATGTATTTATGAGTCACACATTATCAGTCAAGTGGCTGACGGCCCACACTGTTGTTATCTGAGAATTGGGTGTTCCTAAAATATCTAGTAATCATTAAATTCAATGCAATCTTTATGTCTGCACTTATTTCATTATTATATTGATTTATAGACTATTTAATAACTTTGGTATAAGCAATTAATTTAATTAAACCTTATATAATATATCGTCAGTCCAATAAATAATCCAAGATTGACTTTTTTAATTTTTCCAAGAACATAATTAATCTATGTCATGACTTATTGACAAGGTAACATAATCTTGCAAGAGTTTAAATTTGTCAGAGATTAGTTGTAATGTCAGCACAGCAAATAGATAAAACTGGATTGACTTTTAATCAAGGAACAGTGACGCAGAAATCTGAAGTAAGTGGGCCCTGGCTACCTTATCCACCAGGCGAAATGTAGAAGTATAACACTCTTACTTTGCGCTGGTCTTCTGTGAGGTTGTGGTACCTAACCGACAGACCTCGCCCATTCATGAGACGAATGTTTTATTAGAAGAATGTGGCCCTACCACATTGAAAAGCTACAACTATGTGAAAATAGTGGATCGAGTGCCTTATTTAAGTGTCCAATTGTGCGATTGCAGGCCTTGCAGCTGGCGAGGAAGCTGTTGGCTCAAGAGGAGGAGGAGGAGGAAGAGGAGGAAAAGGGAGAGGAGTCAGCCACCTGACTGCCGCACCATCCCGCGCACCCTCACTGTAAATAACACGGGCTCACTTTAACTGGTAATGCACCCTTACAGACTTCAGATGAAATTGTACAGTAACTTTATATAAATATACCATGTATTTGTACAAATCCAACATTTTTCAATATTTTACAATTAGTCCCTTTCAACGGAAACAAACAAAGACTTATTCGTTTTGTCTGGTGGGCTAGGTAACGGTGATGCCGAACTCTGAGGTGTTGCCGGTGGCCATATCAGTGGACCGCTTACTGCAAGAGCAAACTATAAGCTCATAAAAATACGCGCTTTCCGAATTCAATTCTACTGCATAAAGTAATCCTGTTAAGTAGTGAAAATCGTAGATCAGTTTTGATAACATTTAAAATAAATTACTCAACCCAAATAAGCTAAGTTGTCCGGTAAAATTTCCGTATTTGCAAATTATTCCATTGTTCTATTATTTATTCATTTGCTTTTTGCCTTAGACAAAACTAAAATTTGGGCTATAAATACGTCTCTCATTTTCGTTTTTTTTTAAAAGATCCATCTTCGCCTAGGTGCAAAGTTCAGTCTCAATTTCAACAGTGAAATCCCTGAGTAAAAGAGAAAGTATAAAAAAATATTTTGCATATGAAACAATTTACATATAAAATGATGGAATAATTTTTCAAATATAATTGTGTATTATAAAAAACAAAATGTCCTTATTTTAACAACCCCACTGACTGTGTTCTTTGTTTTCATTTCAGGATTACGTGAAATCTTCGTTCCAGCTTCCGCTGACAATACGTCGATAACGAGTTGGTACTTAAAGCCATAGGATTTGTTCCTGAACTAAGCTGTAAGAAAATCTATGTGCGTTGTTTTAGTTTAGATTATATCCGAAAGGGCCCTTTCACCTCGACTTGGAATACGCATTTTTATTTCGTAATGCAAATGGCGCGTAATTGCGTCGCGTGTGCAAATGTCAGAGATTAGAGCTCCTACGGCACCTTTGTGCGGTATTTAGGAAATTCAATACAATCATTATGTTGTGCACCAAGCACATTCTTTTGTTACGTGTGCAACTCTTCGTTAAAATTGGCGCGCGGGGTCAACGACCTCCGTCGGGTAATTGCAGAGCGTCATTGGAACTATATTTTTTTAAAGGACGAATTTATCAAAAGCACGCAGATTGATCTTTGATATATTTTTTTTAAAAATCGTTCTAATCCTTGGCCGCTAGGCTTGGCGTTAGTGCTTCCAAATTAATAAAAAAAAAAATATGTAAATCCCTATTTATTTTTTGTCTATTTCGCATTTGCCCCAATTGAAATGGCGGCTGCGACTAGTCGTTTATATGTGATTCGAATTGATTAGGACCGATGTTGTAATTGCATTACAACCGGAATGGTCGTGTCCCGTGCCTGGTTTTGAGTTACAATGCAGTGACGTGATCGGCCTCGAAATAATTAGCAGCTAAGATGTGTGGCCTTTGGCGTCCTGCGCCATAACTTTGAATGAAACTCGACTGATAATACATTAACACTAACACTATGGACAGCGCAATTTGTATTGAGAACGTATTTCTTTTTAACCGACTTCAAAAGGAGGATGTTATTGCAATACGCATTTGATGGAATAGACATTGTTCTTTCCATTAAAGACATCGCGTGCAGGCAGAAAATAAAACGACACAAACTATTCTAAACATAAATTTAAGGTTAGTTAATTTTCAATGACTTTTAAAGTTATGAAAAGTATTAATGCACCATAAAAGTATGATTTATATTATATAAAAACTGGTTTCATCTCGGTATAGAGCGCCTTTGTACTTCTTTGTAATTCTTGTGTACGCTTGTATTAACCATCTTTTATCTACTAGAAATAAAAACTACCTACGAATAACATGTAATAGGGTGAGGCATTTATGCGTCTGTGAATTATGTGCCTATATAAATATGTATAGAGTGTTTATGAATGTCTGGATGTGCCTCGAATGGATTATCGTTTTCATTTTAACATTTTAATTTAACCCATGATGAGTTTAATTGTTTACATATGGTTTTTTTTAACTAATCCAACAGCTTTTGGTGATGTTTCAATACAGACTGCATATATTTCACATTTCGTTTTGTTTTATTTATTTAAATCACTTCTTTTAATTTCGTTTTGATTATCTGCATATGACAATAGATTCGTCAATAAGCTACTGCGTTATAAGAGGTTTTACTTTATTGCACTCAGAGACGTGATCGCTATACTTAAATAGAACTTATTTAGTTCATTTGCGAAAATTGGTCATAGAGGTTTTAATATGTGTTCACATGAATACGGTCTTACAATCTAACAGTAGGCTGAACTCACTACACCATTGAAGGAAAATCTAGATGGCGCTGCGTTCGAGGGATGCATCAACGTACCTAACTTACATTTTCAAATCCTATAACGTGTAATGTACTCTGTGTTTATTTCGTTCATATCGATGGAGTGGAAGGTTGTTTATGAATTGAATAAATAACTTTAATGGATTAAAGCTACGCGCTCATCTATTCCACACCGGGTATCCCAAGGGTTTGGTTTGTCGTAACCCAGCGTAGTAACACCTATACTAATGATACTACACATGTTGTGCAGAAAAAAATTAGTACCACTAGTGCTAGTCTAATAGTACCAGAATATATTTTTTGATTCCAACACATTAAGCAATTACAAAATCAGCCTCTAACGGTTGCCTCATCAAAAGTTTTGAAGCAATAGTAGAAACAAGTCATAAGGCGTATGTATGTATGACATTAAAAAACTTCAGTGCAATTAAGTCTTTATTGACTTTCAACCACTTCAACGAAATTAAAATTACTGTTATAAACATTAAACTTACAGAACCCATTTATAATACGCATTAAGAGTAAATACCTTTTAATATAATTTTTACCAAGCGTATATTTACATGTTTCCATTTCTCAATATAGTATGAATAAATATTCAATATAAATTATATATTCTGAGGTTATAAGTGTTTCCATGTTATTGTTGTATATACTATAATATTTTATTGAAGACAATAGAAGAAAATAAAATTACAAAAATGTTTAACGTAGTCGTAATAATGAGAGTATATATAAAATACATATTAAATCTACTTTACGTTACAGATTTTACCTAGAGTTCACCTGGTTGCCTAGAAAAAAATTAATATTACATTAAACTAAAATTGGAGAATACAGTAATATAGAGTATTAAAACCATTTCTGACACTCATTATCACATTAAATAAAAAAAAACAAGTATTTATAAAATATATAAACAAAATATTTTATAAATACTCGTTTTTTTATTAAGTATTTTGTTTATTTAAAAAAAAAACAATAAATATTCTCTAAGCACCCTTTTTTATATTTTTTGAGTCGTGTATCGGTTGGCATAGGCATAGCCATGGTGAAATCATGTCACTGAAAAGTTACTTTGTGATTAAGCAATACACAACACCTCTAATTTTTTTTATTACTATTATTGTTCAATGGCTGAAAATATTTAGACTTCATATGACATTTCAATGTGAAATTGTTTAATCCTCGATAGTGTTCACTAATCATAGGTAAGGTAGGACGTAGGGAATCTTGCAAAGCTTAATTTTTTAAATAGGGCAATAATGCCATTAACTACAAGCAATACGTTAAAGATTATACGCTTGTAGTACATAATTTAATAGATTTGATAGTACCTAAGTCTTAGGGAAATGACACACTTAGACTGCATCGATACTTATCGTGGCATATTTTATTTTTGATAAAAGAAACATTATGAAGGGTTTGAAAAACAGGGAATCGAGAAAATGTGTGAAGCTTAAAATTAGTAATTTGTTTCCAACCTGTGTAGAAAACATGAATTTATGGTATTAGTTACTATTAATTTGATTCTAAAGTTGGTTCTCGTTCTTATATAATATTTAATGACAACACAATAATTGAGTTTTCCGTGTGTATATTTCGAATTTATTATTTACTTTAATCTGCTTTTATTATAACCCTGTATAAATTTCGTAACATGAATTGCTTGAACGGAGTAATGAAATTTTTTATAATGTACTTGCAACAATTTTAAAAGCAATACACGTAGAATGCATAGAATTGTTTGAATCATACGCTGGCCTTATTCGAAATTAAATTTTTATATTCAAAATTTTTTAAAATAATAACATAATTGTTAATTATGTATTGTGTAAATATGAAAATAAAAAGATTTCAACCAAAATGATATTTTATTAAGAATGTAATTAAAATTTCATCTAGTCGCAGAGGTATTGCAATATAATTTGCTTCAAGTGTGTCTTCTTACCTAAAAGGATGTGCAGCTCTAGTGTTACGAATATCCGTAACATGACGATGATCACTAACCATACATATTATGTATGTACCTATATTACAAGCCGGCATAACTGATGGTTAGTGATATAGAGTACGTTTCACCAACCATCAGTTACGTCGGCCCCACAAGTTTAGTGATTGAGAATGAGTATCAACTCTTGTTGTAAAAATTTACATAACCGCTCTGTCAAAGGAAGAATATGAGATGGAAAAAATCTTCATATCTTAGTGTACGCTATAAATAATTCCCAAATGCGTATGTTGTGAAGCGAATAAAGAAGCTTAACAAGTGTTAAGACATGAATTGAAATCAATTAATTCACGTCTTAAACTATATCCATATGGTTAATATTCATATTGTAATGCTGTAATAGTAATTCTTAGTGTTACTCTGAATATTTCCGAATCTTCAATTCTGTTCGTATTATTTTATATTAAGCAATTAACAATTAAAAAGATAATTATTACTTAATGTAAAAAAAATCACATTACCTTGTCCCGCATAGCTGAAAATCTATGGCTCTGAACTAAGGTAGGTATGTAAAATGTAGTTCAAAAGCGCTGGCTTTTGTCATATTACTGCCACATAGCAGTGCTATAAAATCGTTATATCTATGTAAGTAAGAATTGATAAAAGGCGTGCATAGGAGTATGTACAGAAATTTTATTATACTATCTCCGCTAGAATCGTGGTACGTACCATATTTTATTTCATTTTTATTTATTTCAATTACCCTAAATAAAGATTGTAAAGGGCGAGCTGTATGCCTTTTGCCATTCACTCTCAGTGAACCCGAGGTGCGTAAATTAAATGTAGTAAGTACATTTAATTTCACGGTGGTAGAACACGCAGCCGCCTCGGCTGTTGCACGAATGGGCAGTCTCGTCCGGGTAAGTACCACGACCTCACAGAAGACCATGAGCGGCGGTATTCACTTAACACCAGATAAACCGTCTGATCGCTTCGCAACTTTTCACATAAAAAAAAGAAAAAAAATTACGCACCTCGGGTTTGAATAATTGTTTGCTTACTTTTTTATGTGCCAATCTAGCAGGCTGTTCACCTGATGTTAAGCGATTATCGTCCTCCATGAACATCTGCAACACCTATGATCCCCGTATACCTCACTCACCAGGCGAAATGTATAATGATTCCATTTTACTTACACACCGTGCTTCCGTGACGCCGTGTGGTACTTTCCTGGACTATGCCCATTTGAGCATTAGTTTGATGCTTGAGTGTCTTAGAGTGCTTATTCATTTTTATATATAGTCCTATCTCTATATATAAAAATGAATCGCTGAATATGTTGCTAAGCGCAAATCTCGAGAACAGCTAAACCGATTTCACTAATTCTTTTTTTATAATATTCATTGAAGTACAAGGATGGTTCTTACGGAGAGAAGAAAATTGCCTGAAAAAGTCTTAAAACAACACTTTTCTATATTCCCGTACAAAAGATTCCTAATAATACTTAAAAGTCAATTTGAACTTTAATACCATAGCATAAAGTTTAAGTGTTAGTGGAAGCGTTCCGGGAAGTCAAAACAAGTGAGTGACTGAGGTAAAATGTCACTTGAAATGTAAACGTCTCCTTGCTGTGCATCACTACATAGTCGTCCCGCTGTCTGTCTATCCCTATGTATGCTTAGATCTTTAAAACTACGCAACGGATCTTGATGCGGTTTTTTTTTTACTAGATAGAGTGATTCAAGAGGAAGGTTCATATGTATTAGAGATGGGTCGTATCGCTTTTTCTGAGTACCGTATCTGAATCAGATTTCGATTTCAAATATCAGATTTCGAAACTATGTATTTTAATATCTAGATATTTTACGGTCCCGTATCCACCTTGAATTCTAAAAAAAAAAAAAAAAGTACATAATTTTCCTGATATTTAAAACTTAACATTATATATTTACAATTATGTGTGGGTTAATAATTATTAATTATTTAGATTCTTCCGGGTTTAAATTCATGTTTAGGAACGTAAGCTCTTTGACTTTATTCCTCGAATGTCTTGTTCGACGATCATTATACCTAGACATAACTAAAGCTATTACCAGTGATACCAACTGTTCAAAAAGAATACTTCTAAATAAATTCGAAAACCCACTACAATTGACTAAATTCAAAAAACTTACTGAATTTAAAATCACGATTTTTTTATACTATTGAGATAAAATTAAAACATTACCTGATTAAATAAAAAATTTCATTAACAATAGAAATTTAAGTAATATAAAAATGATTTATTTTAACATCTTATATATCGCTTAATAATTGACTTTAACATATTCTTAGAACACGCAATTATGAGTGACAATATTTTCATAATTTGTGTAAGAAATAATACATTCAGTGTTATAACTTAGGGCGGAAGAATTTAAAATATACACACAAAGCACATAAACCTTGGTCTGATTTCCACCCAAGCAGCACAGCACTATTAAATTATATTTTTCTTTTTGTGTAGTTTTATTTTTTTTTAAAAATATGAATAAAATTTAACTAATAAAAATATTCACAAAAAAATTTACCTCCTAAAAAATTTCCATTTATATTTTTCTTCCTTAATTTAGGCAGAAAATTCTTAAGTAGTAAGTTGGCATCCCTTGCTATTACGTGATAAGTACCAATGCAATCCAGCTCAAGGTTAAACAAAATTTAAAGACATCGTTAATACCGTAATTCGTATTTAAATGCAACTAAAAATGTTTTTTTTTTTTTTCCATGCTGTTAAGATTCAAAATTACTTAACTGTGCGCTTTGTCGCCCGTTACGGCTCAAGGCTAGACAAAACAATAAAAATATACTTAAAAATATCGTTGTAGTAATCGTTGATACCATGATTAGTATTTAATTGAAACGGATCTTATTTGCATGGTTTTAAGATTCAAAATTACTTAACCTAGTCATAATATCTGTTTAAAAATCTGATATTGTGCCTTGCTTGCCGTACTGCTCTAACTAGTGTAATATTTGTATCTCACGCGCTTTGTCGCTCGATATCTGATAACGTGCATTGCTTGCCGTCGCGCTCTAACTAGTGAGTATTTGTATCTCACGCGCTTTGTCTCTCGAAATCTGTTTAAAAATCAGATATTGTGGCAAACGCGTATGATATCGCGATTCTTGTCGGTATAGCGAGCGAGCACGTTACATCAGATTTCGGAAATATCAGATATTGTAAAATACATAGATATTGAACGAGCCAGTAAGCGATATTCGGATATTGTACTAATATATAGTTTTCATATCTGTTACGATTTGTATCGCCCACTTCTAATATGTATAATACGTTGCACCCGTGCGAAGCCGGGGGCGGTATTATTACATTCATCTGTTCATTAATTTCGTATAGCCCATTCCTTCATTTACATTAAAGCCATTTCCTGCTTATCACTTAAACCTCTTCATGCGATCCAAAAGAAAGAAGCGTCGAAAAGACACTTGCAGAGAATCAAGTCCGGTGTTAAACCTTTAGGAAATCGATCCGATCGATCGAATCGATTGTCCATCTTTCGGTAGCAGGGTTTTGCGCAGTGCAGCGAAGCGGACGGCGTTTTCGTGTCATCGTCGTGCACCAGCTACGTTGTTCTCCTGAGTCCGTGGGTCGTCTACCCGCGGACTTCTTCCGCCGAAGCTGTTAAAGCCGCCAAGCTAACAACAAACTACATGTCACAAAAAAAGGACCGGACGGCGTCATCATGTCGTCGTCATGCATTAACTAGATGTTTCACCTGAGTCCGTGTGTCATGTACTCCTGGACCTTTACCGACGAAACTTTCAAAGCTGCTGAGCTTTACTTACACAAAAAGTGGTGTGCAGTTGTTAAACTATTGGCTTCAGCGCTGTACAACCCACAGGTAAATTTTCCGGTTCTGGGTGTTTATTCTAAAGAAAGGTTGACTTTAGACAAGGGCATGAGAAAGATAGATGAAGATAATGAAACTAAATCTAAAATTACTATTTAGTAAATTTAAAGTTACTATGTACTCCAGTTACACACTAGACGAGATGTAATATCATTAGAGGGATATCTTACATGTTTTTATTTTGATGACGGCTTATATGGAATCAAAAATATTACTCATATTAATGGTTCCATATAAACGCTGATATTGCAAATAGAGATGTGTAAATTGCAAATGATATTTGTAGAAGCTTTTATAAACGTACGCCGTTAAGTGTTCAATATGGTGAAATGTTACATGTTTGCAACCTAAAGTTTTAATTGTCTTGTGTAGCTTGCAGGAAGTTGCATTAAATATTATTTAGCTAAATAACTATGTACAATCGTTTCAGACACTTAAAAGTTAAAGGAAAGATAAAATTAGCACTTGATAAATTTTTAAAAGCAAAAAAATTCATTGGATTTTAAAAATTGAAACGGAACGGAACAGTCAGTAATAAATGGCGCCTAGTTGTGTTTGTACGATATTCTGTTTGAAAAAAACGTCGCCTTGACGACGAATTTTGTAAATCTTATATGTGCTACTTATGCGATTTTAATATGAGTTTTTTGAATTATGGATGACACGAAAAAACTTACTACACAAACGGCGAGCCACAAGGTGAGTGCGAGATTTATTCAAATCTGTTTATGAATTGAATTGCAACAGTTATTGCAGATATTTATAAACATCTTGTTTCGTTTCAAACGGGTTTTAATGTGAGACATGTAACTTTTAAATGTTGTTGTTTTGTAGTATTTTAATTGATTGATCTTATAGAGTTCTTTACCTTCGGGAAGCTATATTAGACGAACTTTTTCATCGCTCGTTTATTTTTATTTTTTGTATATTTTTAGAATGTCCTTCCGGATGTCGTACATTTTCAACAGATCCCTGTTATGGAAACGGTAGCAGACGATGAAACGGAATCCGTCCCCGATACTGGTCAGACCATAGAAGGCCCGAAATTGGAAAATGTCGAGGATTTTAGTAAAACGGAGTCCATTTCTGAACAAGTTCCTTCCCAAATAGAGTATTCCATGACTGATTCCGATAATATTATTCAAGAGCATGCATCACAAGAACATTTGAATGTTGAAGTCAGTAAGCAAAAACCAAGTGATAATAGTTTGAACATTCCTGCTACAACTAATGTTAGAGGTAATCTAGATCAAGAATCATCTAGGCATTCTTGGAATCTTGATGTTGATCACAACATTCACCTTAGTAAAGAAAGTCCAGTAAATTTAGCCATTTCTTCAGACTCTAAAGATACTCATAATACAAAGTCAATAGCTTCACAATCTAGTGAGGAGGAAAAAGAGTTGCTTCAAAATAATGAAGATGTAGTATCTAATCAGTCTTTGCATACACAGGAAGTAAAGAGTAATGATTGTGATAGTAAAGAGTCTCTTGGAAGTGAATACCTCGATTCTTTAAACAATGATGAAAATATGGATTCCCCAAAAAACCGAAATGATGAAATTGAAAATAGCCCGAATAAAAGCAACTCAGACTCTGAAGAGATCATAAAGCTCGACATTAGAGGTCATGGTGTACCGAAATTTCCAATTCAAGCTGCCAAAATTATATTTGGACCGCCTCCAGAAGGTAGTACTGTAGTAGATGCTCAAATGGAACCAATGCCTCCATTTCAAAATTTACTTTCCCCTTTTCTTGTTGGTGTTAGTGATAGTGTTAAAGTTGAAGAGATATTTGAAGAAATTGTGCATAATAATGTACCGTCTTCACTAGACAAGTCTCCAGTGGAAAGTTTGTCGAGCGACAAAACTGAGAAGGACTTGTTGATAGAAGAGATGACTGTTGATAACACAAAAGAGAAGGAAAATAATTTCGAGTCCTCTCCGATACAGCCTAAGTCATTGCAAGCAGAAGATACAATTTCATTCAATACATTAACTACAGATTATAAGACAATTTGTGAAGAATATGAAGCAAAGGTACTGTATATAAGTTGGCTTTGCTGTTGTGTGCTTCACTTTGGTGTTATATTATGTTTTTATATGATTCATGCTTGACCCTCACTCCCACTGCATGTTTTGTGTGATTTAATGATGGACACTGTGTACATGTCACTCATCATTTCATGATGGTGACTGTGGATATTCATTCATTACTTATCGAAGGTTAAGTAATTTTTTAAATGATCCTTAATTTTACCTAGTACCTAAGAATTTGTGCTAATTCACATATCTTAACATTTGCATGTTTTTGTATTGTCCTTGTAACATAAGAGCACCTATTATTTAGAAATACTTACAATTTTTCTAATTCTATATTGCATTTAAATACTATTTTTGTATTTATATTGTGTATAATTAATAAGTGTGTTTCAATCAATTATCTTATTGACTTGTTATAATAAATAAATATTGGAACTTGGACTTTTACTGTGTTGATTGGTTAATTTATTCCTTCTGGTCTTAGTGACTTTTGAATTATAACTGTTGATTTAAGATGCATGGATAACAGATAGATAAAGGATGGTATGCAAAGTAAATAATAACATTAGAAATATTGATTAAAGATTTATTATATTTTTAACACATTGTTTTGCTGCATGCAAATTACACTATGTATATTATCACCCTCACAACAGCAAATGTAAGTAGTCATGTACTAACTCATGCATGAAGCTTATGTTTTTTTTTTTTTTATTAATAATATTAAATATTCCCATTTAAATTATTGTAATTGAGGAAATTAAAAATTCTTAATACATTTTATTAGGATCTTTCATTAACAATTGTAAATACTTAGAATATGATTTAGGAAAAGTTTGAAAAAAGTGAGTTATTTATGTAATTACTAATTATATTGTAATGAGTAAAGTGATGGATCAACTTTAAAGTTGGACAAATGTACAGCATTCTTTAATTTTAGTCAGGTGGATTTGATCCAGTACTTTAAATGTGCTAAATGCTATCTTGTAACCTTAAGAGCAAATGGCATCCAATCCTCCCTACAGTTTGAATAGATGTCTCAATAGATAGAGTATAAACTGAATAAAGTATTTTAAGGCACTTATTTGTAGTCTGTTCAATGTCAGTGTGCCAGTCTCGCGTTTATTTTGTACTGTGGCAACACCAAAGACGTGTCTGTCGGCGGCTATCGTCTATGCTTGTGTATTCAACGGCCGTTTATCCTTTCAGCTTGTGCACTTCGAGGACGCGATCACGCGGCGCGACGAACTAATCGACGAACTCACCGTCTCGTTACAGCGATCGGTCCGCGAGCTCGACCAGCTCAGGGCTGACAACAACCACCTAACGCAGGAACTGCAGAGCCTGCAGCATGCAGCCGCCGAGCGGCCGCAGTCCGAGATGGACACGATGAAAGCGCAGCTCTCCGACTATGTAAAGTACCAGAGCATGGTGAAAGGCGACAGCGCCAAGCTCTACTCGGCCGCGATGAGTGGCACGACTTCCTTGCAGAGCTCGAACGGCGAAAAGGACCTCGACCAGGAGGAGATCACAGTGAACTATTCCAAGTCGGATTTGAGATCGTCCGATTCGGAGGACTTCTTGAACGGCTTCGAGGCAAAGGTGGTCGCGCTGCTGAACAAGTTCGACGAGTACATAGAGGAGAACTTGAGGAATAAGTTGCGCGAGAGCATCATTCAGGTGCTGTGCGACGAAATCGCCAAGATGAGGATCGACGCCGACACGGATATTAAGGACCTGGAAACGCAACTGCAACAGGACAAGCAAGCCTATACAATAGAGACCAGGCGCCTGAGGGAGCTCCTCTCGTCCGTGAAGGCGGGCGACGCCGACATCGACACTCTGAGGGAGGAGCTCAGCCTGAAGCATGAGAAAGAGATGGAGAACCTCAGGACGTACTTCGAAAAGAAATGCTCGGATTTGGAACGGAGGTGATTGTCTTTCATATTTTCAAGTGCTGATATTTAGGATTTTTGGCTGTGTTATATTAATACACATTTGTTTTATTTGCTGCTAAGGCCTTTAGAACGAAGGTAAGATTTTCCAATATAGTTATTGATACATTGCTTTAGGTGCATTGTATGCTGTAAAAAAAATTTTGCTTTATGTGAATTTAATCTTAAATAGCGAAGAACTCCGGTTTCCTCACTAACCAGTCGAGATAGTTACTTTACGCTGTTCTTTTAAATTATGCACTTTCGGTCAAGTTGCCCAGTTAATGCAGAACTACTACTATTGTGTGTTTTACCGTATAGTTCTTGTCTGAGTGAAGACTGCAATGATGGCATCTGTTATTGTTCTCTGTATCGGGTTTTTCATTCCCTAGACAAAAATATATGTGAACTAAACAATTGTTTCGTGGTACTGTTTTTTGTGTCCGCAGTCGGCAGAGTGTGGTTTCCTCGTGCAGGAGTTTTAATAAAGAAGAAAAGAGTGAAGGAACTTAAGTTGATTGGTGGAACGTGTTGCAGCTACTCGGAGGATGTGTGGCGCGGGCGGGCGTGCTCCTCGCCGACGGGGGCGACGGCGGGGGAGGGCGACGCGGCGGGGGCGGGGGACTGCCGCCGCAGGACCAGGAGCGCCGAGCTGCCCTCGCTGGCACCGGAGGTACCCAGTGGCTGGTGCCTCAGTGGCGCAGGCGCCGCGGCTCGTGGCTTCGATTCCCACGCGGGACAAGTGTTTGTGTGACCAACAGAAAATTGTTTCGGATCTGGATGTTTGTCCACGTGAAATTTATGTACGCAAAACGACCTTACAACACGTTTAAACGTAAAATCAAAAGTCAACTTATGGTTAAAGCACATTACACCATTGCGGAATATCGCGACGACGCCAATGTGTTGAAGTTAATACTGTTGATACTCACGTAGGCTAAAATAATATTATTATATGTATGTTATATTGTAAAGTGATATTTTTGAAAAAGAGCAACTGTTGAGTTTTTTGCCGGTCTCTTCTCAGCAGAAACTGCTTTCCGAACCGGTGGTACCTTACGAACCAATATATAATTATAATTTTTTATGTAAAAGTTGACGATTCTTAAGAACGTGCAAGTGTCTATTTGAATAAAGATATTTGATTGATTGATTGATTCATTGATTATAATGTTGTCCTACAGTAAGGGGACAATGTTTTCGATGGGAAGACCACATTAAATCTTTTAGGTCAATGGGACTTTCACTGCGCCTCGTTAAAGCTAAGGTTAAGGTTATATTACATGTAATACAACACTTAATGTTAAATTAAGTCTATATAATATAGTTATAGCAATGGACGGAGTAACGCCAACGAAACAGTCGCAGGGCAGCGCCCAGCAGCGGAGTTGGGCAGGCTCATAATAATAATTGAATCATAAAAATGTGTATCTAAAACTGTCGCAAAGTTTTTTCGGCGGTTAAATTCAAATCAATTAAAAACAGGGTTTCGAACCTGGTCCCGACGTGTAGTCCGGAAAACGCAGGTTCGAATTCTGGTAGAGGCAAAAAATATTGCTATACTTTTATCTAAACATTTTTAAATTAGATCGTAAGTGCAGACTCATTTTTTGTGAGAAGGTGAAAAACGACCTTCCGATTCACCTGATGTTATTTGATAACTGCTGCCCATTGGCGACTGAAAATTCACTGTCATCTTTTAATAAAATGGGCCGCCGCTACCTCACTAGCCGAAACTAGCCTACACTCACCAGACGAAACGTAGAAGTATAATACTAAGACTTCTTACGGTGGTAGGGCCACGCAGCAGTCTCGGCTATTGCTCGAATGGGCAGGCTCGTCCGGGTAAGTACCACGACCTCACAGAAGACCGGCGTAAAGTGGAAGTATAACAGTTTCGCGTTTCGTCCGGTGAGTGAGGTGGCCGGAGCCCAATTTTCAAAAGGTTGACAACGCATCTGCAACCCTTGGGTGTAGCAGATGTCCGTCAGCGGCGGTATTCACTTAACATCAGGTGAACCGTCGCTTGTATGGCAACTTTTCACATTAAAAAAAAACGCCGGCCTTCTGCTAGGTCGCGGTACTTACCCGGACTTACCCGTTCATTTGTGCAACAGAGAACAGTGTTAATGAATGAAACATTAAAATAGAATCGTGTCTCGCAGTCCACATCGATGGAGCAGGCCTTGAAACAAGTGCACAGGAAGCACGAGCAGCAGCTGGAGGAGCTGAAAGGCGAGCACTTGGCCTACGTGAACGAGCTGCAAGTGAGGCACAGGGAGGCTGTCGCCTCTCTGGAGGAGCAAGTGAGTGATGAAACTGTCAACATACGCTCACTGCCAAGGGAAATTATACCCAGGAGGAGATAATCTAAGAGTGTTTTTTCTCTAACTTGTTGCTCAATAAACTTCAAATACTCGTATATAGATCCGTTTCCCCCCAAAGGTGATTTGCGAAGCTATTGAAGTAAAGAAACATTAATTACAATAGAGAATTAATTGCGTATTACCAGAGGCTTGTCCTTTAATATACAACATTAAATCCTAGCACGCAAGCACTGTAAGACCTGATGATAATTTTAGATATGAAACAGGGCAAAGTAAATCATAAAAAAAAATTAAGGTATCCCGTGTTAACTATGACGTTACAGAAGTAAAACTATCCAGTCTCCCCCTAACCATGGATGCTGCAAAGTGTTCGAAACGTCGTGACCATGATTCATAAAATAGTTTTATTCCCACTAGATTAAAAATCACAACGAAGCCGCGAGGGAATGATAAAATTGTTATATGTATAATACGTTTCGTTGTCTACAGCTCAACCAACTAAAGGCCGAGATCCAGACCGCCGAGAACACAGAAGGCAACGTGTCATTGTACCAGCAGGACATAGATTTAGAGTTGGAGAAGGTTAGTCTGTTGTTACAGCTATATAACTCTATACGGTTGTTAATACTGTGAAAGTCAGTTGGTGTTTGCTCTATCTTTCTAATTCAGAAACACTGGTTCAATCCCAGACGCAACCGTAAAGGTGGTTTCACCATTTCTATTATATTTTATTATTTTGTGTTGCACAATAACTAATGTTCAAAGCTTTCCTCTAACTCGAAATGAACTTTATTGTATATTAAAATGCACGGTTTTTGTCCCTGGAACTAACTTGTATGAATTTATTACGAAATATTTTTTTATAAAAGGTCAACGTCACTTACACAATAAAATATTTATTTTGAAATTTGTATATATTGGATTTGTAAATATCATAATGGTTTGTAAATACTGAACTACCGAATAACATTGTCAGGGGTCGAGGAGAGCTTCAGATGTTTTATTTGGCGTAGGTTAAATTAATATCTCATGCTATTATTATATAGCAAAAAGAAAAGATAATTTCAGTCCCATTGACCTGTATAAAACTGTTATGTAATGGAATGTTAAGAACAACACCTGATATAACATCGTGCAATAAGGTGTCACGGGTACTTCCCCACGCTCTTTCGCTAGCACCTTCCTCGGACTGGGGTCGTGTCTGGGCGACTGTAGCCTTTGTGCGCGCGGCGATAAGGGCCGAAATGCTGTGTACTAATGCGTCGGTGTGTTTGGCGTGCATGCCGGAATGGCACTAACTGCGCAGGGCGCGGCGGGCGGAGGGCGCGGCGCGGCCGACGAGACCGCGCGGCTGCAGGTGGGTCGCGTGTTGTGCAATGAGCCATCGTGTGGTCCGTACCACGGTACTACACTGTGTTACTTGGTTCCGCACTATGACACTCTGTCGCACTGTGATCCTTTTTGGCGTAATGTGTGTTTTGTGCTTCATAGTGTCACCCTGTAATACATCGTGTCACACTGTAATACATTATGTCACACTGTAATACATGGTGTCTCACTCTAATACAATGTGTCACTCTAATACATTGTGTCAAATTGTAATACATCGTGCCACACTGTAATAAACCGTGTCACACTGTAATACTATTTCTCACTGTATACACATTGTGTCACATTTAAATACATTGTGTTTCATTGTAATACCCTCTGTCACACTGTAATACTAGTAATCAAAACTAAATCTAATCGTAGACAGCATATTTTCAATATACCACAGTATAATATTTTATGTAGAGACATCGAAACTTGGCATAATTTTTAAAAACTATTAAGTCCTCTAAAAATATTAGTCTGCTTTTTTCTTATAAGTAAATTAGTAAGTATTAGTTAATACATACATTATTAAAATAACATATTCAAATTTAATGTTGGGCTCGTTTGTTATTGAAATGCGAGTTTAGTAATATGTATTGGTCGCTTATCATTGAGCTAATGTTCTAATTTTTATTTTGTAACCGCGCTGGTTCGTTGCGGCTTATGCAATGCGTTTGTGTTAATTTGTACGCGTGATTGCGGTTTCGGTGGTTTCATGTTTTAAGATGTTCAACATGGCTAAACATGCTTTTTGTCGCACTGCTTTCTATTTCGATGTGACGGCGCTTTCGCACTGTTCTCTTTGTAGCTTTATGGTGTTTGATGTTACATTGGGTCGCAAATTGTCGCACCGTGCCGTGATTAGCTGCTTTCTGGGTTCCGTCCATGGTATGTAAAGTTACGGTGAAATGTAATAAATAAACTATACCTTGGGTGTTAAGAAATTATTATTTCTTTATTTAATTATGTTGTATGCCTTTATGTATGTTTTTAAGGTTTTGCACGAACGATTCGATATTAGAATGGTGGAATGCGCTAGAGTTAGCTACAATATGGTCAATACCTGTGTTTATTTTTGTCCGTATATCGCTCCAAATTCCTAAACGACTCCAAATACGCTATAAAAGTTTACGAGTGCTCATCTAAATTTAGCTCATTGTCCTACGCTCCTGGGGGGTCGTCAGTTGTACGTAATATTTTTTTATCGCGGGGTCGTTGAACTTTGGCTGTTGTGCAACTTGTTATGGTGAGCAGAAAGTAATTTGGAAAAATGCATTCGATCGCATTGTCGTTTATTAGGGCTCTTCGAGGCACGTCAGACACGTTTTTTTTTATGTAAAAAGTGACAAACGAGCTGGTGGTTCACCCGATGGTAAGTGATAACCGTCGCCCATGGACATTTGCAACACAAAAACACACTTTATTTAAAGTTGGCAACGCATTTGAAACCCAAATGCGTCCTCACTCACCAGACAAAACGCAGTAGTGTAACACTTCTACTTCACGCCGGTCTTCTGTGAGGTCGTGGTACTTACCCGGATGGACCTGCCCATTCGTGCAACAGTGAACACTGCGTGGCCCACCACGTTTGGTTGTAAGTTTTTTCTCGTAAGTTTCCACTTACAATTTAAAATTTCATTGGTGCCAGCACCGGGGATTGAACTCAGGTTGCTCCAGAAAATTGAATTAAAAGCGAGCGCCCGGAGACTAAGCTATCATGGCATTAACTAGTACAGTCAATAAAGTTAGTTGCCATACTTATTGTTCTGTTTGAATGATCTGTGGGGAATCAGGCAATTCTACGGAAAACTAACGGTGTGACAGACTTCTACGTATATATCTATAAAATCTAAATTTATTTGATTTCTATAAAGTTAGTGCTGACTAGACGCGATTTTAGTTCTCCAAATTATTTTGTTATTTTAATTTATATTTGGAACTCAATAAATTACATTATTATTATTACTTAATAAAACATTTCTTAGATTTGCAGCTTCCACACAATGTTTTTCAACATCGTCCGATTCTTCTCTTATTCATTTTAATACTTCTTTAATATCGGTACTAGATTCATTTAATTGCTACGAAGTTAATCTACGGCTTTCATTCTCTGTATCTTCAATATGTATTTCACAGAATTTGTATGGGATTGATATATTCAGTATGCATATCGCAAATTCATTCAGCCATTCCAACTCGAAAGCGTTTATCATTTCCTATAAATACCAATTCGTAATTTGGAGGTAAATAATCCAGACAGTTTATTAGCACCGTTGCCTACGTACTTTCCACAGTGGGAACCGAGCCAAAATAGTGACGTACTAGCTCTTAGTTCGGCTTTTACCTCATCTAGAGACGTTGCGACTAGTGCCGCGTAATCTTACTAAGAGGATTGTACCACAAAGATCCAGGACGATAAATAGGTTTTAATAAATCATCATCAGACCGTAGCTACGAGCTACGGACTTATGTCTACACATAAGTCCGTAGCTCGTGAAAGTCGCCAAATAACTTCATCGCCGGTTTTTTTTATGTGAGACGATGGCAAGCGAGCTGGCGGTTCACTTCATGTTAAGTGATAACCGTAGCCGCCCATGGACATTTCCATCACTCGTAAGGTTGCTGATGCGTTAGGAATCGTAAATTCTTAGAGAGTTGGTGGTAGTTGTCATGTGTCATATGTGATGTGGGTAAAGTTGGTTCTGCTTTCGCGATTCACTTTTAAATAATTTATACTTAGTATAATGTCTTTAATGCTATATGTAAAGGAATTCGTGATCAATCTTGGTAAGGTCTTTAAGATTGACTTTTACTGAGCTGTTTGTCCTGCAATTAATTGTTACTCATAATTTACCATAAAGTTGTATGTAGCAAACAGATCAAGCTTAGGCCAGAAAGCTAAACAAATGTACATGTATAATATGAGGATATAGGGGAATCATAATCATTTGGGGAATTCGATTCAAAAGGACTTGGTATCAACTTTCTAACTCTTGGTGTATTTTCTATGCACATTTGTTTATAAAAATTATGCCTTCTGAAGTAGGCAGGGTTACCACGATTTTTCACCATCCCTATCTTACGCATTCGTCTATACATGCACGTCAGTTACGGTTACCCTATCGCAATATGTGTTTATCCTAGTCGATATCTGTTCGTCTAGTCGTCCTCAAACTAGTTGCGCACCTTGAATTCTCTTCGTACCTCTTTCTTGTTGTATATCGACGATTCCGATCGTGGTGTTGCAAGTAGCGAGTGCATTAGCAAACTGCGTAGCACTGTCCCGAACAAAACCTTATCTTCGGCTCGCTTCGGTGGGTGCGTCAAACCCGGAACCGCGTGTGGTGCCAACGGGGCGCGCGGGGAATGTCTGGGGAAGAGGCACGTGGGCACCTCCAGCGTTGGCCGACGGCCAGCTCCCACCACATTGGTGAGAGACGCTCAGCTCCCAATTGGAGCAAGGTCCCACATAGTGACCGTTTTATCTCGCGTACCGAGTCCCCGTTCGATGCGGACTGTGGTGTTAATTCAAGTGATTCTCTCATAGTCGTTATTTGTGTAGTGCTGTGGTTACAGGGAGCTCTGTTGTTTGTCGTTGATTACGCTGTGACGGTGCTAGTGGTGATCTTGGTGAAGAACTCGCGTATAGTTGAAATTCCCTTCGCGGAAGCCTCGCATTTATGTTAGGACATTGACGTTCTAGTCATAACATTTGGGGAATTAATGTTTAGTGAGTGTTCTGTAGTGAACTCGTTTAAAGACTATAGATTTTTTTGGTGTATGACTGTTGGGACAGTTATGGATACGTGAGGAGGCATGCCGGATCGCAACCACCTACCATTATGTGCGCCGCGTGTAAGATCTTTTACATCTATTTGTTTAAAACGCTTGCTTGCTTTTTGAACTTGCATCTCGTGAAAAGAGATTGAAAAACATTTTTTTTATGTGAAAAGTTTGAAGGCAAAAGTCTTCAATCAACGTGTGTTGCCAGTGATGACCGCAGGCAGGCCTATGTTCAGCAGTGGACTTAAACGGGCTGAAATGATAATGTGGTCATTCATTTTCCTATTTAATTTCGCGTTGTCGCAGTATAATGGGATTTCCTAAGGTTGTGGCTCTAAATCATGATCCACTTAGAGTGTAGTCATTGCGTCGGGTCATCGGCATTTCGCGTCCCGCCCTGGCTCGCCGCCAGCCGGTGACATTTTTCGCGCCATCGACCCCGCTCTAGAGCGCGCGGTCTCGCGCCATTTATTTTTTGTCTGTGACGCGTTCGGGGAATTTCATGAATGGATTTCGCGAAGAGGTTGTATATGTGTTGTCGTTTTTATTTATTTCGTTATACCTACCGTAACATTCATAGTACGAGTGTTAGAATAGCTCTCTCTTATTTTTGAAAAATAAATTGCGGGGTAAAAAGGGTCCTGTTTTAATCTAGTGTTTGAATTATGTCCATTTCTAAGTTAAGCTTTTGCGGCGCAAAGAAAAAATATATGAATAAACATTTTATGTTGTAGGGTTATGAAACAAAATATATTTAAAAAATATCAGCCGGTTAGTAGCAGGTTAGTGTGCGAAATTTCTAACACTTGAGACTTGTGTAGGCTGTCACTTTACTATAATGATTTATTTAAACGCTTTATTAGTCATATACATTATCTATAAAAGCAAATTAAATTGAATTTTCTGTTTGTCATAACAGCAGTGTTATGCTAAATGCATACCTATGAATGTTTACAGAGCAGTCATAGCGACGAAAAATCAGTTTAATTTTTTTTTTAGCTTTGTGTCTGCGCTCCGGCTAATCTCTGAAACGTTGGACCAACTTTATTGGGACATTAAAAACCTATAAAACCCATAAAATTGTATAAAAACAAAGACTAGGTTTATTGGCATATTAATTTAAAACTTGTGAGAAATACCTTAGTTTCTTTTGGCACCAAGTAATTTACCGCACACTTTAAAAAAATAAAAATCTGACAACCCGATTGACGTAGTGGATTGTGAACCTGTCTCTTGCGCCAGAGGGTGTGGGTTCGATCCCCGCTACTGAAAAAATATTTTATGATGAACATAATCTTTTCTAGTTTCTGGGTGTTTATATATCTACGATATGCATTTATTTTTTTATTATTTTTACAAAAGAAGTATGATTAAGTATGTTTATCAGTTACCTCGTAACCATTATACAAGTACAGCTCCGTTTGGGGTTAGATAACATCGTGTAATATGTCTCGAAATATTTAATTTTTAGATAGCAGCCAATTATTTTTTCTTACTAGTCATCAAACATTCATCTATAATTTATTAAAACCAGTTGCAGATGCGTAATCGATCTTTAAGAGTTAGCCCTGAGCAATTTACTTACCAGATAAAAAGCAAAAGTATGTTACTTACATTTCTCACCGGTCTTGTTTCAAGCCGTGGTACTTCTACGGACAATTCTGCTCATTTGTGCCACTGCAGAAATATCACGTGGTCACACCGCAGTGATATCGCATTATTATTTAAATTATTATTAATACGTGAAGCAAAAACTTTGTGCCCCTTTTTACGAAAATTGCGCGGACGGGGGAGTATGAAATTTCCCATATTCATGTAGAGAAGGAGTGCAGAATGCTAATACTTTTTTTTAATTATGCATTAAGAAGACATTAAACAAAAAAGAAACACTACGCACACTACCGTGTATAATTAGTTATGGTCGAATTTCGACCATTGGGCAATCACTAGTTTAAATTATTATGTGTGTCTGTACAGACAGTGGATGTCCACATTAGATGACAACGTAGTTAACGAAAGGTTTAACAAATAACGGATCATTGACCGTCTAAATTTAATTAGACCAATAAGTAAATTACTCGTGAAGGATCTAATGTGTGTCCACAAATGCACAGCACATAAAATTGGGTGATTAACTGACAATAGTCCCAATTAACCGTTTGTGTGAAACATATTTATGATTGTCTTGCTTGTTTGCTTACAATCTGTAGTCACTCTGATAAGGGTAGCGGGGTCAAGCGTCATCTGTTTTTAATATTACTCCCTTCAGTTCCTCACTTATCGTGCTGTGAGATGGTAAAGAGTATAATTGCGACTGTTAAGTGTGCTATTTCGTACTTGTACTATTTATTAATTGTTTATTTTTATTGTGGATTGAAGTCTTTGTGTTTGTGGATTTTTGTATGCGGTCAGGAATATGGGAGATATATTTGTGAGTTGGTTTTACTGTGTATTCAAAGTGAAGATTATGTGTAAATAAATACTCTTCGCATGAATTATATAATGAAATTACGTCTTGGGTGCATTATTGGGTGTTTAGTTGGAAGCAATATGCCTAATTTATTTGGATCCGGCCTAGTATCGAGGAAATGTTCTAGCGTCAAGATTTTTTCTCGAAATTTACCTTATAGTTCACCCAGAATTGTAGAAATTAGGTTTTTTTTATATCGATAACTGTTTAAATATACGTCTTTTATACATTTAAAATACAGTTTTAATTATTTTATTGGAAATGTTATTAATAAAATATGCCATGGACCGTGTTTACTGTTAATGAGCAAATTTGAGCAATAAATTAAACATTTCATACTTCAAATGTACATAAATAGAATAAAAAAAAAATATTCTTGAAAATTACTTAATTGGCCGAAACTCGTAACAGTTATGGCACTTCCCTCTGTGTTCGGTACAGAGTATATTATTTAATATTTAAATTATTTTTTTATACTGACGTTGAGAAATCTAAAATAGCACAGTTTGGAAATATAAGATTTTAATAATATACACTTAACCCTTCTTCTTTTATGCCGTTGTAATGGACCAGTACGCTGTGCAGGTACTGCTGTCGGACCCCGACGCCGAGCTGGCCAACTGGCCGCTAGAGTTGGCGGCGTTGCGGGACAAGATGCACGCGGACCCAGCCCGCCCCCATCTGGACAAAGAGGGTAGGTTGTCGCTCTGTGGTCTTGTGCGTACCAGCGAAGTATGGTGCGCTGATGGTTTGGATCACTCCGTGGCGCAGTTGCCGAGCCATCGGCTTCGACGACGGCGCTCGCGCGTTCGATTCCCACACGGGACAACTATTCGTGTGTCGAACAGATAGTTGTTTCGCATCTGGGTGTTTGTCCGCGGGAAATTTTTGTTTGTAAAATGTCCTTATAACACAGGATTATGTAATCATAAAGTAAGGGAAATGTCTTAAAAAAAAGAAGAAGAAATAAGAAGTAGAAGGTCAAAACTTGTCTTTAGTTCGTCCGTGTCGTTGCGACGTACTGAGTGTTGGGCGTGTACACATATGTATCAGGATTTTTGCTGTCATGATATACTTAATTATTGCAATTCTGAAATATTCGCTGTTTATATTATTTATTCTTGTTCTATCATACGGAAAAAGTAAAGTAATCTTCCTAATACTGTTAAATTCATCTCATCCTCGATGTAAATTAGATGTATTAATTAACTTGAGTAACTTAACCGGGATCCATGCTCTCAAGCTTCAACCAAGACGACCGCGTCATCAGTTAACACAACGCTACAAAGAAATGTAATACATGTCACTTACTCTGCAAAATAAGCATCATAATTTCCGCTCGCTCACTGCTCTATCCGACGGGCCACCGACATTTTCGAGTTAAAATAAAACGCACATTAAAAAAAAGTGGCCAACTCTAAATACGGCCCAACCTCCTGCTTGAATCCGAACGCTCCTTATTGCCTTTTTCACCGTGCATCGGTTTCCTTTTGCACCGCGCCAAATCGGACACGGCGCCATGGCGTGGACTCATCGCCGAGGCTCGTCTGCCATCCCCCGATCAGCACTAGGTCTGCGCCGCGTCCTCACCCGTTGAATTTGGCACGGGTCTTTTTAACACAACAGTCTACAAAAGCTCACACTTTAAATTACCTGATATTATGACTCTTGTTGCTCCATTACTTTTAGGGTACAGCGTGAAATTAAAAAGATCCCCAACAACTCAATAAATGAATTGATTTGAAATGTCAAATGCGCTTAACGATGTCTCTGATACAAACCGTACATCATTATAATAATCGTATTAGAAAACATGATGGGAATAGACGTCTTAATGACTATATAAAACTTCATCGAACAATTAAACTACTGTGCAGTTGAACTTTCGCTGTTTCTTAGCAAAGAATGCAATAACGATAATATATCTGGAGGAGTAGCAATTCAATCCTTCACACAGTTTGACCATATTAAGTTGTTTAATAGTTTTATTGTAATGACTGACAAGGATTTTATAAGATGTTTCGCAGTCGTTTCTGAATCAAAAGCTAGCTTTGACATGTTAGCTAACCATATGACAGATAATATTACACTGTTATGACCTTCCTCGTTACTTCTGTATAAAGGACTAATCCATATATCCTCTTAACTATACATATGTTATTCATATTATTTTTTTATCGATAACGGGGGGAAGAAAGGTTCTCGAATGGCAGCCTCGTACTGGCCATCGCAGTGTCCCACTAGATTGAGTGACGACTTGTCCAAGTGTGCGAAAAAACTTTAGATTCAGGTGGCTCAGGATCGTGTTTCGTGGCAGTCTGTGGGTGTGGCAGACCACAGATTCAGCCGTGGATTATAACGGACTGAAATGATAAATATGATGATGTTAAATATTATTTTGTCACCGCTTTTAAAACGAGAGGAAGTATGA